TTGTCGCTATTACATCCAACTATGCCTCGGCTTTCAGCACTCTCTATAACTTCAAGCCGTGGCAGTCAGGACTCTGCTTCATTGCTAGCCCTATCGGTGCCTTAGCTGGCAACTTCTGTGGTGGCTATGTCAGTGACCGGACTGCTGACTACTTTACGAAGCGGAACAACGGTATTCGAAGTCCGGAGATGCGTTTACCTGCCATTGCTATCTCATTGATCACTGGACCTCTGGCTCTTATTCTCTACGGCATAAGCGTTGCTGATGCGTACCATTGGATTGTGCCTACTGTTGGCATCGGGCTTTGTACGTTTCTGCTCCTTCAACAAAGTGATGACTCTAATCAACAACCTTTTAGTGACATTCTCTGTCGTCCAAGCCACAAACATCAGTCTGGTATACACTATCGACGCTTATAGGCCAATTGCAGGCGAGATAGCAGTTACGCAGTACGCATACAAATGTGAGTCATTCAGCATTTATAGCAAACTCAAGAAACACTACTGATATCCTATACAGCTGCTTTTGGGTTTCTTCTTTCTTTCTATACGAACCCGTGGATCAACAAGTCTGGATATAAATCAGCATTTGGTGCCATGGCCGGAATCATCGGTGGCATCATTCTCCTTGGAGCTCCGATTTTCATATATGGCAAGAGGATCAGGAATACCACTTGGAGGTGGAAGGTCATTAGAAGCCTTGCCCATTGGGAGGAGGATCGCGAGGTCGGCGAGTGATTGTACATGAGAAGACCGTTCGGGGAAAGACCACAGTTCCTCAGGTATTGCCCTGTCGATCTCCTCAGGTTTCCGAAGTGCTTGAGTGAACAAAGTTCAAGCTTCCTCATTACTTACCACAGCCGAATAATGGCGATCCCTGATATTATATTTGTGAAGTTGACCAACCCCGTAGTCCCAACGTTTAACAATCCATTTAAGCTCCATCTAGATAACAAGAGCTTTGAACCATCCGTGCAATACCAAGAACGACCATTAGTTAATCACAAGTCTGCACAAATACCAGGTCAAGTCAGAAGCCAACGTCAGCCAGCAGAAAAAGCCATGACGAGCCGGATAAATAAGAAGCCGCTCTACGAGTTTTGCTCCATTTACCCCAATCCCGAAGCCACAATACATTCAAAGTCCGCTGCATTCGAGGACGCAACAATAAGCTGCTGTTTCAGCCGCGTAAGTCTTTGACAGACATCATAGAGGCCTATAGGCTGTCAGGAGCTATGCAGTTTAGATGAAGGTGAATGGGTAAGGGTCATACAGTGCCAAAGCGATGAATCGAACAACTTAGCGTATAATTCTAGAGGAAAGACCTCAAGCGACTCATGGTGCAAATCAACCCAGCCGTCGGCTTCTGAAATGGCGTCGCTAATTAATTTATCAACAACAGGGTGTAGGCTCCGGCCGGATTTCTTGCTCTGCAAGTACCAGCAGAGAAGTAAAGCTAAGCAGCATGTTAGAATACAGTCCTGAGCGCCTAGAGATGGGAGGAACGTACTCCCTTCGTAGGGTGCGATGAAGGCGAGAGGCGCGAATTTGTGAAGACCAACTGATTTAATGTATCCCAAACCTGTCTGACAGTCTGATCTTAACATTTCAGCTGCCATTATTAGAGCCTTCTCCAGTCTAGCTGTGAGACAGATGTCTGAAGATGTTTCTAGACTTGCCCGATCGAAAAGAGCCGGGCTTTGGAGGGACTCTTTCATAGTCCTCAATTGCTGGCTTCCGTACAGATGAAAGCTTGTCGAGAGTATCATAGACCGTGTGGTATGCGCCATATGAGACACCGAGGACTCTATGAGGAACTGAGTCGATGATTGTTCTTTCCAGGCGTTCTTGAGAGCTTGAACCGGCCCATCCATTTTCTCGATGAAGGTGTTGAATAGGTCAGGGTGCTGGGCCCCGAAAAGCGATTCAAAGGCGCATATGTGACATACTACAGCCGAAACAATAGTTGCAAAACCAAAGTCGGAGTTCTGCGGAGGTAACTCGTATCCATCGAGAACTAGCTTGACGGTATCGGTGCTGTAAAAGGTTTCATTGGGGCGTTTCCAGCAACCTTCGTCCTTTGACCATAATGATGCAGATGACGGTAGCGGGAATCTGGTGTGCTGAATTGTAAGTAAGGAACAACGTTCCGGACTGTCTAAGAACAAGGCAGCGCTGAGAATGACAATCGCCGACAGACACCTGAGCTACGGTTAGAACTCGCAGAGCGTTCAAGCACTGAGCAGATACTTCACCTGTTTAGCGTCTCATGGTGTACCCATTCCTTGTACGTTGGTGTCTCGGGAACCTCCAGCTCTCGGATAGCCTCGTGGGCAAGCTTTAAGCAAATCAGCCTTGATCATGAAGTTTAAACTTCTGGAAAACCGACGGTCATAACCTGACTGAGAGTTTGTATTGAACGCCCCTCTGCAAGTGAGTTTCCACTAAAGGCATCAAGATAATACATCAAGAGACTAGTTTGCAACTGCCATAGTTGACCTTTGGTGTCCTTGTTATGGAAGAGAGCCGATTCTCCGTGCTGTGAGAGTGTGTTAGCTATAAATGCCTTTTAAATGTGCATGATGAGATGCCCAATCGTACCCTTCTCATTAACAGCAAGGCCGCCACGTGTAGACTCTGCGCTGCAGTCGGCTCCTTGGCATACAGAGCACCGCATGCCATTATCTCGATCAAAAGAGGCGCTTCAAGAAGCCTTTAGCTGATGGGTACAAAAACAACATAGAGTATCATGTCGGCGATTTACCTGGGGTAGAAATGATATTAAAAGTCGGAAGATGCACGATGGGCATGTGCGGGGCCATATACTCAAAGAAGCCTCGAACAAATCGACTGACGGCGAATTTGGATGGAAACCGGTAACTTGAAAACCGCTCCGATGTGGTGACAGCATCGTAGTTTTGCTTGGCTCTCTGATACTGCTCGTCCTCAATGTAGAAGGCGCCTCTACTTTCGGGTGGACAACTTGCGATCGAGGTACTGCTGATGGGAGAGGGGGGAGCCTGCAAAGGCGGTAATCTGATCCCTTGGTGGTCATGCGGGGCCATATCTGGAAGCAGCAAGACGTCTGGCCCGATTAACTGCGACATAGCGGGATCAGCAAACTGGAAATCTCCCCAGATGTCCAACATGTCTGTTGAAGTCACGGTTGGAGCATCGAGCCCCAAAAGCCTGTTCTCTCGAGAAATGGAGTCCCCGAAACTCTCGTATACCGCGCTGGTGACGTCGGAGTCCTGCGACAGGCTTGTTCCTAGGGTACTCATCCGTCTTGGCTCTTTATCGCTAGCGGTGCCATCTAAATCGCTCTGTGCTTGTATCGAGGCGGCACGGCGCGGTGACAAGCTGCTGCGACTTCGGCTATTGCCGTTACTCGGTGTTCGCATCTTATCGGGGTGGAAGTTCCTCGTATGGCGAGTGATGACATCCTTGCGGGACGAAGATAACTTGCAGTATAAGCAGGAGAATGGCTTGTCTGCCCGGTCTGCAGGGCATTGTTTAATGATACAGGTCTCTCTGCTGCCAAAAGGTGAGACTCACGGCTTTTCTGATGGCGTTTTAGATGCGCCTGGCGATTGAACTTGGATTTGCACTGCGTACAGTTGAAGACGCGCGAAGCAGCAACGGGGCTGGCATCACCTCGTGGCTCCGCATCCGGCGATTCTGCCAACACCATGTTGGGTCATGTAGTATGCATCAAGCGTTGGCGGTACGGCATTGAGGTCATCACAAGATGCAGAAAAGAAGTAGGGCGATCCGTGATGAATTGACCATTCAATAATAAGTCGCAATCATAGATAGTACAATAACAAGATAATGTGATTGACGAGGCGAGATTGCGGTAGGAATGTGCGTTAGCTGGTGTCGAGATCGGGTTACGGCCCGGCAGAAGAGAGAGTGGTAAGGTTAGGGGAAAGCAGTGACCCAGTGGGTTTGCCTGGTAAGCTGCCTTTTGTATGTTGCTACCCTGAAATCCCCCGCACCGGGGTTAATCGAGGCTAAGGAACCCTGCATTAGGATGGCTTATCAGCGAGATGCGGGGAGGGCATTTTCGGGACCTGTATCTGTATGTATTAATAAGGCCCCCATTAGTTTTGGAGCGAACCCTATTTGCTGTCTGTGAGTAGCATGGCTTGATGGTCCGGAAGGCGGTGCGGTGGGGAGGACATCTACCCTGTGACGAATGGGCGGATTAGAATTTCTAGGTTTGGGTAGTAAGTCCCGCTGACTAATCTCACGTTCGGATGTGGCATACCTTGGCCTTGGTAGAATGAAGACATGTATAGGATCAGATGAAAACTATAAATAGGCACCATTTCCGCATTTTACCAAGTTTCGCATATAATTGCAAGCTCTTAGCTACAGATGTCAACTGTAAATAGAATATCAAGGTCACAATTTAACAGCATACCATAATACTTAACCTATAGCATAGATTCTAAATGATAGTTATGTTTAACACTTCGCAGGCCCCTATGTATAATGCTAAGAATGTGATTTAAGAGCTCTAGCATAACGAGGGTGTATAGCTACAAGTTCACATTGGCAGTATAGTATTTAAGGATTACGTCGCCTAGACCTGGACATCACTTACGTCTTCATACTGTTATCCTCTGCTATGATGAAAAATTAAATTCTTCCATCTATAGTTGAGTTTACGCAGTTAATGTGAGAGTGCTATTTTGAGTAAACAGACCTAAGACCTGCTACTTACACCACGCTCCTTTCCTCGCCCTGTTAGCATGGGGCCTCGGGCCTGCCGAGGAGACGAAAGAGGGTACTATTGGCACACGATCAGTATCTTTAGTAACTAGCAGCCGAGGCTCTCGGGAAGTGACAAAGGTGGATATGTATTACGGTCATTCAGACTTATCTGGAACTATAATGTTAGGCCAATGGTCTGGGAAAATACTATATAAGGTCAACCTCCATAAAACCCAACCTACACCAGCAAAGCTCTGAAGTAAACCTCACCAACCTTTCACAATGGCCACGATTCGAGGCGTTGATATCACCACCTATGATGGCCTGAACTTGAAAGGAACCTTTTACAGTGTTGGGCCTAAGAGACCTTGCATTATCATGACTCATGGGGTGATTTAATCCATACGTCGATGCGATAAAGACCCTAACACGAAGTCACAGTTCTCTGGCCACCGAGAGCATTTCCTGCCCGAACTTGCTGCCAAGTTCAACGACGCTGGCTATGGAGCGTTGGTTTACGATAATCGATGCTGGGGCGAAAGTGAAGGCCTTCCTCGGTGTGAAGCCGATCCCGCGAAGCAGTCACGAGATTATCTCGACGCATTCAACTTCGCTGCAGCACTTCCAGATGTCGACCCAACCAAGATCGTGTACTGGGGATCCAGCTTGTCCGGAGGCAACGCCATTTGCGCAGCTTCCATGAACAAAAGCCTGGCAGGCATTATATCACAAGTCCCATTCGTATCCGGCGGTTCCATGGCTTGTATCACCGGAGCGCCAAAGTCTGTTCTGGTTTCTCACCGCACTCCCAAGCCAGAGATTCAGATCCCGATCTATCCCAACTCTGTCGAGGAGGTGCAAGATGGTACCACCAAGGCTATTCTGAAAGATGCTGGAGCCGTCGAGTTCGCAGAGGAAATGGCCCGACGAGGCTATAGCTACGACAAGACGGCGACTCTTCAGAGTATGGTCAACACGATCATGCATGAGCCAACAGGAGTTATCCATCATATCTCGCCAACACCACTGCTCATGATTGTGGCGGATGACGACGTGTGCACTTATACGCATTTGCAGCTGGAGGCCTTTGAGAAAGCATTGCATCCCAAGACCCTCAAAGTTATCAAGGGAACTGGGCATTTTGGTCTGTACTATGGCAAGAGGTTTCAGGAAGTTGTTGATGTTCAGCTCGAGTTTTTAAAGAGCATCTTCTAGTGGTATCAAGTCTAGCCAAGGAAATATATATAGTACGAAACGGATAGATGTTTAAATAAAGCACTCTTTTACCTACATTGCGTTGAAGACAACACATAGCACCGAGACTGCCGCAGTGAAAATCCGTATCCGAGCCGACGAGGACATACTTTATTAATAAACATTTTGAGTTTCGGATCGTGGGACCCCATAATTTGTCGGAGATTACGGAACTTCTCTTCTGTCCGAGTGTCTGAAAGTAACTAACCTGGTTCTGAGTGGCCTTCCCCGCAATCCTGCCGTAGCGTCGTCAGTCCCTCTCGGCATCCTTCTCAAATTTCCAACATAACAGTTCCCAGCATCATTGGTTCCATAAACTTGCTTTCGTTCTTTAATCAAACAGTATCGTCGATAATGTCTCCAGCCTCAAAACCCGCAACCCGGTCCAAAGCCCTCCACAGGCGCTCGTTGCAGGCCTGTCTGATCTGTCGGTCAAGAAAGGTCCGATGCGACGTGTCAGTCCATGGCCAGCCATGCACGAATTGCTCTTTGGACGATAAGGAATGTCAATTATCTCAAGCCCCAGCTGGTTGGTAGGTTGTAAGCTTCTTCGCTCCTCTGCTTATATTGGTTGACAAGTCTTTGGTAGGAGTCAGAAGGCTTCTGCAAGACGAGCACTACGAAATACAAGTAATGCGGCCAACATCCGAAACAGCGAAATCGCACCAACCGTGACTGAACAGCTCAGTCTGGATAGTCAGATATCGCTACCGCAGCTCACCAGCCCAAGCTTCCCGTTACAAACAGTGGGCGCTGGTGAACCATGGCAAAATTGGCACATGGACTCTCTGGACTTTGCCTCCATACCCGAGCCTGCGGCTTACGATAGCTGGGGTTCCTCCATGCCCACTGATAAGCAGCCGCGCTTGAATCCTATTGGTGAGTAGCTCTGTGAATTGGTATGCCAGATCCAATCTCTAATAACAAGAAAGGAAATATTTTTCAACAAGGTACAGGATCACCGAGTGACACAGGTAGCACAAAGGATGGGGTCGTTCTGTACTCCTACTTCCAGTTTCTGACAGTTGGGAACCTTCATGCAATTCCTTACCAAGATGTCAGTTATCTAGAAGCCCAGGGGTGTTTGCATGTACCGAATCCTCTGATCTTGGATGTTTTTATGAGAGCCTACTTTACATACGCCCATGTATTCAAACCTCTGGTTGACGAGGGAGAGTTCTGGGAAATGTGCTCTCTAGCCACAAACGACTCGCCAAGAACCACGTTGTCGCTTCTCGTCCTTCGCGCCATGCTGTTCGCTAGTAGTACAGTATGTTCCTTTCAAGGTTCCTTTGCTAGTCTTTATCGAGTTACTTTCTAATTATCACGCCAGTTTGTCCCTCTCCCTGTCCTGTGCCAACTTGGATACCACGACATATGTTCCGCAAGGGCTGATCTATATCGAAAAGCAAAGGCAGGTCACCCAACACCGAACTTTGATATTACGGCCCAAGCTGACATTTCATAGCTTCTATTTGACATGGAAGCTGAGACAGCCCATCTGCCACTTGCTCAGGCTGCATTAATGCTTATGAATTGGGTGCCTGAATCACCTGCGACAACTTCACCTGTGCCATACAGAACATGGCTAAGCCTGGCAATCCATCATGCCAAGCTCGTCAACGCCCACCGTCACGCAGGAATATGTGACGTTGGAACAACGGCAAATGAACCACGGTCAAGAACGCTTCGAAGACTTTGGTGGTGCTGCATTATCTGTGACAGACTATCGTCTCTCACCTGTCGCTTCCGTCTTCAGATCACGCCTGATATGCTTGACATGGAGAACTGTGTGCCGCTGGGTTTCGCCGATTTACAGAGCGAGATACATCGATCAAACGTTTTCTCGCCTGCGACCAAGCGCCAACTTATATCTCTGTTCTCCAAGTACCTGGGCCTATTAATGTTACTGACAGAGCTTATTCCAGTTGCGTATCCTTTCGAGACACGGCTGGAGTCAAGTCCAGACTTCTCGGTGCAGGAAGAAGAGAATATCAGAAAGTCCTGTGATCTTCTTGGCGAGTGGTACGATACAGCCAAGGCTGAGTTTCCTCCGTTCCATCAACTCAAGGCGGCCGAGGAGAGTGACTCTGTCAACTCCGTCGCAGTACATACAAATCTAATGTATATCTACTACCAGTATGTTCTGGAACCCCCTGTCGCTATGGAGTATGGTCTGATAACATCTAGCACTTCTTGTATTGCTCTTTGTAACCGCAGAGTCTTTACACAGATTTCAGGAACTGGGAGTTCCGACTTTAATCGTGTTAATTATGAAGATGGCGACAGAAGTAACGAGATTCGTGGAGATATTGAAGACTCTGTTCTGGGTGTGTCTAAATGCATAGGCTCATTGACAGGGTCTCACTTGACAAAGTATCTTCCCATCACAGTGTAAGTCCGCTGAGCTCCTCTCCGGTTGTCTTTCTGCGTACATACTGACGAGATTGTGTCAAAGAATGGGCTGCCTTGCAATTCCCCTTGCATTGCACCATATTAATACAGGCTTAACCTATGAAGACGAGGTAGTCCCAAGCCATCTCAAAGGATGGCCGCTTTTCGGTCTTGATCCTATGCACAAACACCTCCAAGTCGTGGTAGACGCAGCGGACACTTTCTCAACTCAATACTATGGCTCCCAGTGGGTCAAGGAAGCAGCAGAGCACGTCGCCAAGCTGGCCAAGTCGTTCAATAAGCTTTCATTGCAGTCGGGTCAAGAGGCTATGAAAGACTGGGTCGATATCCTTGTGAGATATCCAGAGACATATTTGGGTCTTGTGTGGACTGTAGACATGTGCGTTAGTCGCAGGAAGCTACCTGAAGCTGAAGACTTTCCTTTGTGCCTCCGCAACGATGTGGAGAGGCTGAATGCAGCCCCTCGGAAAACGGAGCATGAGATCCTAGACTCTCGGTCTTTAGATGGGCAGAAGGACCTTCAGCTCACACAGTCACTAGATTATCTTTTGGGTATCCAAGAGCCCATGGTAGATGTCATATAAGACAGTATCATATAGTAATCAAAGCCATTAATTTTCAGTCATTCAACCTTATCTATATCTTAGCAACATGGTGTTAATTAGCCTGCCTGTTACTCCCCTTCTACTATTCAGCTTTCATAGCAAAGGGGCACCCAGGACCACTCCACTCAGATCTGATATACTGGCAATAGGCTTGATCACTTCCCCTGATATCGTCTTTCCTCGCCTTCGCCTTCTCTACATCCAACGTCTCGATCTTCTTCCAAAATGACTCCCGCGGGTCTGGTAAGAATGTTTCAGCAAAGCTCATTACTGTTCCAACCAGAAACACAATTAACCACTGAAAAACAGGGTTAACGGGTTCGATCCGCATTGCCTTGAGAGTTGTAGGCAGTGTAAGAGCTTTCACTATGGATACTCCTAGCCATCGAAGGCCGTGGGGAAAGTATCGGAAAGCGAATTGATTCATGATTGCCAAGCCGATGTATTGCATTCTGACATCGAACTCGCGTGTCTCGTTTTCGTAGTCTTCGCAGAATTGGATACAGCCCTCAAAGTCTTCAGGATATCCGTGAACAGATTTCCCATCCTCTTTAATGAAGAGCGGCGTCATATCCCGCCAAAAGTGGTGAGCGGCGATCTTCTCTTTCTCTGTGAAGCCCGATAGTCCCAGCCGAAGACGAAGACGGTGCATAAGTACAGCACTGAAAGTTGTGACGTACAGAAAATCTTCGTTATACGAGAAGTTGCCGGGATAGCGACGAGCCAGAGACGCGTGAAGGTTGTTGATATGTTCCACTGCGTCTCGACATCGTTTGTCGCTGGGCCCATAGTGCCACCATGTCATGTTGTAGTTTTCGGTATCTTCAACGCGCTGGGCTCCTCGCTTCACAACCTTGCCACCGTCTGAGCGCCAGACAGTTTCGCAGCCGTGGGTCGTGATGATGAAATTAGGAAACGTAAGGGCGTATATCATGTTATTCATGAAATCACTTGAACGGTAGCAAGACATGAGCCGCCACATAAGTTCATAGTCGGTCTCTGGATCGAGGCTGTTGATGGTGTCGGAGATCCAGTGATAGCCTCCAGGGGATATTTCTTTAGACATGATTGATAAAGAGAATGAGTGAAATGAGTTTGGTGGTAATTGATCTTGTGAATATGATACTCTCCCAGAAGTTTATAACCTATAACCGTTGCCTCCATTAACGCTCTCAATTAGTTGTAAACCAACCCTGTAATGTCCGTAAATTGCAGCGATTGCGTACCGATAGTTCCCCGTGGGGAAATGCGACAGGGCGAAAACGAAACGCAAATGCCGCTGACTAAGCGGCTCCCGCGCCTGTCGTCAACCACCGAGTTTCATCAATTGCCTGCCAACTGCCGAGTATCCGATCCGATACTTCTACTAATACTTATGGGTACCATTTTCATGATCCCTTCTACTGAGACACGACAGCGGAATCACTGGCAGTCAATTGCGGTCACCGTTGTCATGGAGTCAAAGAGGCTCATTTTATGACGCGTGACGCGTTTTATTACTTTAAGTCATGGGCTTCTGGCACGAACATATCGGCATTACCATTGTGTCTGTTCAAACCACCGCTGAGAATCGCTAGCAAAGAAATGACCCAGCTCAAGCTCATCCCCAAAACCAAGCGTTGATGTCTCCCACGTCGGCATAGTCGATAGCAAATCGGACTCCATGTCAAAATTAATGGGGCCTCCTTCCGCCGTCAAATACGATCCCAACGATTCATTATTGAGGTCGACTTCTTTCGTGGTGCTCGAATCTAAAAAGGTGTCAATGATGCGAAGAGTAGTGAGAAGTCACAAAAGAATACTGACCCCAAGCATTAACAATCCGGAGAAGTTGTTGGACAAATTTAACGCAGCGCAAGACAAGAGTGTTGTGATCGCTGAGCTTCAAGAGAGCCTCGCAAGTCTTGCCGAGATATCGTTTAGCACTTTCGAGGCGGCCAGCGTTTCCAGCTTCCGCGTCGAAAGATATCAACAGGCTACCGAAGATTGCCAACGCTGCACTGAAGGCTATTTTATGAGTCAGATCACCATAACAAATCCTTGGGGTTGGTTACTTACCATAGTAGAGGGTGAACCACCAGGCCCCAATCAAATGGCGCCCATGATCAGGCCGTGTCAATATGGTATAAATAATATCTATAACATTTTCGGCCACTTGGACAAAGACCCTGTCGAAGTTGGCATGCATGCTGTTGATGGATCCCGCATTGCGATATGGCGTTTTGGACTCTCTAAGCAGAGTACCCAAAGACCTGATGAAGATTGGGCGATGGAGGAGGAGTTGAACGTTGAGGTATCTGAGTGTGAGTATGGTTCTGAACTTTTCGCGTAACGGATCATGGACATCTTCATTGGCATCCTGGGGCATGTTATCGACAGACCGCAAACCCAGATGCTGAGGCAAGCTGTTCTGCCAATCTGAGAGTTCCTGACCGAACTGGATCATGGACGTCATTGTGGCTGTATCCGATGATTGGTCTTCACATCCAAGATTGCTACCATAAAGTGAGCCAATGATTCGCCCCATAATCCTATAGAGAGTTCTAGACAAGTCAGATCAGTGGATCGCCCTTCGTGGTACAATGGCTTCTCACATAGAGGCATTATAGAATGCAGTGCTCATTTTATGAACTTGATCGGAAGTTGACATCGGTACTGGTAATGTCTTTGGAAGATCCAAGCGGATGTACTCTTCTGGTATCGCACATGGGCGGCCAAACGTGAGGCTGAGGCTTCTAAGCAGTTTTGTCAGCTTGAACATCACATTGGGTTACATCTTGCAAGCTATCTAAGAGCCTGGTTTTAGTACTGATAGGGAAAGACCAACCTATCAAGCAAAATGCATCCGAACCAAGTGCGTTTCCTTATCTCTTGTTGGAGGGGAGTAAACTTTGACGCAATGTCTCTCGAGTGGAGTCCAATAGACATGGCAGCTTTGACGGCGAGGCCGTGAATGGTCCATGTATGAACCGACTTGTGCGTCCCCTGGAGATATTGACTCGTGAGTAAGAGGTATTGGACTAAAGAATGTCAGTCCCAAGGCGCGAGGTGTAGCTAAAGGTTATCACCTGTTTCAAGAGTAGTTCCCCTAAACATTTGTGTATGGCAAAGCTCCTGGGCCCTACGATAGTAAACATCCGACTCCTCAAAAGTAGTCTCACTTCCCGAGTCCTCCCAGCAAGAAGTACAAGTTGCCATTGCAAGGATCATGTTCAGCAGGCCGAGCCAGGTACGGCGAACATTACCTCTGAAGCCACTTGCTCGGAATCCTTCATAGGTGTCGAGAAACTCTTGCTCGTGTATGTACGGAAACAAGAGCCCTGTGTTGTCGAAGTAGGCACGAATAAGGCGTTGCATGACCTCGTCTGGTGGTAAGAGATTGGCGCCCGCCTTTTGACACTCGCTTGAGGTTGTCGGAAACGCGTTCAAATTACTCACTAGTCCACCTTCATACGCACTGTACTCTGATGCTGGCGTCAATGAAGTCTGATTGCATTGCTGTGTTCTTTTTGTGTCGACAGCTCGCAATATGTGTCGCATGAGTGCGATGTTGGATGATGGGCCTGACAAAATGGGTGTGTTAGAGAAAGCCGACAAAAGGGACAAACCATATTGGCGTACCAAAGAAACCACAGTCTTGCTCATCTACGAAAGAGACAGCCATGCCATCAGTCATACTCTGGCCAGCACCATTCTCTGGTATCTCATCGATGTTGACCACCACATTTCCTGACTGGTGATGAGGTGGAAGCACAGCATCTTGCCGTAAACTTCCCGAACTCTTTAGTGTACTCTCAACCAAGTTCAGTCTACCATTATGCTGCTCAATATTTGTTTCCAACAGCTTGACTTTGGCTTCTAATGCAGCAAAGATACTGAAGATATCCCCAAGTCAGACAAATCATCTATGACAGTCCAGGGTAGCGGAGTGGTGGATTTAGGGACGCCTTACTCTTTTGGGACTAGAAGATTCGCTGAGGTTTCTTGCTGTTCATACGAACAATCGAATCCAAGCTTGTCGCACGTGTCACATCTTGGTCGTACTCCATTGCACTGAGGCTATCAGTCGATTATCCAATGACGTGTACGATACAGACTCTACCCGTGATTTGCGGATTCTGCATGCCGAACAAGCCAACGCGACTCGGCGTCTCTTTGGCGCGGGCTCCGACGCGTTTGCTTTTGGCGGCTGAGACGTTCCGCTTTTGGCCGAAGCTGGTGGAGAGTCATCTCGGGGCGTCATAGTCATCAGAGCAGTGGTACGATTGGAGATGCAACGAGGAGCCTGATCGGGGCAACATTGGGATGGGCCGATTTTTGTACCCAGGTTGATAAAAATTGTCTCCGCATTTCCCCAGAATTATTGATTGAAGAGACTGGGGATCGCGGCACTTCCAAACTATATTCTCTTTCTGGTTTGGGCTTTGTCGATATAGCCAATTGGAATGGCGTGTTGTCTTCGGTCTCCATATCGCTTCTGATGCTTGCGGGGTTCGAGGTTACGCCTTCGTTACAGTGGCCGCAAAATCAACTTCCTCAATTGGTTCAGTCATTGTCCTAGTGTCCACTCGAGCATCCTAGCTCCACTTCCGGGGAACCATCGGGACAGACGGGACAAGAGGCCGAAATATCAAGACAGGTGCAAGACATATACTTGGTACAGTGAGGTTTAGATGTCCAAAGATTACTGTGACAAGGAATCAAGCACGTCAAAATTCACAATGAAGGTAGCTTGGCAACGTTTGATTCGATTCGTCTCAACTGACGGGCGTCTTCTGCGTGGAGAGCCCATCCTCCCAACTCCCGACTTTGATCTTGGAAACACGACTGAAGAGACGAAACTTAAGGCGCGTGTCGTCGAGGGAGAAGATATTTACGACACAACTGGTGCCACTCGTGTTACAGATGAAGTGGTCACAGTCAAGACCTTATTAGGACCCCTTGTTGCTAGCGACGTCCCTATTCTCAGATGCGTTGGACTCAACTATGCTACACACAGTGAGTAACCATTTTCATCAAGCCTTCGCATCGGTGAGAAGAACCACCCAGAAGAGACGCATTAACACGGTGACCGACAGTTCGTGAAGCTGGACGCAAAACACCACCTTTTCCTTCCATCTTCTTCAAGCCTTCGACAACAATACATGACCACGGAGTCAACGTGGCGATCCCCAAAGTCGCCCAGGATGACCAAGCAGATTATGAAGGAGAACTGGTGCGCTCTAAGCCTTATTACTACAGATGCCTACTGACAGATCTAGGTTGTGATCATTGGGAAGGATGCCAAAAATGTCAGTGAGGCTGAAGCTCTCAACTATGTTGCCGCATATACAGCAGGCAACGACATTTCCTCTAGGAAATGGCAGAGAGACCCGAATCTTGCTGGCGGAGTACCGCAATGGGGATTCTCCAAGGGCTTCGATACCTTTGCCCCCCTAGGCCCCGCCCTGGTTTCAAGCTCTGTGATAACATCACCCGAGTCGCTTCATCTGCAGACAATCGTCGACAATGATATTCGACAGGATGCAGGGCTTGACGACCTTGTGTTTTCTATTCCTCGTTTAATTGCACATCTATCCTCTGGAACTACACTGCAGAAAGGAAGTATTATTATGACCGGTACTCCGGGAGGTGAGTCATTCTAATGGGTGATTGTAATCTTAACATGAACTGACTCGTGTGTGTATAGGTGTTGGTGCGGGATTGAAGCCACCGAAATACCTTGTACCTGGAACGCACATGGAGGTCAAGATTACCCAGATTGGCACTCTCAAGAACGGCGTCGATTATGAGTAGTTGGGGAACGCCAGGTAGAAGAATAAATAGGCATATATTACTTTAGAAATGTAATAGATTTACATGCATTTAAACTTCTGTCTCGCTTATAATCTATAGAGTTTAATATTGTTAACGTCACTTGGCGAAGAGGTATAGCGTATGTATAGAGGAAGACAAAGTGTTATTCAGCCTCCAGGGTCGATATAAACTAGCTCTTAAGGGAGTGACACTTGAGAGAAAGAAAGAAGAGCAACATCAACAACAACACAGTAAACCAATCATAATAAAGAGCGAAAAGTTCCATCACTGCCCAGGACCCCAGGTACCCTATGGTAAGCACAGCGTTTTCACTACTATGCCAAAGTATAGCCCAACTAGATAGAGGTAGCAGCAACGCGCTGAATGAGGAATTGGGGTGCAGGTCCGGAGGCATCCGACTGATAAGCCAGATGGGGAGCAGCAACAATCAGGGAGCCAGTGCACACCAAGTCCCCAAAGTTGCAGAAAACCAGGGTTCGCTCTCGTGGGTAGTTTGGAATGCGGCCAAGATTCTGCAGGTTCTTGGTGTATCCGAACAGGACGGTACCGACAACCTTGTTGCGGACAGCAGTGCTGAGATCCTCAATACTGGCTGCAGCAAGGGCAGCGCCTTGGCTGTAACCTCCAGCAACGATCTTTGCAGAAGGGCACTTTGAGTTTGCAAGGTTGAACAGCCCAATCATCTCTCTTATGGCTGCCGAAGAGGTTCCTCGAGGAAGGGCGTTATCGCCAAGGGTAGCACGGTATGCTCCACCAACCTAGGATGTAAACAGTGAGAAGGTAAAACTGGATATTATCAAGGAAAATTACTCACTCCTTGGATCCAGACTCCATTGCTGCCGTAGTTGCTTTCAAGCACAGAGGCAACTCGGGGACCAAGCGTTCCCTATCAAGTCAGTCAAAATGGCTTGGAGTGCCAGAGACAAAACTCACCAAGTTTCCAAGCTCAGTGGAACCTCGGGCGTAGATGAAGATGACAGGAGGACAAGCAGATGAAGCGCCATTGGAGAGATCATCGCGAGTGATGCTTCCAGATTGACGCTCATCGAGCTCAGCACGAACTTCAAGCTCAGAAGAAGGGTTGGAAGTGGGAAGAGCGACTGACGCCGCAGCGAAGAATGAGAGGACAGCGATGAACTTCATGATTGATATGAGTTAATGATTGGATTGAGGTGTTCTTGTGAGTTGCTAGTGGTTGCTGGAATGATTGAGAGGCTTGTGAGGTGAAGAAACTCATTTCAAGGGGACAATCACGTCTATTTATCATAATTTCTCATGTTACTCCTTCTTTACTATTTTCTTTCACCTCTATACTCAATTCAATCTCATCATCTAGGCATTTCTTCATCTTGTCCGCTAACCTCTCTCAAGCCTTCTTCAAACCTCGGCTCCATTCCACAAGGAGGGGAAGCTCCATACACACAAACATCTTACCTTCACTCATCATAAGACCAGGACCCCGCACTTCACAACACCACCATCTGACTCTTCAACGAATCACTTAATAAAGCACTGTCTCAGGAACTATTGCACTAGAGTATGATTTCTCGGAGCTTCGTTACTCTGCATCGTTTTAGGAAATTGTGACAACGCTTTGTCGACCTAGCCTTTTCGGTAGCAATCTCACGATGCGGAACTCTACCGAATAGACTCACTAGTTCCCTTGGTTAGTGTCGTTTGAATGGCGGGATATTTTAAAGGTGGACGCTAATCCAGTCTGAGATCATCTTGCGAAAATGCCAAAACACCAAGATTATACCGAGGCCATCTTATTTACGCAACAAGGGAAACGATCAGCAGATGGAGGTTAATAGCCAAGATATTACCATCACCATTAACATAAATGATTTAGCGGTCAGGGACTCAGACTATTCATCATGTGTGCTGTTGTTTCCAGGCTGAAACCATCACGGCGATTGAGGAGAGAATCAACCTCGGCACAGTAATTGAGCCTTTGCTTGGCAGTGAGCTTATGCGTAATCAAACCAATAGTGAAAGCCTGGTACCTCTTAACAGTGCCTCATAAGGTTAAAGGAAGTGCTGACCTTAAACTATCGGCCAAATAACCCATCACGACAGACAAGCGGAATCCTCGGGTTATATATTGTGGAATTTGAGGTGTTTGTCTGGCATCCGCAATCAGACTTCAACATCATAGAAGCCAGGCAACTACGCAACGCAATAGCTAAAAAGATTTCATTTCAGCGACTGCCAAGATTATAAGCTGCCAGATCTCACTACTATGTATCGTGGCTTTGCCCCTCTCTGCTGCGCACTCATTGTTGAAGTTGCCTGAGGTATCTACCTTGTATATCAGCCGGACCTCTCGGCCTGAGCCCCTTTGTAGTCACAGCCAATAAGCACATATTCTTCTTTACACTTGTTCGCTTCTTTGAATAGGTTGCGTTATCTCTTGCACTGGCCACACTGTTATCTGGGTCCATATTGTTTGACTTGTCGCGTGGTAATGTTAAGCAAATTTTCTGCATTCTCGGCGAACTTAAATTACACGTATCATGCCCAACCACAGTCTAGCCTGACATCCCGCACACAATGCTTCAAGGCCACAGAATGGGCAGAACAAGAATTACGCGTAAGGAAATAGATGATCAGCAAGAGGAATTCCCAGTCGAATGGATCCCTAATAAAACTCTAATTTAGTAGTATCCTCTGACAAGCGGTTTTATTCATACCGCCCGGTGCTAAACCGGTTATCTGCAATGACCTGCCCCTCTTACACGAAACTTTAATACACAACTCCGAAGTTCACTTCCTAAAACCCACTAATTTATTCTTTCTTTACCACCTCTACCTTATCTTATTGGTCTACTTAGTGTTATGGAATATGACTCCTTTTATCGAATCGTTTCAATGCCTGTTGGTTCGTGGCAGATAGAAATAGATAATATTAACATATTCAAGATACCTATATAAAGTCCAGCAAGCCTCCTGTTCTAACCCTTAACTCTCTCCATCACTCCATCTTTATTCCTTATCCTTTGTGCACCATTCACCATCCATCATGAGAATCACTTCCCTTACTCTACTCTTTGCATGCAGCATCCTCGGCGTGGAAGCTGCCTGGGATTTATACCGAGATGTACAGTGCAATTACAAAAAGTCAGAGGTTGAACTTTGGCACAACTGCTTCGTGGATGGCAAAGAACCCTACACAGACAACGACTGCGGTCTGGCTTGCGCTCGCGCTGGTAGGAACGAGGGAGGCAAATTTGCCCACGCCAGCAACTACAATGGCGGGCAAAGCTGTGGGCTTGTTTGCTATTTCAAATAGTTGGTATGTTATATGTATAGGAACCGAGTCGTATTCCCTTTGCTAATACCAACAGGCAGCAGGGGAAGGGATGAAGACTTGGGAAATTTCACTAGACGCTCATATATGCTGCGGGATGGATTGGTGTTGTGACAAATGCGATGAATAAAATCTAGGATAAGTCTTCAGAAGTACAGTTCTTCGACTTCTCAATTAATCCAAGCGATGGGAAGCCTCAATTTACAAATTTATACAAAGATAATCAAAACCTTATGATGAGCACAATGTCACTTGAAGTGGAAGACCATAACTTGGCCCCTTCCAAAGCGTTGCTTTACCATAAATGTGAAAAAGAGTTTCAATGGAACAGTGCACCCATCATGCTCAATATCTACTTACTTTTGGGTCCCATCGATCATCATTTCCATCACTCTCCGAACAGTCACAGGAAGTATGTCACAGCAGAAGCTCTGTTCATTTCTATGAGCTTTATGTCCCTTTCTATCTCCCCGTCTCACATGTTGTTTTGGATGGTATCTGCCTGGCCATATGCTGTGTCACCTTGCGTATCTGGCATGGTTCCGCGTATTTATTTTCCTTCACTGTGAACTTTATCTGTATCGGGGTGCCCGACATCGGCTAAACGGTTAGCGGCTGGACCAAGCGGGTAACGCACCTCTCGTCGCTACTACGTTTATCCGACGCATCATCATGCCCATATCGTTACTCGATTGTCGCTTGTGAGATAAGCTGGTAGTGAAGAGATGGATACCGGTCAATGCAGGTCCAGAGTACCTCAGCGTCATGAGGGGCGGACCCAGAGGCACGCAGCAAAGCGACATCAATGCCCCAAGCCAGGGTGCGGAAAGTCTTTTAGTCGGCCATCCCATCTCGCGCGGCACGCTCTGAATCATTCTGCTGTCGAGTTCGAATGTCACCGATGTGCGGCGTCTTTCAAGCGCCGCGATCTCCTTGGTATGTCCATGTCTGGCCGATCCTGCAACATCCACGCAGTTTATAGAAAGATCTGAAGATGTAGTGTCGCTGACGGCCTTTCCACCAGAGCGTCATAGGGCTCGCCATGCCAGCAAAGACCGACTGGCCGGCGGGTTAGGGCTTGGAATACTCAGGACTAAAAGACATCGTCGGGGCCGACTCATGATGGCTTTAAGCTCACAAGGCGTTGAGCCATTGACGCCATCAAGTGTCCAACTGAGAACAGGCATGAATGGCCTATCGGCCAACGGTATAACCTCTTCCATTATTCCTGAATATGGAGCTGTGGCGGGGAGCGACGAATCCACGATCGGTACATTTCAGCAAATGACAGAACGGTCTGCTTCGTTTGATGCGGCCACCTCTGCTGAAACTGAACCTCACGAAGGGATTTTGAGTACAGATGGCTTCGACTTTCTCGAGCTCGGAGACATGTATCACGACTCTACCTTTGACTTTATGCATTTCAATGTTACGGGTAATCCGCACCCTTCAGGAACTTTTCAAGATCTAAGTCTAGTGCCGGGCCAAGACGACTTACCCGTCTTGCCCTCGAATTCTTTTGACTTTGATCAGGACCAACAATCGCCCCATCCTATCCAAGACGCACCAGCACTCAATTCTTCAATCATGAGGACACCGATAGCAAGCCAGTCCCCGGATCCTGATGAAGAACTATCTGGCCTTCCATCAGCAGGGTCCCAGAGTAAGGAAGCAATCGAGACAAGCAGCAGTTCCGCAGAAGTCGACAGCCTATGCTCTCTTGGGCGCCTTGGGCTTAATAACCTCCATCTGACGGAGACGAAGAGGGGAGAGATACTTGGTCTTATCAACGATATGAGGCCTGTATACCCAAATGGCACATCGATCGACGAGAGTACAGCAGACCTCTCACTCGTCCGAATGCAGGAGTACCTAGACTTGTTCTTTACCAACTTCAATTCTTGTTACCCCATGATCCACACGCCAACCCTAGAGGTTCTAGACACGGAGCCACTGTTCCTGTTATCTATGATTGTCCTTGGCGCTACATACAAGGAGAAGGAAGACCATCAGCTTTCTGTCTGCCTATATGACGCAATGACACCATATATCATGAGCGGGGTGAGTGGTATCAAGGTGCCAGATCTTTCGATCCTTCAGGCCTTTATGGTTTTGGAGTGTTATGGGATGTATCGAGCTGGAGCATACCAGCGGGAAAATGCCATTATAATGCATACGTTTCTATTCAACGTAAGTGTAGCTTTTGATGTTAAGAAGTCTTCCTACTGACGTAAAGACTAGGCTATAAGGAGACTGTCCCGTTACCACGTTCGGGCCAGAATAATGGTTCCTGACTTGAGAACAAATCATGAGAAGGACTGGAAAGCATTTGCATACCTTGAGCAGTACAAACGGTGTGTTTATGTGGCGGTATTCAAGCCTGTCAACATATTAACTAATATGCTTTAGCTTGATCTTGTTTATCTTTATGTGGGATACGCAAAATGTCAGTTACTATTCGTTCATGCCAAGTATGTCTACCCAATCAATTCAAGTCAATCTACCATGCTCTAAGGAGCTTTGGGAGGCCGAGGATGAAGACGCATGGAGAGCAATAGTTTCCTCAAAGACCGACCCCCCGATGATCAACAATATGGTCAAGGACTTCATCGAGGATGGAGGTAGCATATGGTCCGAGACCTTGGACAGCTTATCCCTGAGCTTTATCCTGCACGGCCTGATGTCGATGTGTAACGACATGGTCCACTTTCACAACCAGTCCATTTATCTCGGCAATGCCTCACAAGGAAACGATAACGATTGGCGCGGTCGGATGACGGCTGCACTAGAACTGTGGAAGACAAAGTATGATGCTTACGCTATGGGGACGAGGCAGACTATTGACGAAGACTCATCGCTACACGAGTTCCGTCAGGAAAACGTGGCTTTTCTTGCGCTCTATCACACTGCCCATATCGTCGTCAATGCGGATATCCGTCATCTCCAGATTGCAGCAGGCGCTGAGGCGATCTTCGGGCACGTTGTAACGAGCACAGAGCACGAAGAAAGTACAAAGGTGGTGATGGAATGGGTGCGGCTGTCTCCAGAATCGGCCGGTCATGCTGCGTGGCATGCTGCACAGATGATCCGCGAGGGTCTCTTGAACCTGCGGAATTGGAAAGCTAACGGCATGTTCCATTACCCGTGGTGCCTTTACATCGGTGTCTTGACAACCTGGGCCGTTGTGAATTTCTCGCAGAGCCAAACTGATGAGGAGTGTAATCGCCGAGGCTGCCATCACAGCCTTGGTGGAGAGGACATCTTGCAGACACAGTCAAAGGCTCTTATGCACCAGACCATCTCAAATATGGCATCTTGTACTCCAGCAACTATTGGCAGAGATCTGCATAGATGTTGCCCGCATGGTTTGGCTATTGAAGTGGCAAAGTATCTCAAGACAGTTCGATGGACTGCTGCCTTCGAAGCGATGAAGGTCCTTGAGGGCATTGTGGACATGGAATCACCATAAGTTGACTACTTAAAGTACAATGGTTAATAGGAGCCAAGTGGAAATTTAATACTTAAGAAAGAACATAACCGTTGTGCCTAGAGAGTATGGTCTGCTTTCTTCCCCCTTCTTAGTCTATAGTCTTACTAGGTCTACGTAGATACAGAAACCCAGGATTCGCGTTGCCTCATGTACAGGTAGAATGTTGAATTAATAACAAATAAGAATCTTCGGCCTAGTAATGCGTTAGTAGGGATAAGAGATAACCAGAGTGTACCACTGTTTGTCCTCTCCAAGCTTATCTACAGACTACCAATACCCACTTAACATGTACCACTTTACCGCGTACCACTTTGGAAGCGCGTACCACTGTGAACTTTTTGACGTGGGGATTACCCCACTTTATCACTCCCACCATTTCCCGGCTAGAACATCGGAAGGTATTCAGGGATAGGTACGAAGATGGACAATGCAGATTATAATCAGCGATAATGGGTACGCAATGCTCAGGTTTGATAACCGAAAAAGCTCCACCCTATCTCAATCCCCACGTTCCATTATCTGGGGTAAGGGTCCATCGCGAGGTAAGTTGCCGCAGCTGTCTAGGGATAAAGTGGTTCAGTTGAAGTTATTATTTAAGTTATTTACGAGCAGTAGAAGCATTGATGTCTGATTTCATATACCATGTTCCAGCGGAATCAACAAAAAGCTTAAAGTAAAGTCACTTGGGACATTATCATCAGAATGAAGTCACACAGAGCATCGGTAATCATCGTCGGAACTGGTGAGTATGCCACGGGAGACTATTCCAATTAGATACAGGGCCGTGCATCTAACTGCCAAAAGGCGTCGGTGGACTTGCTGCAGCAAAGACATACTTGGAATTAGATCCTGAAGCCGATATCTTGCTTCTCGAGAAGGTAAAATTCCTTCCATGCGTGGTGAAACTATCAAAGGAATACTGCTAATACTATATCTGCAGAGATCGGGTTTGGGTGGAGTCTGGGCCGAAGAGAACTGCTACGATGGCCTCAAGACCAACAACTTGCGAGGCACCTACGAGTTCACTGATTTCCCCCTCGATGATAGCTATGGCGTGAAGGATGGGGAGCATATCCCGGGTCTTGTGCTCTACAAGTACATGACCGACTTTGCTGTCAAATTTGACATATTTCGCCGCATTCACTTCAATGTCAACATCCGCACCATCGAGAAGCTAGATCAAGACGGCTCGGAGCTTGTTGGCGAAGACAGCACTGGTTCCGAGAAGCGCCCCGTCCAGGTGTCATATCGCTGCGAGAAACTCATCATGTGCACTGGCCTTGCATCGACCCCGAACCCCGTGTCATATCCAGGTCGTGAGTCCTTTGGTAAGCCAGTCCTCAATCACGGTCAGCTCAAGGTGGAGGCCCATGAAGTAGCCTCAGATCCTGACGTCAAGTCCGTCACGATTGTCGGAGCGTCAAAGACAGGCTACGATGCTGTACAACTAATGGCTTCTCGTGGTAAGAAGGTGACTTGGGTCATTCGCGAATCCGGTGGCGGCGGGGTCTGGATGTCACCTCCATGGGTCAAGATGGGACCTTTCACCCTCCAGCTGGAGCATGTCGCCACTATGAGATTCTTCACCTGGTTTAGTCCCTGCGTTTGGGGGGAGTACGATGGTTACTCTTGGGTTCGTCGCTTCCTGCACGGGGCGTGGCTCGGTCGAACAATGGTGCATCGTCTTTGGGAAAAGATCCGGATGGACACCGTCAACTTCAACGGGTACAAGAAAAATGAAGCAATTGCTCACCTAGAGCCTTATGAGAGGTATGTACCTGCCTCTGGGAGTACATGACTTCTGTATCATACACTGACCTCGAAAACTATAGTTTGTTCTGGTCTGCCCGCGTTGGAGTCCTGAACTATCCAGGCAATATTCACGACTATGTAACCTCGGGCCAGGTTCAGATCATCAAGAAAGACATCTCGCACCTCTCCAAAAACGGAACGATCAACTTTGCCGATGGTACAAGCTACCAGACTGATGCTTTGATAGCCATCACTGGATGGAAGCTTTCACCAAACATACAGTACAAGCCTGATGGAATTGAAGCGTGCCTCGGTATTCCAACCGAGAACATGAGCAGTGAAGAGCTGGCGTTCTGGTCCAATCTTGACAAAGAAGCCGAACGTGAAATCCTCCAAAAGTTTCCATATCTCACTCGCCCACCTAAGAATGTCATACCTTACAAGCAAAAGGTCTCACCATACCGCTTGTATCGCGGCATGGCACCGCCAGGTCTGACGTCGCGATCCGACAACTCCATTGTCTTTATCAAGATGGTCCACAGCACGGCCAACATCATCATTGCGGAAACACAAGCTCTCTGGGCATACGCCTATCTCAACGGCACGATCGACATAGACAAGGACAAAGTCTACAAGGAGACCGCGCTATCAAGCTGTTATGGTAGATTGCGCTACCCTTGTGGATTCTCAGCCTGGTACCCTGAGTTTGTGTACGATACTGTCCCGTACGCAGACATGTTGCTCCGGGATCTTGGTGTCCGCAGTCGAAGAAAACGCACTGCGACACAGGAAGTCTTTTCGGGATATACGATCCAGGATTATAAGGGGATCAATAGAGAGTGGGCGGAGACAAGGCGCTGCGACGAAGGGAAGAAGGTGATTTAGAGTAAGCCTGGGGCTGAATCAACGAGAAATGTATATAACCGAAAGTGAAACAGTCTGTAGTACTTGCCCTTGAGGCTGTCGACGCAAACAATAAATGCCGGAGCTTTTTCTATAGAGAACCCCTTTCACAGTACTACAGTATAAGTATCTTCTATCTATAAGATATTGTGAAGAGATCTGCCATACTCCTAATTGTAGCACCATGAAACGGGCCCCTATTCCTGATTAGAGTTCCCAAGCAGGAATCTTGCCCCTGGCCCCTGGCCTGGATTTAAGGCTGAAAACTGGCTCGAGACTACCGAGTTAGGAACTAGACTTGATGATCTACATTTCACAGCCAATGGTGTTGGCTGTGGCAAGCCAGCGCTCGAGATAGCTGGAATTTAAACCTTATTTATCAGCCATGAAATATTAGCAAAAGCCCTTTTCAGTTATGAAGCCTGTAAATCATGGCTTAGAGACATATCTAGCCCCATAGCATCCCAAACGTCCGGGAATGCCGATGACCGTAGACCTAAGTCTAGCTATTAAGGCGTAAACCTAGATGCTGTTTTCGGTAAGACACTGTTATTCTCCTAGTCTAGATTATCCTTTTGCATTCTAAAGACCTTTCTTTATACTTTATAGATTCAACTGTTGGTTATACTAGAGAAGAATTGTAAGATAATAGGGAATGAGAATAGTATAAGATAGCTACCATCCCCCTCATGAGATCCAGAAGTATTACAACCCACAATACAGCATAGACCCTCATTGCTTTACTTCTTTCTTACCCTCTTCAACCACCATAACTATGAAGCTCGTTATCTCTTTATTTCTTCTTGCCGAACTTATCGGTTTAACCCTTGCCCAGGCAAAAGTTCAGAACGCCAACATCGAACCCGAACTTGTCGTCCCAAACAGTTATATTATTAAATATAAATCGAAGGCTTCCTCTAGCAGTAAGAAGAAGCATGAAAAAGCCATTCACAAAAAGGCTAAAAGCAAGGGAAAAGAGGGCATTGTGGATAATATCGACCTCGATGGTTTCAAAGGCTATGTCGCCGAGATTCCCTCCTCGGAACTTCAGGAAGTCATTGACTCTGACCTGGTAAGTTATTCTGATCTAGAGCCCTGGCGGTTTGGTGCTGACTTAAGTATTCAGGTCGATTACATTGAGCAGGATACCATTGTGAACGTCTCTGCTGTTGCAGCCCCTAGCTTAGGCCCGATCACGAAACGTGGATATACCAGCCAGACATCTGCTCCCTGGGGTCTTGCCCGTATCTCACAGGTCTATTCTGAAAAAGGTGTAGACGCTCGCTACTCTTACGATGCAACGGCTGGTGCTGGTTCAACTGTTTATGTCCTCGATTCGGGTATTCGAACTACGCATAAGGAGTTTGAGGGCCGTGCCTTTTGGGGAGCTAATTTCATCAGCGGCTCTCCTGATACAGACGAGTACGGCCACGGGACACATGTTGCTGGTACTGTCGGTGGCAAGACCTACGGCGTAGCTAAAGGCTGCAGGATTTATGCTGTCAAGGTGATTGATAAGAATGGCAGTGGCACTATGTCCAATATCCTTCAGGGCCTACAGTGGGCTGTCAATCACGCCAAGTCCCGTGGCATCACCAAGACGAGCATTATCAATGCATCTCTTGGCGGCCCCTATACCAAGATTGGCAATGCTGCTGTCAAAGCTGCCACTGATCTCGGGATTACTATCGTTGTTTCAGCTGGCAATGATGGGGCTGATGCTGCCGACTACTCACCTGCTTCTGCTCCATCGGCCATCACTGTTGCCGCTATTGATTCTGCTAGTTATCGCACTTTATGGTCAAACTATGGCAGCGTGGTAGATATCTTTGCGCCTGGTAGTGATATACTCAGCGCGGGGCATCTAAGCGACTCTAGCAGTGTATACAAGTCAGGCACAAGTATGGCTGCGCCGCATGTTGCTGGTCTTGCGGCGTATTTCATGGCAAAGGAGGGACTTCGGGGCTCTGTTGCTGTTACTAAGCGTATCATCGCCGCTGCTGATACCACTGCTGTTGGATACGCTGTAGATAGTCCTCAACGTGTCGCTTATAATGGTGGTGGCAAATAGTAAATAGAGGAGTTTGCGATCAGGGCCATGTGCAGACCAGTACTATCAAGTACTTTCTTTATGACAAGACACTTTTCCAGACAGATCATTTGAGCTCCGAGGCCAGTATTCGTCTCCGAGATGTAATGCGTATGAGATTGAGGAGTTTTGGCCTTCTGGACTCCTCTATATGGGACCGTCTTACGTTTAGTCTTATTCTTTTAAGGGGCATTAGTCCTTTTAAATAGAAGCTTTTACAGTCAGGGACTAACGCATAATTGGAGTATGTATTAAATTACACGACAGGGTGAAAGAAAATTAAACGATCTACTTGTATGTAAAGTCTAAAGAACTCAGATGCGGAGGTCTATTCTATCCTTTAACATTTTCTTAACAGACTCGACTTTGCTTGCCAAATTATCCATGTGCGCACCTTCATACCCCATCGTAGCATGGTCTTTAAATACCTCTGAGAGCTCCTCATACGCCAACGGCGTTACATCCTGACCCCTCTCTGTTGGCCCTGCTGAGAAAGGGCACCCGCATGGATCCGCTTTCCGGCATCTTCGCGTAGTGCTCGCATAATCAGAAAGGCCGAGCATATCCTCCGCGGGGCGGAGAGCATCCAGCATCAACTTGACCGCCGTGCCAATCCTGCTGCACACCTCGTCCGTAACAGGCAGCTCACCGAGCTGCAGCGCCTTTACCCCCGCTGCATTATGCGACAGAAGTTCGCCGGTAAAGGGAGGGAGTGTCATCCTCAGATAGGTCTCAAAATGAGTCAACACCAGACAGTACAGGCGGCGCAGGGAGGAGTAACAGCTCATTGCCAGCATTTTTGTGGGTGCATCCATGGAATCTCTAAGGCTGTGAGATGCTGTGGAAGATGGGGGTGTGATGGATTGAAGGTCTGCATAGTAGCTGTAGCTGTTGAAGGGAGAAACTGAGGGTATCGAATCGCGTCTCGACACTCCAGTCATCTCTTGGGTAAATGCTGAGGCTGTGTGAAATGAGCTTGTGACTTGAGGGATGATCTCTACCAGAGTCCGAGCAAGATGCAAGATGGTGCCAATAGGATATTCGCAAAAGTTGAAGCTAGGATATTTAGTTGCATGCGAACTGCCCGTGAGAATAGCCAACGTTCGGTAAATATCGGCCATGAGATTTGACAGTCGAGTGATTGGCGAAGCCCCATCAATGTCGATGCTCCCGTTGGTCTGGGACTGCGTGCAGTCGTGCATGAAGGGCGTTATTCTCGCAGATGAATCCAACACGCTGTTTTGGTCGAGTTTGGGTGTAGTGGGCTCAGTGACAAGTCCGTTACCAAGAATCTGGTTCGGTACTACGTCGAGCATGGAGCCAACATGCAGCCCACTCGCGCTCGCAGATGCTACGCCTGACGGTGTCTGTGCGAAGTTGTCAAATGTCATTGTTGACTCGTCCAGTCGGACTCCAAAGTCCGAAGTGTTCAGCATGGCCCAGATATCTGGTGAGCCTGTATAAGACGAGTCGAGATTGTCAAAGCTCACTTCTTCGCCAGAACCAGTTGGTGGAGTCAGAGGCCCCATTTCGCCTTCACCGGAGCTGCCCTCTGACTCGAGGTTCTTCTGGCGCTTTGGGCGGGCTCGTTGGCTATACACGCACTCAACCTTGGCCCTGATACAGCGGGCGCACTTTTGCTGGACTGATCTGTCTTCTGCATTGACGATGCATTTGAGCTTGTGGAATCGGCAGCGATCACATGAAGCTCGCACTGAGGGGAAGTTATACGGAGGCATAATGTTTTGGTCTGGGGGAGAGTAGACAGGGTTGACCTAGTGACTGGGCAGTAAAGAGAAGGGTGTGTCCTTGATGAGAATCAGGGTAGATTGCCAAGGCTTTGGAATGGGGAGCCAGTGCAGTTGGCTGACTCGATACTGTACCGAGGCAGCAGGTCAGATGAATCGGGACATTGGCCCAACTAAGGCTTGCGAGTCTTATAATCAGATTACCTTGCCCAGGCAGTACAAAGAGCTGGGTCGACTTCACTGCCGAGTTGCCGTCGCCTTGCGTCTCTCACCACTGCGCCACTAGTCAGCATCCATGCCGCAGTGCTGAGTGGTTTCCTGAGCGTGGTGATTTCTGACACGCCGCTTATATGCAGCTTCAGCTTTGCTTATACTGGATGCAACCATCTATACGCTTAAGGTTTCGGCTAGGCTTGACATGGCAGGTTGGTCAGTGCGGTTGAGAGTACGATAAAACAGGGTATATCGTATTCAGGATCAGAACACGTAATGCGATATGTTATCATCTCCGGGCACGTGTTTGGCAGCGAGTCAGCGTCATGGTACGGTAGCATCACAATGGAGAGAAGGTTTGCCGAGAGGTAGAGTAAATATTAAGTGGAAATTACTAGGGTTCTCTTCTAACTCAATCTGGTGATGTCGTTTATCTCTACGAAGGTTACTGAAACAAAGGGAGCTCCAGGCAATGAGTGGCGTTGAATATTGGGGACACCTGTTAAACCCGTATCCATGACCATTTCATGCATGTTGGTGTCTCATAAATGACGAAATAGACAACGCCCAAGATCAGCTCACCATGTCCTCGGTTCCGTGACTGGAATATGCATGATGGATCAAAACAGCCACGACAGGGTTATTTGTCTAGCCTTAGCAGCCTTAATAGGTCGAGAGCTTGCTGAATTCGCCACGGGCCCTGATCCGATAACCCCATTTGAAAAAGAGGAAGGGAGCTGGCAGCAGAAGCACGCTAATGCAGGCAAAAATAGTGCTGCCCCAATCGATGCCGATCTTTTCATACATGGGCCAGACAAAGAGAGGGAAAGCACCTGCAGCCATGGATCGGACAAAAGTGTTAGCCGCAATTGCGCTAGCACTGTAGCGAGTGAAAGTATCGACGAGATACTGGAGGGACGATTGGAAGATGGTGGTGAAGCCCACCCCTGTAAGGAAGACACCGATGATGGATGGCCAAGGGCTCGAGACGTGCTCAACCGAGGTCCCTGAAAGATGACAATAACGGGTCAGTCGTCTATGCAAGTCATCTCCACAATTTTTATCATGGTCATGCAGGTTCGGGGCGGTTCCGCTAGGAATTATTGCGACTTACAGCCAAAAAGGAAAAGACCTGCAGAGAAGGCGAATCCGCCCACCATCATTGGTGGAAGTCTCGCTTCAGGAACAGGCTTGAAGTGGTTGGCGACGAGCTTCTTTCCGTAATAGATGTTGTTGAAGATGTTGGCGGCGGCGGCAAAGAGACAGCCAATTAAGAGGGACAGAAAGGGAAGCTGGCTGACGACTGGGCCCCATCCTCGGAACCGGCCGTATTCCAAGGCGAAACTCTCTAAGCTCGCGTAAAGGATTGCTAGAAAAAGTCCCCATGAGTCAGCAACGTTTGGGAAGGTAATACAGCAGGTAACGTTGAAAATGACTGGGGACATCTGTAGCGCTTACCATAGACGAAAGAGGTATAGATCGTAAGCAGCAGGCAGATTGGATCCAGAAGCATCTGAAACGGGCGGACAAGGTAGGTACTCAGTAAACTCTTGAACGTTGGGCTAGTCTCCTCCCACTGTGTTTTTTGTTTCAGCCAAGATATCAGCCACGGGAGGGCACCATAAGCGGGAAGATTATGTGCGGGAACGGATCTCACATACCTTAGCGTGGAGACTGAAATTCCCCGTAGACCGACGGAGGCGGCTGGCCTTCCGTGTGAGAAGCACGTCAGCGTGGCTCTCGTCTAGCCACAAGGCGTCTAGGACGAACTGGACCATCATGACGATGCCCGTCAGGTACTCGGTCCAGCGCCAGCCGCAGCCGCTCGCGATAAAGGCGCCGCCAATGATAGGCCCCAGGGTCGGCGCCGCAGCGATGGTGATGCCGTAACACACCATGGGAGTGCCCCGCTGGCGTGGGGTCCAGATGTCAACGATGGAGCCGCCCGTGATGGAGATGGGGGAGCTGCCGAAGACGCCAGCGAAGAACCTTGTAATCAGGATTGTCTGGATATCCTTGGCGGTCGCAGTGCCGAAGGCGAAAGCTGCGCTAATGAAATAGGGCTAGGAACGTACAGGTTAGCCAGGTCCATAACGGTAGGTACTGTATGTAAGTAACGGTAGCAGCAACAATGGAGTCAGTCTTACAGCGAGAGCAGGCCATTTCCGGCCGTAAACCTCGCACAGAGGCGCCCAGAGCATGGGTCCAAGGGCGAAGCCGAAAATGAGCAGACTGGTGCCCGCGTTGGCTACCTCGTACGACACATGGAACTCCTGGCTAATCTCTGCTGTGCCGGCCGAGTAGATGGCGGAGGCGAAGGTGATCCAGCACGTAGTCAAGGCCCACAGGGCTGTCGTGTAGACCTTCTTCCCCATGGGCCAGTTCTGGGGGTTGAGCGTGTCGGAGTCTCCCTCGAAGTCGACTATATCGCCCAATTGGGCTTCTTCCTTGACGACACCCATGTTGGACTCTTCCGCGGGTTCGTTCATCGCTGTCAGATCATTCAGTGGAGCCAGTGTCTCTCCGTGATTTGGCGGGGTATGGATGGATGCAAGTCTAGATCAGATCAGACACGTACTGTAAGGCGTCAAGATAAGGCAAAGTCCTTGTTCAGTGATTGTTTCTGTGGGAGAGAATCCTTTTGCGGATTTCTTGACAGGCCTTTATCATGTTTTCTCTCAGCGCTAGTATCATGTGTTTTTTCTTGACGCTCGTAATGGCCAATTTCGCCAGTGTTTTCGCTTTCTCGCTCACTCGCGCATCTCGCATAAGTTATGCGACTGCCGGACCAATAGCAGCACTGATCATCCTCTGCGGGGCATCATCTCGCACAATTGTCCGCTGCCTCACTCGCCCGCCCTTGAGTCCTCTGCCATGTTCTACGCGGCATCGTTCAGCTACGTCCGTTCAATCTGTAATTCAGACTGCCAAGCCACGAAATTCTCAGGTCCTCTAGGGTAATCATTTCTTGACAGCTCTTGTCCGTCACAGCAAGATGGACTCTACTTTGGGAAGTCTCTCCATGCCAGGCTTGGCACAATCACACGTCCAAGTGCGGACCTGCATCCACTGTCGCCAACGCAGAGTCAAATGCGACCGTCAGTTCCCCCAATGCTCTAATTGCATAAGGTCCGAAGTCAATTGCATCTATCCTCCTGGTCGAGGCAGGGCACCCAAGAGACCAAAACGCAGCCTCGCGCCTCAACTATCAGAACGCTTGTCCCGCCTTGAGAACATCATTGGACAGTTCGGCGCAGCTGGTAAGTTTAAATGCATCCATTGACTCACTGAATACATATCGTCTCTAACAATTACCTAGCCAGAGAGAATAATGATGATGCCCCACAAACTGCGCAAGACAGTGAGGGTCATTCGTTTGAGCAGGACTTCAGTCGTCTCAAAGTTGATGAGTCAAAGAGTTACTATGTGAACAACGCATTATGGGTCACTCTCTCAAATGAGGTAAATCCCTCCATTATGGCTTGCTCTACTTTCTCATGGCTGACGTCATCTGTAGGTTGAGGAGCTCCGTGATCTTCTTTTTGAGCCAGCTAGCGAAGATGCTGGCTACGAGCCTTCTATCTCTTCATCCGCCACCACCGCAGCTACTTCACCATCATCTCCCCAACTGGGACTCAATGCCGCCATTTTTGGCTATCGCGCAATCGCTTCTCCTCTATACCATTACCATCCCTCACTACAGCAGGCAGTCACGCTCTTTGCCGCATTCAGTGAGAATGTCGCGCCGCTGGTCCGCATATTTCACATGCCGACCTTGACAAGAATCTACTGGGACGCCATCGCATCTCTTGGCACAGTAGACAAGAATACCGAGACCCTGTTATTCACTATTCATTACTCGGCTGTCATCAGTCTTAACCCGGAGCAATGTCTGAATATTCTGGACGAAACTCGTGAAGCTGCCCTGGAAAGATATCGGTTTGCGGTGGAACAGGCTCTCGCTCAAGGCAATCTTCTCAGTACTCAAAGTATGACCATGTTGCAGGCCGCAGTGCTCTTCTTGTCTGCTCTACCAAATGAAGATGACTCGCGTGCCGCATGGGCACTCACATCGCTGGTCTTCCATATCGCAAGGACCATGGGTCTTCATCGCGATGGCACCATTTTCGGGCTAAAACCCTTCGAGACTGAGCTGCGCCGCCGTTTGTGGTGGCAGATCTGCATCATCGATAGTCGCTCGTCAGAATATCACTGCAACGAGCCTATTGCGCAGGGTTTCATTACAGATACCAAGCCACCGTTGCACATCAATGATGTTGACTTGTCACCTGAGATGGTGGAGCCTCCAGCTGAAAGATGGGACCATGCGACTGACATGACGCTCACGTTGGTCAGGTGTGAGGCTATACAGACAGGTCTGAAGCTGGGTCGCTTGAGGCACAAGCAGAACAAAGCGTCAGACGATGGAGGTACCCCCAGGGTAGATGACACCTCTGATTCTCCCAAGACTCTGATCCAGGAATTGGAGACTCGGTTGCGGGACAAGTATTTACCTATCTGTGATACTTCCGTGCCATTCCAACTTCTTTCTTCAGCAGTGGCACAGATCATCCTTGGACGGTTCTGGCTTATTACCCAGTACTCGGTAGTGTCACGGGAGAAGGATGTCGATGGCAGAAACACGAGCGACCAATTCCCTCCCACTCCCAACACCGCAGGCCAGCTGGAGAACAAAGTACGTAACGAGCTCTTCCAAACTTCAATCAAGATCTTGGAAGTGTCAGGCATGCTTCTCACAAGCAAAGAAATCATCCAATTCACATGGTACTCAAAGACCCATATCCAATGGGGTGCCATGGCATTTGTTCTCTCTGAGCTATGTGCCCGACCCCAATCTCCCCAATGCGATCAAGCATGGGAATGCGTAACGACAGTATACGAGGGATGGAAGGTTGATGAGAGCAGACAAGATGAGACTCGCCTTGCCTTGTGGAGACCTATAAAGAGGCTTATGGCCAAAGCTCGCTACGTCAAAGAAATGCAGCAGACAACTCCAGGGCGATCATCAAACGCGGGACGTAAAGTTCAGAGGCGAGATCCGGTTCTGTACTCTCCTTCACCGGGACTTTTCTCGCAGTATCCAACACCAGCGTACTCTAACAATTGGTATGGACAGTTGCAGCAGACACCGCCTTCTATATCAGCGCCAGAAGCATCATTGCCTGGCATGGTAGCGGTGCCACTTGACAGCAGTGGTCAGTCAGATGCCCTACAGAGAGTACTTGGCACGGAAACTCTAGGCCCTTTCATGGATATGATTCCAGAATGGCCTTGGGTTGATGCTGAACATGGGGCTTCATCTCTGGCGGGGTTTGATCTTGGGCCACCAAGATTCAATTAATTGAATCATCTAGCAGTTACATCTTGCAGCTTCGATTTTATTACACAACTAACAAGAAATCCTTTCATAGATAGTCTACTGAAGATAAAAGTACATAAGTAATATGTGTCTATTAACTTAAATGACAAGTGCTAATCTATGTAAATTGATATGTCTTGGCGATCGCAGTCCTCATATAAACTGATGCTCAACATCTCAGTTGAAGTATCTTGGTATCTCTCTCTTAACAAAGTCATCAAATGATGTAGCCTTGCGGCCCGTCAAGAGCTCAACATTACCCCGCGACTTCTCATAGTCCTCAGGGGCATACAGTGCCCTCGTCTCCACCATGGACTTGGCCAAAGACTTCGCTACAATATCGGGAACATGAAGCTTGGCCAGATTCTCGAGGTACTGCTCTACCGTGATGTGATTGACCTTGACCTCAGGCTTGCCAGCAGCGACAAGCTCTCGGTTAACAATCTCCCACTGCTCAGTCTGCGAGAGCAACGCTGGCCCGCTGAGATAAACGACGTCCTTCTTGGGCGCTCCTTGATAGCCGCCCGCGTACAGCCGCGGGTTGACTAACACGGCTGCAGCCGCACGCCCAATATCCTTCGGGTCAATGGGATCGTGCGGCACTTCCGGAGCTAGCAAATTGACTTGTTTAGGCTCCGAAGATCGATCAAGGTAAATTCGCAGCGGGTTGCTCGCAAAGAACCCGGCCCGTACCGCTGCATGTGGCACCTCGAGCTCCTCCAGCGCAATCTCGACCTGCGCATGCTGCCATGGGATGAAGTGGTCTGGCTTGATGGATCGAATGTCACCCTTTGTGGTGCCCGCGGTCCTGACCTGACTGGTCGACAGGAAAACGACGTACTGGATGCCAGCGTCGCGCAGGGCGGTAATGGCACCACGCAACGTGTCCTTGGAGCGCACGGCGTAGATGAAGGCAGCCTGGGAGCCTGTCTCTTGCACGGCCCGCTTTACGGAGTCCAGGTCGGTTAGGTCGGCACTGATGCGCTGCAGGTCTGCGGCACGCTCTTGCTCGGGCGAGATCCACTCGTTGTGCTTGGATGTGTCGCGTAGGGCAATGAAGACGTGGGCGCCGAGAGCGTGGGCCTCGAGTGCGACGGCGGAGCCAACTTCGCCGGTGGCACCAAAGACAAGGACTTTGGAGAAATGTGGAGATGGCATGGTGCAAAGTGAGATAAGCAGGGATGGAGGGTGTCAGTGAAGGTGGTATACAGTACAGTAGAATGGTAGGGCAGCTGAAGCTTGTTTCGGTGAACCAGAGTGTGTTGACGTATCAGCATTTATGTACTCACATTCGAGGTCCGAAGATGTCCGCCTGTAATCGTTTGGAATTCCGAACTTCAGCGTCATCCTCAACGATCATTCCTGTCCGCTCAAGTCTCGGATAACCAGCCCGAAGACGCGGATGTGGGGTCTCGCCATCTCGCATAATCGCATAACTACGGCTCGCGATTGGTTGAATCTGATCAACCCCTGAAATCTGTCATGTCCAAATTTGGCAACACTTCGTCTTGGCGATCTGAGCATCTGAACATGGCAATCCCTGGTTGTCACCAAGCTTCAGTTCCTGCAATTGTCTGACAGCCTGTCAGTCAATGAAGTCCAGATGATAATAAACTCAAGGTTTTTAGTGTATGGATACTAATGCACAAGATGTCTACTAACACTAGTAGCACGATTTCTGTGCAAGCTTTGGAGCGATTGATACGGTACAGTGGTTCATACTTTATGTGTCTTATTGACAGCGACAATTTTGAGCAGACACAAGGCGTAAGAGGAATGAGCAGATAAAAAGCAAGTAATAATCGAATGAGCAAGTTGGATCAATTTTATCATATTTCTAATCTTGATCAAATAACTAAAGTCGTATAGCCAAATTTATTAATCCCCTACCCTAGAACAACATCAATCACCGACATAAAGCTACCATAAGGCGTGTTGACAGCATTGATCTTGAGCCTCGAGTCCACCGCCTCCAAGATCGCTTTCCAACCCTCAAGGTCTCGCTCAAGGGAGTTGAAAAGCTGCATCATACCCACATCGCGAGATCGAAGAACACGCTCATTCACTGACGAGACAGTGCCAGGCTCAGGCACCACAAAATCCATGATCAATACGTGCGAGTTCTGACCCATGGACTCCACAGTGTTCTTGAGGATCTTGACAGAGTTCTCAAAGTCCCAGTTGTGAAAGATCTGGCGCAAGAGGTACACATCGGCGCCGACGACTGGTTGCTTCTGGAAGAAGTCGTATTCTTGGAATTGGATACGGTTGGCGATGCTGGCCTCGTTGTTCTCCTTGATAACCTTGGCGCCTTCTTCGACGACGTGAGGGATGTCTTGGATGATGAAGCTGAGATCGGGGAAGGCCTCGGCTAGCTTCACACAGCTATGTCCGATGTTGCCTCCAATCTTTCACGAGATACGTTAGTAAGATTGGAGACTGAGAAATTGAGATACTTACATCGACAACGTTGGCCTTGCCAAGTCCGGCCCAGTCAAAGCCACTAACGAGATGCTTCAAGTCACTCTTCGGGCTAGTCGCAATCGCATCCATGACACGACCAAAGAGCTTGTAAACATCAGGCTGCTTAGCAATGTACTCATACATGCGAAGATCAGTGTTAAACGCGGCATTGAAAGCTGCCTTGTTGGGAGCTGTGCTGTCAGGCCATCGCTCATGAGCGGTGACCATAGACGCAATGACTGGGGCAATGATACTTGTCATCCAGACCCTCTGGTCGGAGAATCGGGTGTTGGTCACCAAAGCAGCTGAGGTAGCTGAGTGAGCGATGAAGCCTGGCTCAGGCTCGGCAAAGAGATGGTTCGTCATGCCCATGCGGGCGAGAGTCTTGAGCCGTAACTCAGATACACCAGCCTTGGAAGCCAATTCTGTGTATGAGATCTTGCCTTCCAAGGGCACAAGCTCAAAGATCTTGAAGTGGCTCATCCATCGGAGGATTTCCATGTAGTGGTACTATAACTGTTATTCAAAGTTACAGGCACTGTGTATCGGGGAGTACTTACACCTGTGATGACATTTTGCAAGTACTCGCCTGGGCCAGAGACAAGCTGGAAGATCTGCAATGCGCTGTCGAGTAGCTTCTCCTTCGCAACCTGGGCCTCCTCAGGGGCATCGGGTGATAAGTTGATAATGGGTGCATCCCGCTCGAAGCTAGGCTCGGGAAGTTTGTTAGCTCGGAGGTACCCGTTCAAAGTGGTGGTGTTCTTGTTGAGATCTTGGACTAAGACCTCCAGGGGTGACAGAGCGGCATGCCCATTGACGCCATTGGTACCATTAGTACCGTTAGTACCGTTAGTACCATTGGTACCGTTAGAAATGCCGTTTGAGACCATGTTGGGCGATGTAATTGGTAAATGTCAAGACAAGGAAGAAGATGTTGAAATGCTGTTGCTGAGATGATGCTGAGAAGATGGAAATCAATAGAGGCTTATCAAGTCTATAAAGTGGTGCCATTTGGATACAACTGTAACAGTGGATAACTAAGGAACTTCAGTGGCGTACCTGTTTTGGAAGTCCGAAGTCCTCCGATCTATGCGTGTTTTACCATGCGTGGATGAGGCGACTTTCAAAATTCGGATATCTTCGGCCGGTGCTTATGCATAACCTACACTAGTGTGGCGCTGCCTACTCAAATAAACAAGATCACCCTAAAGGACACGACGGCTTCATCTATCCCTTCTGAAAGGTCGTAAACCGAGGCAATTGTAATTCAGAGCATATTCTCCTCCATCTCACCATCGCCATGGCCAAACCCAACCAACATTATGAGGTTATCATCGCCGGAGGAGGAATTGCTGGAGTCACTCTTGCGCTGATGCTTGAGAAACTTGGCATCAGCTATTTCCTCCTCGAGGGTCGCGATACTCTCGAGTCTGATAGAGGCGCTGGGATCGGTCTGCAGCCAAATGGACTGCGTATCCTTGATCAGCTTGGCCTCGTGGAGGACATTGAGGAGGCAACTATACCACTTGAGAAGTGGTTCTCTTATGACAGCGAGGGTAACTTGATGAATGACTCTGACGCCATGGGCCAATATCGTGAGAAGTTAGTATAATTGAATTCTGTTTATCTTGACTGTTGACTAATGGGGTACGTGTTAGGATCGGATATCCTGTTGCCTTCATTGAGCGTCGCAAGCTTCTACCTATTATGGTTCGTCACATTCAACGCACAGAATGTGTCAGGACTTCAGCACGCGTGGCTTCAATTGAGGAGAGTGACGACCATGTCACTGTGACAACGACCGACGGATTGTCTCTTACCGCAGATATTGTTGTTGGTGCCGATGGCGTGCGAAGCGCTGTCCGCGCACACATTGACTCCAAGCTTCCTGAAGCATTGACTGCAGATGACTGTGAGCTATGCGTCAAGCTGATCATCGTGAACTTCCACTAACCTATGACCAGACATCAGCGTTGCCTGCTCCACAGTCTATGGAATGTCAGCACCCACCGAAGGCATCGCCCCCGGTGAACGCTTCGCTGTCTACCGAGAGAACCAAACAGTCATCGGCTTCACAGGTAAAGACGGAATTGTGTTCTGGTTTGTCTTTGAGAATCTCAACCAGAACGTCCCTCTGTCTCAAGCCCCGCGATACACTGAAGCTGAAGCCGAGGCTCTCTGCCAAAGCGTTGCCCATACACAGGTCACTCCAAAGCTGAGGTTTGGAGAGATCTACAAGAACCGTGTAGTGGCAGTCAAGATTGGTGTAGAAGAAGGCGTCGCGAAGGGATGGCACACTGATCGTGCTGTCATTGTCGGCGATGCAGCTTGTAAGACTACACCAGCTGGTGGACAGGGCGCCAACCAAGCTATTGAGTCATGCGCCGTCTTCGTCAACAAGCTCATCAAAGCCAAAAAGGCACGTCAGCCTGGTGAAAAGCTGTCTAGCGAGGCTGTCAAGTCCGTGCTCGCAAGCTATGCTCAAGAGCGTGCACAGCCAGCTACTACAGCCCTGGAAAGATCTCAAATGGTAGGCAAGGCGCTGTTATGCACTCCAGGGCCTGCAACTACTCTTGTAAAGGACATGTTGAAGCTCAGTAACGAAGACTGGCTTTTGCGTGCGTTTATGGCACTTTCTGCTGCGCCATATTTGGAGGATGTTGAGCTTACGGCTAGAGGACATCTTTATAACAAGGCTGTTAAGGAAGCGCAGGCTGAGATGGCGAGACGCCAGAAGGTAGCGAAGGAGATTAAGGAGGCGGAAGAGAAAGAGAGTAAGCAGGCTGCGAGTATTCAAGAGTCTGAGCAGCGCAATGACTTTGCAGGTCTTCGAAATCCAGTTCAGGCAGCGACTGGAGTCGTTGAAGTTGGTTCTTAGAATAGAATAGTCTTTGTGCCATCTCGAGTCCAAGCCAATCATTACTTATTACATTCTTTACTATTTCCAGAACTTTCCTGTAGTTCTGTGATGATGCCGACTACTAAAGGCATTCAGTTTACTCTGTTGTGTAGTCTCGCTTCGTCGTCTCTGTGGAATTGACCAGGACCACTAGTTCAGTCGTAGGATTGAGCTTCGCACATCGCCTCAGAATCAAACTTGATACGTAACAGTATAGCACTAGATCTCTACCGTATTGAAGTTCATGAGATAGCCCCGGCAGTGACAATTGGAGCATCGAGGTTCTCGTCATTCAACCATGTTCCAATTCGGCTTCAAGAGTACTCCAATGTCTGCTCAACTCTGCTCTTGTTTCATTCGTCCTCGGTTAACGGCACCTACTACGCCACTCTAGCAGTTTCAGCTTCCCCTGCCAGATAAGAATTCGGACCTCTTCGGAGCTCATCTCTGATCTGACCCTGCGTGGCGTAATTAGACGCTATACTGACTCTGGCCCACCCATGCCAGCCACTACGGAGATTTTCGCAAAAGCGCGGAACCAACACTGGCTCTGCATTAGCCTGTCAGCTAGGCCCTTACGAATTACCAAAAAGGATCATGCAGGTGCAACACTCTATGGTATAAGCTTCACACGTCTTGGCAAGAAAAGCGTAAGACAACGAATATTGAACTGTTTGTTACTGCTTTCAACAGCGATTTTCTTGCCATTCTTCACGATGGCGTCCTCAACAGATCTATATGTCTTTGGCGATCAAAGCACTCCCGTTCTTGATAAACTACAAACCCTTTTACGTGTAAAAGATAATGCGCTTTTGACTTCTTTTCTTGGCGAGGCGTTTTTGGCTGTACGACATGAGATTGTTTCACTCTCGTCTATAGAGAGAAAATCGATTCCCGAGGCTGAGAGCCTCAGCTTGCTTTTGGAGGGCGTTCGGAGGAGCGAGCCACATGCGGCTCTGGATAGCGCTTTTGTGTGCATCTATGAGATTGGATACTATATTGAGTAAGTCAGAGATGAGAACGCAGAAGGCCAAGTTTTGCTGACTGAATTCAAGTTATTTGGCCCGTTCGGATAAGCAACATCCATCGGCGTCGCCGTCATTCCTCCTCGGTATTTGCACCGGTAGCATTGCAGCCGCCGCTGTCAGCTGCGCGAAAGATGTTTTCGAGATTTCGAAACTGGGTGTTGAGGCTGCTACTGTTGCTTTCCGACTAGGAATGCACGTTCGCAGAAGAGCTGAAAACCTTGGGTACTCGACAACTTCAAGCTGGTCTATGATCTTGTCTTCGAATCAGGAAGAGCTTGTTTCAGAAGCTTTACAAGAATTCTCCAAGGATAAAGTGAGTTCGAGAGCCCCAACTATTTGCAATTTGAGTGAAACTCATTCTGGTCCCAGAATCTTACATCCAGCACGCGTCCGTACATCAGCGCCGTTGGTCCTGGTTTCACAACAATTAGCGGTCCTCCATCTATCCTCGAGTCACTGAAAGCTCTCGATATTTTCTCTGGAAAGAGGTTATATCCGGCTCCCATTTATGGTCCCTACCATAACGCGTTGGCATACTCCGAGTCCAGCCTCGAACATGCCCTTGCATCAATCCTCGAAGATGCTGAGTTCCTAGAGAACAAGATGCTCATTCCCATCATCTCCTGCGCCTCGGGATCTCGCTTAGACCAGTTGTCCTTCGGTAGCCTCCTCAAGGACGTTTTGAGCAGCGCTCTTTCTCAACAAATCCGCATGGATCTCGTCACAGATGCTCTGCTCGAAACCGTTTCTGGTACTGACGCTACCTTGATGCCGGTCAATGCCCAAACGACTGTTTGCAGTCTTGCTGACTGGTTGGCCAAGCGAGGAGCCACAACACGCATTGGACCAACACTGGATAGCCTTGTCAAAGATCAAGCAGAACCCCAAGTTGCTCCCGGCGATGACAACAAGATCGCCATCATCGGATTCAGCGGGCGGTTCCCCGAAGCCGACAACCTCGACGAGTTCTGGGATCTTTTGATTCGTGGTCTCGATGTCCACAAACCAGTACCCGAAGAGCGCTTTGCTCGCGACCACTACGATCCCACTGGCCAGCGCAAGAATACCAGCCAAGTCCAGTACGGATGCTGGTTAAAGTCCGCAGGCCACTTCGACACTCAGTTCTTCCACATGTCGCCCAAGGAAGCTATGCAGACCGATCCAGCGCAGCGACTTGCCCTCCTTACAGCTTATGAAGCCCTCGAGATGGCTGGAGTCGTGCCTGACCGAACTCCGTCGACCCAGCGGAACCGCGTGGGCGTTTACTACGGTACTACGAGTAACGATTGGGGTGAGGTGAACTCTTCGCAGGATGTTGATACGTACTACATTCCTGGAGCCAACCGTGCCTTTATTCCTGGCAGGGTCAACTACTTCTTCAAGTTCACGGGCCCGAGTATCGCTGTTGACACCGCTTGTTCTTCGAGTCTCGCTGCTATCAACCTTGCGATTACTTCGTTGAAGAACCGGGATTGTGATACTGCGATTGCTGGTGGAACTAACGTCATGACGAACCCTGACAACTTTGCGGGCCTTGATCGGGGTCATTTCCTCTCCCGCACAGGCAACTGCAAGGCTTTTGACGATGGTGCAGACGGTTACTGCCGCGCTGACGGAATCGGTACCTTGATTCTCAAACGCCTGCCGGATGCCATCGCCGATAGTGATCCCATCTTTGGAGTCATCCTTGGAGCACACACCAACCACTCAGCAGAGTCTGTCTCTATCACCCGACCTCTCGCAGATGCTCAGGAGTATCTGTTCAAGAAGCTCCTAAACGAGACTGGTATTCACCCTCACGATGTCAGCTACGTCGAGATGCATGGCACAGGGACCCAAGCCGGCGATGCAGTTGAGATGCGATCAGTCCTCAACTCCTTCGCCTTCGACCACAGCCGGCCACGGGACAAGAGCTTATATCTCGGCTCAGTCAAGGCCAATGTCGGACACGCTGAATCTGCATCTGGAGTTCTTGCCATCATCAAGGTATTGCTCATGATGCAGAAGAACACGATCCCTCCTCATTGCGGCATCAAGACCAAGATCAACCAGGGTTTCCCCAAGGACTTGGATCATCGTGGTGTGCGCATCGCTCAGAAGGAGAGCGTGGATTGGTCTCGGCCTGAGGGTGGTAAGCGCAGAGTGTTGGTGAACAACTTCTCTGCTGCTGGTGGAAACACGTCTTTGCTGCTCGAGGATGGTCCTGCTGTTCATCCAGCACGACAGCATCAAGATGGAGATCCTCGCACTGAACATGTTGTAGCTGTTTCTGCACGGTCTACCAAGGCTCTGGAGGAGAATTTGAAGGCTCTTGAAGCTTTCATCGCCAACTCTTGGGCTCCGGAGGGTGAGCTTCTTTCTCAGCTCTCGTACACCACTACAGCTCGACGTGTACACCACAGTCGACGGGTTGCGTTTGTCACCAACGGTCTTGATGACTTGAGAAAGTCTCTTCTCAATGCTGTTTCCACCGCTGGGCAAGTCAAGGGCATTCCTGCAGTGTCGCCCAAGGTCGGATTCCTCTTCACTGGACAGGGAGCACAAGAGACCGCCATGGCCAATGGGTACTACAAGAGCTTCTCATCCTTCCGATCGGACATTCACCAGCTTGACTCCATCGCAACTCTTCAGGGTCTCCCATCTGTGCTACCACTTATCCATGGTACAACTCCCGTTGAGGACCTTTCCGCAGTTGTCGTGCAACTGGGAACTTGCATCATCCAGATCGCACTGGCCCGTTTCTGGATCAGCCTCGGCATCACTCCTCAGTATGTCATTGGACACAGTCTGGGCGAATATGCCGCCCTCCAGATTGCCGGAGTGCTTAGCGTCAACGATGCCATCTTCCTCTGTGGTCACAGGGCAGCGCTTCTCGACAAGAAGTGCACTGCCTACACGCACGGCATGGTCGCTGTCAAAGCCGCAGCGGATGACTTGAGGCAGCAGATCTCTTCGGACTTGAAGGTTGAAATTGCTTGTGTCAACGGTACCGAGGACACTGTCCTCAGCGGTCCCAACGCGGATATCGAGTCGCTCTGCGGGAAGCTGACCCAGGCTGGCTACAAGCTTCACAAGTTGGAGATTCCCTTTGCATTCCACTCGTCTCAGGTCGATCCCATTCTTGATGACCTCGAAGAACTGGCTTCTCAGGTTGAGTTCCACGAGCCCAAGCTTCCTATCGTCTCGCCTCTTCTACGTACGCTACTAACTGGTGATACACTCGGTCCTCAGTACATCAGACGTCATTGCCGTGAGACAGTTGACTTCCTTGGTGCTATCAAGATGGCTGAGTCACAAGGGATCATGGACCGAACTGGCATGTGTATCGAGATTGGAGCACACCCTATCCTCACGCGAATGGTCAAGTCAATAATCGGCCAAGAGTTCCGATGCCTTGCTTCTCTTCGCCGCAAGGAGGACCACTTCAAGACTCTTGCTGACTCTCTCTGCGCTTTACATCTGGCTGGCTTTTCTGTCAACTGGGACGAGTACCATCGGGACTTTGCTTCATCTCGCAATGTCCTCCAGCTTCCTAAGTATAGTTGGCAGCTTGCGAACTACTGGATGCAGTACAAGTACAGCTGGTGTCTTACCAAGGGCGACGCTCCCGTTGAGAATGGTCCGGTTGGTGCAGTCGTGCAGACGAGGGCACTGAGGCTTAGTGACTCAGTGCACAATGTCATCGAGCAGGTTCATGGTGACAAGAGAAGCTCCATCACGGTTGAGTCTGATATGCATGACGCCTCTCTCCTAACCATAGCGCAAAACCATCGTGTCAACGGATTGACTATGGCCCCTTCGGTTAGTCCCCTCTCTTCAGTACTACTGTGGATTCTATCACTGACTTTACGATTTGCAGACTCTCTTTGCCGACATCGCCTTTACTCTCGCCAAGCACCTCATCCAGAACCACGGCCTCGACACGCAGACGAACCTACCCTCCATCAACAACATGGCTGTCGAGAAGGCTCTCATCGTGGGAGAGACTGGCCCTCAGCTATTCCGAGCATCGCTTGATATGGACTGGACTTCCACGCACGGTTCAGTCCGCATCTTCAGCGTCAATGCGAGCGGGAAGCAGACCACTATCCACGCAGTCTGCGATGTAGCGGTTGAGAACCCAAGTTCTCATCGTGAAAGCTGGCAGAGCCACGCTTACCTCATCCAGAGAGGTATTACGCAGCTTGTCAAAGGTGCTGGTGATGGAACTGCTCATATGATGCGCCGTGGTCTCTTGTACAAGATCTTTTCCAACTCGGTCCAGTACGGGTCTGCTTTTCAAGGCATCGAACAGGTCTGGTTTGACAGTGAAGGCCTCGAAGGAACTGGCAAGGTCTTCATGCCATCCGGCAAGGACAATTTTGCGCTCAACCCGTATTGCTGCGACAGTTTGGGCCACATCACAGGCTTCATCATGAATTGCAGCGACAGCTTGGACCTTGATGACCACGTCTACATTAATCATGGCTGGCGCTCCCTTCGCTTGGTTGAGCCTTACCAGTGCGATGTGCAGTATCGGACATATGTCAAGATGCAGGCTGTCGGCTCTGATGATTCTACTTACAGTGGCGATGTCCATGTTCTTCGTGATGGTAAGATCATCGGTATCTGCGGCGGCGTCACCTTTAAGAAGGTCGCTCGTAAGGTACTGGAGATGCTTCTTCCCAAGCCCTCTGGTGCAAAGGCCAAGTCCGCTGCAGTTAAGCACGCTGCTACTGAACCCGTTAGACACGCCGTTCTCACTCCTCCACCCACCACTAGCCATAGTGTCGGCACAACATCACCTCCTGAGCCAACAGAACCGGCTGTTGGTTCTACTTCCGGTCTCATTCAGAAGGCTCTCGATATCATTGCCGATGAGATTGGCGTCGACATGTCTCAGCTCACCGACTCCACTCTCTTGGCTGACCTGGGCGTGGATTCACTTATGTCATTGACCATTCTGGGTAACTTCCGAGAGGAGCTCGACCTAGACATACCCGCAGCGCAGTTCTATGAGTTCTCAACGGTCCAGGATCTCAAGTCCTTCCTTGGGGCCAACGACCAAGACTTCTCAAGCTCAAACTCCGAGGCAGAGAGTTTCGCGTCTAGCGCCGCTTCAACATCTCCCAGTGACCACGGGGATGATCCCGTTGAGGATGTCAAGCCTGTTGTGGCTGAGATACCTCGCTCAACCTCTACGATCTTACAGGGCACCAAGCACTGTTCCCGAACACTCTTTCTGTTCCCCGACGGCGCCGGCTCAGCCACATCTTATGTCACCCTCCCATCCATTTCGCCGGACATGAGAGTCATTGGATTGAACAGCCCTTACCTCACCAAGCCGCATGAGTTCAACTGTGCTCTCCAGGAAATCACAGGCTCCTACTTGAACGAAGTGCGTCGACGCCAACCCCAAGGCCCCTATCATCTCGCCGGTTGGTCAGCAGGCGGCGTCTCAGCGTTTGACGCCGCTCGTCAGCTTGTCTCAGAGGGAGAGGTAGTCGAAAGCCTCATCCTGATCGACTCCCCCAACCCCGTTGGTCTCGGCAAACTGCCAAAGCGTATGTACGACTTCCTCGAAAAGTCGGGTATCTTTGGCGCTTTCGAGATGGGCGAGGAAGCTCAAGCGCCGCCTGATTGGCTCTTCCAGCACTTCTGTGTCTTCATTGAGGCTTTGGATAGATATGTGCCTGAACCGTTTGAGCACGGCATGGCGCCCAAGACGACCATCATCTGGGCTGCGGACGGCGTGTGCAAGAACCCTGAAGATCCTCGCCCAGAGGCACAGCCTGACGATCCTCGGGGAATGAACTGGCTCTTGAATAACAGGGAGGATTTTGGGCCGAATGGTTGGGATGAGTTTATTGGCCCCGGCAACATCAGCACAATGGCGATTGAGAATGCCAACCACTTCACTATGATGAGGGAGCCCATTGCGTCTGCTCTTTGTGCGAAAATCCGGGAGGCTATGGGGGTTAATTGACAAGTGCCTTGAAGCGGCAGTGTTATTTATTTAGATATTTATATCTTTGCTTTCTATAGTTGCTTTCTTTTAATGGTAAATTTGTACACCTTATATATACTCCTCCGGGTAAACATAACACTTCCCTACCGTGTCAGCACACTGACGTAAGTTAGTGCCAGCCCCAACCCAACTTAAGTAGATTTACCAGGCGTCATTTCCACTTCTTTACTCAGTTCGGATCTCTTTCACAATATCTTCACATCATGACAACTGAGCAGGGCCGTGTAAGTATACCCACCGTAAAGGATGGTGAAGAATGGCCCTTTCTCTTTCGAATCTACCTCAACTGCGTCACCTGGACTCTGCGCCAGCTTGTATCATTTCTGACCGGTCCAAATGAGGGTCATGATCTGGAAGTTAAAATCAACACCCCAGGATTGGGAGCGGGGTATGTGATGTGTAATGTGTGGCTACCCCGACCCACGGATGAAATCCAACCAAAACATCCACTGGTGTTAGTTCTTGAAGGCGGTGGCTTTGTCTTGGGACATCCTAAGGATGGACGTTTAAATAACCGTCGAATCGTTGATGAGGTGTGTAGCCTACACTACGCACAGCGATCACTCAGACCTAACACCAGCGCAGACGGGAGCCATTGTCATGTCGATCGATTACGCCAAGGCGCCCAGATACCCTTATCCTCACGCTTTGTTGCAAGCATACGAAGCGCTACGGTGGGCCCTATCGTCCCCAGCTGCCCGTGAAGGCATGAATGTTGATCCCCGACGTGTGGCGATCGGAGGAAATTCAGCGGGTGGTAATTTGACAGCAGCTTTATCGCTATTACTATCCTTTCGAAGTGGCCCTTGCTCCATGTTCAGAGAGGGTCTACCGCTAGACTTCAAGCAGGTTTTACAATTAATGCTCTATCCCAGCCTTGAATTGCGCTTGCCATACGATCTTAGACTTGCCAGGTCTACAAGCGACACCCAGAAGCACAGCCTACCCGCCTGGATGGCCCGGGCAATGGAGCAGTCGTATCTACCGCCAGGAATCTGCAAGGACGAGATCTTTGTATCTCCCATCGCTGCTAGTGTAGAACTTCTTCGTGAACTGGATGTTCCACCTGCTATACTGTTCACCGGTAGTCTCGATTGCCTCAAGGAGGAGGGCTTCTGTTATGCCCAAAATCTTACGAAAAGCGGCAAGGAGGTTACATTTCATGAATTTGAAGGCGGAACTCATGGATTCTCGGTCAAGCCGCAGGAGGGAAGTGCGGAGGCGCAGATCATGTACGAGGAATGTTGGGCTAGAATATGTCATTCTCTTCGAGATGCGTTCTCATAGTGTTACTGAACGCAAGAGATAGCTATTTCCAACAGGCAAAGTTGAACGGACGACTACCTCTTACATAGCAGAGGTGAAGTTACAAGTTGCCATTAGATAATAATTTATGCTTTATTTTCTCCCCTTTCTTTCTCTAAGTTCTCTATGCTGATATAAGCTCTCAACCACAAGTCTCAAATGCACATAACACATCTTACTCACAACATAGATATTATACCACAATGCCTGACCAATTGTTACAGCATAAAGCTGATGTAATAAAAAACTGGATTATGACTCTTTGGTCGGCCTTGAAGGAATACACGATGGTGCCTCCAATTCCTCGACCAAGAAAGGTTAGCTCAACACCACACCTTATCTTTCTCTAAGCTACCTCGTTGTGTATATATCCTCTTGAGCTTCTTTTTCTGCGTGGTGACTGAAGCGCCTCTTTATTAGGATAACGAAGTATAGCCATTAATGCTTTAGATACTATTATCCGCTTATCTCAGTGTACAGAAAGAGTAATATAATCGGAGGGAGATAGATATAGTACAGTGGATGGATCGTAAAGGGACAAGTAGGTTCTTCTCAAATGACAATTTATTCTTGACCTTTTGCTTTGAAACCTACCTAAATCTTATGCATTGTATCACCATGATCCTTCGGTTTAGGGTCGCCGCGAACTAGCCAATCTGGCGCTTCCGCCGACCAATATGGGGGAACTGATTTTGTCAATATGGGCCTGACAGATGTCCACGCAGTCTATTGTCATATCTAAAGATCGTTGCATTCCCCTACAGGATCAGATAGTATTTCCACCGTCAACCGGCCAGCAAGCTCCTGTTACAAAGGATGCTTGCTCGCTCAATAGGAAAACAATTACACTAGCGACTTCATCCGGATGCGCGGCTCGAGCGATGGGGTTTGCTCTGTCCGTCGCTGACTCTCCATTCGCATCTCTTGGTACGGTACTCTGGGTCATTGGAGTGTCGATAAACCCTGGCGCGACTGTATTGATACGGATGTTCTTTGATCCGACCTCAGCCGCCACGGAGGCGCAGAGGCCTACAACAGCATGCTTGGAAGCTGCATATACCGGTGCCGAAGGGAGGGCTCTAATACCTGCTGCCGACGCAACAGTGACCTAGATTTGCATACCTGATTAATGACGCTCCGAAAACAAATTCTGCGTATCTTACAATGCTTCCCCCCCTGTCACCGATGCCAGCTATCTGGGCTTGTAAACAATTGAAAACCCCCTTTGCATTCACGTTCATCATGAGGTCCCAATCTTGCATTGTTGAGTTGAAGAGAGACTTTGGCTTAAAGATACCACCGATATTGGCGGCACCGTCCAATCGACCGAACCTCGACACTGTTTTGTCGATCCAGTCACTGACTTGATTCGCATCAGATACGTCTACCACGAGTGAGAAGACATCCTTCGAAGTTCCTTCGTTTTCAAGAATTTTCATAGTGTTGGCGAGGCCGACTGGGTCCAAATCTACCAATGAGAGCTTGGCGCCCTGCTTGTTCAACTGTATCGCGGTCGAGCGCCCAATGCCACTTCCTGCGCCAGTGACAGCAATCTACAAAATTGGTGAATCAAATTGATTTAAATGAATCAGAATGGTACTTACGACTTTGTCTCGAATCGAATCCATCACAGTAGATAAGGTTATTATATCTTTAGATAGGCGGCTCTATTAAAAGAATAATTATATTGCCTTCATAAATGTTTCTTAGGGTTGCTTAGTTGGCTCCTGCAGATCTAGCTAACGGGTAGTATTTATGTCAATTGGGTTTATCTGTCTCCGAGGACGGGGTAGCTGACTCGCGGCATTGAGTCAGGTAGTTGGTTTATCTTTATTCCCGAGGGGCTGCGAAGCTGACTGGCCGCAACAAGTTAGCTAACACCCTATTAGGCCTATTATACATGCCTTTAACCTTTTACGAATTGCTGTTGTATCTCTTCTAGAGCGCTTCTACAATCCTACAAGTGCTGTTATTAACATCGATAGCTCAGCTGCTCTTATTAATACAAGACCTCGTCTTCACCGCAACAATCCTTTGCGAAATCCCCAGTTAGATGGATACTGAGATTGCCATGGGGAAGCGTCTTCGCAAAAACTTGTCTAAATTTAGATATTGATGCAATTATCATACCTACAGAACCAGACCAGCCGTCATCATTCCTCAACACCTAAAGGTATCTTATCTCGGCTTAGACGTCAAATACGCTGCGACTTCAGAGGAACTAGTATTGGACTTGACTGAAGAGAACATATTGTGACTTGATATGTCTCATTGAGATGTCATAAGCCTTAACTATCAATCAATCAATCATCGTATTAAAAGCTTTGGTGATCAGATCTGGTTCTGATCATCGACAGCTTCTTGCTTCTCGGTGTACCAAACAAAGACCACTATATACCATCACTTCATTGGTACAGTTCCATATATTATAAGAAAGGTAGATGTGTATATAATCAACTCTTCATTTGAACAGGTACACCTTGAATCACAGCGTCTTTCTCACTTCCCTCCGATCCTAGGCCCATACCTAACTTGATGGCTTCAGCCTCAGTAAAGGACCCGAAGTAGTCCATGTCATCAACAAGTCCCAAACCAGGGGGCGGGAACACACGATTGATAGCGTAATGGGCAGCGAATGAGATGGCAAACCCGAGAGGGAATGCAAGATAAAATAGTTCATGCCAAGCCTCGCCAACCTTGACTTTGTTGGGGGTCACACCAGCTGCAAATCCAGGCAGTTGAGTCACAAAGCCAAGGAACCAAGCAATGAAGCTTCTGGGGTTAAAGCCATAACTGAAATAATAAATGCTGGTAGGACCAGGATTGTAGAGATGGGACAATTTGATGCGGCGGGAACGGATCAGCCAGTAATCACAGACTTGAATGCCAATAATCGGCCCAAGAAAAACACTGTACGCAGACAAGACGGAGATGAAGACGCTGGCTGAAGAAAGAAGCTCCCACGGGCACATGGCAACGCTCAAGACTAGAGCAATAAAAGCACCTCGCCTGATGTTGATATAGGAGCTGACGAGACCAGCGAGATCCATACCAGCACTATATGCGTTGTCAACCACGTTGATCGCAATCTGGCACATGACAAGGCCTAAGCCAGCAAAGAATGCCGCGGCTCTTGAACCAGATGAGTAGTCTCTGTCGAGCCACTCTTGGCATATTAAGGCTTGATAGTTGATACACCGTTAGTAATGACGAAATAAAGGAGAAGGTGCTGGAGACTTGGACTTACGGGGATTCCAGATGGCCTCCCCCCAGATGCCCTGAGTGGCTGATGCTGCAAGGCAGCCAAAGAGAGGAAAGAGTGTGCCGAAAAAGCTGTAAATGTATAAGTTGCTGCCCTTGCAAGTCCCAGTCATTGATGGTAACTTACATGATGGAAAACCACTGCCCAAACACTTGATCACCAGGCTTTTGAGCAAATCGGGTATAATCATTTGCATTAGTCAGTCCTACTGCTATGCCGCCAATGACAGTTGTTACACCAGACGTGATAGCCCAGCCAAGGTCATGAGAGCTCATTGGTGTTGCACTCTCGGAAAGGAGAGGGCCACCCCCTTTAGCTTCAACTAGAGACCAAATCATGATGGAAATGAGCGTGACCGACGCAATGATGTTGAAGATAAGGAGAACTCTCTTGATTTTGTGAGGGTGGATCCAGAGAACTGGGATCATGGCGACATTGAAAAGAATCCAGCCAACGAACTGCTTCGTATCGAGATGAGACGATGCAGGAAATACGTTTCCGAGTCTTTGAAAGCTGGGAAACATTGCAGACAAGATGACTGAGATGCAGAGACCGCCTGTCCACGACTGGACAGAAAACCAGACCAGACTGAGAATAATTCTCTGGACGATGGCGATGAAGGCTCCGTATGGACCCCAGATATATCTCGAAACAACAGGGAAGCCGATGTGCCATTCAGCACCTGTGTAACCATTGAAGATCGCGACCAAGCTGATGATGACCTTGCCGATCAAGGTAGCCACAATGACCTGCCAGACACTGAGGCCGGTGGCGACAAGAGAAGCGCCCAGCTGCCAGTTGGATACTAAGTGGGAGTCAGATCACGAGTATATTCATAGAAATTGCTCGTGGTTGGCTTACTGGCAACCTGGTTCACCAACCAGAAAGATATAAAGGTCATGGTGTCCCATGTTCGACGCTCTGGCTCCAACGGACGGATGTCGTCATTGATCCAAACATTAGAGACGGCTCTATCTGCGCTGGGCAGTCTCATCCAGGTCAAGATGGCTTTGAGTGACATACTGGCAGGATAGTCCTTTAAGTCGGGGCTGTGAAAGATATTGGAACTTGATCCTATTGAGCTGACCCCCTAGGACTACAGCAGATTCTGTGGGTTCTCATTCTACTTTATGATGTATCTTATCACCATTGAATATGAAGTATGTCTTGGACTTGGAGATAAGCAAGGATTCATTGCCACTACCTCCCAGTTGGGTTACATGGTGCGAGGTCGGATAATCTTCTTGGTCTTGTTTAAATCTCACACTGTAACCCATACTTTCGAAAAGAGGGGTCGCTAACCGGCAGATAACGAGTTGGAACTACCTTGTGCTACTTAAAGTTGAGTCTTGTGTAACTCGATTCCAGAAAAAGAACTCATACTCGGTAGATGAAACCCGGAACCCGGAGTCCGGAACCAAACTGTCGTATCACATATAGCCTTGTAAACTAGGTAGCATTGGGATGAAGAGAAATCTTGTCCAATTTGTTGGTGAGATGGAGTTATAGATAGAGAGACAATTTATATAGCCCGACATCAATTGCCGCTTCGGCATTCCCGATTTGGACATGACGCGGCATTTAGTCTGAAAATTGACGATCATCAGCACACTCGGATTGTTTCACCCCGGCCAAAGTTGACCGAAGATAGGGCAACCACTTGCTCGGGACAATTGCACCGTTCAAGCAAACAAGAAAGTTCGGAGGGGTTCATGTTATCCCGCAACGTTATCTTCCAGATACGAGATATCCTGGTAGAAACCCCGCAGATGCATGGAATCTCGCGGTTTGTTCATGTAAGCTAACCGTATTGCTCCGCTTTCCATGGCCGGAGAATGGCCAGCAATGGTGCGAGAAGCTCGGTTATATGAGCAAAGCATTGATTATTCTCACTTGCAAATTTGTTTTCAAGAGATTCCTGCACAGGTTTCAGATTTCGAGCCCTAACCCCTGCCCATCATGACTCTAAGTAAAGCTATACGCATCGGAGTCGACGTCGGCGGCACCAATACCGACGCCGTTGCCATAGATGTGGCCCTTGCTACTCAAGGCGATGCCCAACGTGGAGTCATCGCCTTCAAGAAAACTCCTACTACGCCAGATGCGACTGCTGGAATCGAGACTGCTGTTAGAGCTGTCATTGACTCTGGCAGCATAGTTCCCCAGCGGATAGCAAGCATCACTGTCGGCACAACACACTTTATCAATGCAGTCGTGGAGAGAGATGCCAGGAGACTTCAAAAGGTCGGCGTCTTGAGACTGTCACGTTCGTTTCTCCGAGAAGTACCTCCATTCTCAGACTTCCCGCCTGATCTAGCAGCCATCATCAAGGGATACTGCGGAATCATCGATGGAGGCCTGCACATCGATGGTTCTCAAGAAGCACCCATCAAAGAAGCCCAAGTGATGGCCGAATGCGAAAAGCTCAAGGCAGAGAACCTGAGGGCAGTTGTGATCGCTGGCGTCTTTTCTCCGATTGACGAGATATTCAAGCAAGAGAGCCGCGTCAGAGACATCATCCTACGAGAAATCCCAGGAATCGATGTCGTATGTTCTCATGAGGTGGCCAATATTGGTTTCCTAGAGCGCGAAAACGCCAGCATCCTCAATGCCGCTATCCTTCAATACGCTCGAAAAACAATGAGGAGGTTCAATCAGGCCAAGAAGAAGCTTAACCTGACGTGTCCACTGTTCATTACTCAGAACGACGGGACCACCCTTGATGCTGCCGCAGCAGCTAGGATACCCATTAGGACCTTTGCATCTGGAGCCACCAACTCGATGAGAGGAGCTGCATACTTGGCAGGGATCGATGCTGGAGGCAACTCCTCGGCCATCGTCGTGGATATTGGTGGAACTACAGCTGACATTGGCGTAATCCTACCAAGCGGGCTTCCAAGACAGGCCTCTGCCTATGTCACAGTCGCTGGGGTGAGAGTGAATTATTCAATGCCTCATCTGCACTCGGTTGGACTTGGTGGGGGTTCACTCGTGCGCAATGTTGATGGAAGAGTCAAGGTCGGCCCCGAGTCAGTTGGCCACTACCTTGTCGAAGAAGCCCTTGTTTTTGGTGGCAATACATGCACAGCATCTGATATTGCTGTCGCCCTGGGAAGAGCAGATATGGGTGATAGGAGCAGACTCGCTGAACTGAACCATGAGTTTGTCCAATCCGCAAAAGACTGCATCAAGACTCTACTCGATGGAGCTGTCGATGTCATCAAGACCTCTGCTGATCCACTACCCGTCCTTCTGGTAGGAGGAGGTGCCGTGCTGGCACCAGAGGACATCTCAGGTGCCTCAAAGGTCATCCTACCGCCATTCCACGATGTTGCGAATGCCATTGGTGCTGCTATCTCTCGTGTCAGCGGTGACGTTGATATTGTTCAGAGTACAGCCCACCAGACAGAGTCACAGGCTCTTGAGCGTGCAAAGAAGATGGCCGTCGAAAGAGCTATTCAAGCTGGTGCCATCCCCGAAAGTATTTCGATGGCGAATGTAGAGAGTATTCCGTTGCAATACGTGTCTCATCAAGTTCGAACCATTGTTAAAGCAGTGGGAGACGTGGACTTCAAGGGCTACGTATCAGAGTTGGAGCTCAAGGCTTTAGATGATGACGACGACGAAGCCAATGACGAACCTGAAGGGCAAAAGAATCGAGCTGTCAAGACTACAGAAGTTATGCCTCTGGATCCTTTCACCTACACTCCTACCATAAAGGCCAACGATGAGGGCGTTCCTGAATGGATACTCAATGAAATTGATCTGGCTTGGCTGGCTGACGGATGCTATGTGCTCGGCTGCGCTGGCGGTGGCACCCCAGCTCCTAGCTTCATTCAACTGCGGGACATTATAAGACAAGGCCATACTATTCGCATCATCGACCAGTCTTCTCTCAAAGATGATGCCCTCATCTACTGGGGCGGCCATATGGGATCTCCTGCCGTATCGGTGGAGCGGCTACAGTCGACCGAGACAGTCCAAGCATTCAATGTGCTCATGGAGTATCTCGGTCATAATAAAGTTGATGCTGTCATGGGATTAGAGATTGGTGGTGCCAATGGTATGGAGCCGATGCTCGTTGGCTCCTCGCGGTTCTTTAATGCGCCTGTGATTGACGGTGACTGGATGGGCCGAGCATATCCTACATACTGGCAGACTACGCTTGCGGTACACAAACCATTGGAGCTCGTTCCTTGTGCCATTGACTCTGGCGACGGCAAGAGTATCATCATGACTCGAGCACCAGACGACGAGATTGTTGATAGAGCATTGAGAGCGTCATGTTCCGAGATGGGAAGCCGAGTCGGTATGGCCGCCAAACCTACCACTACCGAGAACGTGCGGAGATATGGCGTGCTGAATACCTGTTCTCTTGCTTGGAGGATAGGCAGATGCATCGCCCGCAGTGTTTACAGCAACCAGCTCTCGACAGTTGCAGAGTCGATCATCAAAGAGGCTGGTGGGTTGACGTCAGCCAGGGTGCTATTCAGAGGCAAAATTGTAGAAGTCGAGCGAAGACTATACAAGGGGCACTCGCACGGCGCTCTACGCATTGAAGCATTCGACGAGCATGTTGATGACGAAGAGGATAGTGGATCGAAGCGAATGGCACCTGTAGTCTCAGGAGGAACATTGCGAATCCCATTCAAGAACGAAAACATTCTTGCTGAGCATACCGCTGCTGACGGCTCTCAAACCAAGATCATCGCCTCTGTCCCTGATCTCATTGCTGTGCTAGACAATGGCTCTGGTAGAGCACTAGGTGTTCCAGAGTTCAAGTACGGTTATAGAGTGACTGTCTTGGGCATTACATGCTCACCGCAGTGGACGAGAACACCTTCTGGTATCGAGATTGGAGGACCGAAAGCATTTGGCTATGACGATGTTGTTTACAAGCCACTTGGGGAGTATGTGGAACCTGCGAGTGTGATTAGAGAATATGCTTAATTTGAGGTGTATATGTATAAATATCCCATTGAGGTACTAGAGGCTGGACCCGCGGAGCACCAGATGTCAACATCAAGTGCCACCAACTTCCTAATGTAAAAGAAGTTACTATCAATCGGCGTAAGTTCGACGGGAACGAAATCGTGGGAGACGACATACAGCTCACCCTCGGGACCGATGCGCCGGGCAGTACTTAGTCTACCCCGCGCCCACAGTGCAGTTTGCCGCTAACCCAAATACAGGTATAAAATCTCAACCTTGGTAAAAAGACAAGTCAAGTCATCTATTAAATACTCGCCTTGTTCCCACATCTAATGTTGGATCATAATAAACATCAAGACCTCTTCTCAAATAACCCAAAAACCTTATTTCACATACATTGAATATCCTTCCCAACAAGCATCATGCCAAACACAGCCGGAACACCTGCGACATGGGTAGTGCTTGGTGCTTCGCGGGGAATCGGTCTTGAGTATGTCAAGCAGCTCCTTCAGGCAGGAAACACAGTGATTGCGGCAGCTCGCAACCCAGATGCGTCGGGATTATCGGCAGTGGTTAAAGCTCATGGTAGTCTAGATAATTGTATCGTGGAGCAGTGCGACGTTGCAAGTAGCGAAAGCATCGATGTAAGCTCAACTTATCCTTCCAGGTCATTATGGACATGTCTAATGGCTTCACGTGCAGAACTTTGCTGCCAGAATGAGCGCACTTGTAGGAAAGGGAATCAGACTCGATAATATCGTCATGAATGCAGGTGTCCTCAGATACCCAAATCGAGCAACGGAATTGTAATGCCCCATCAACAAGTATTCCCCTAGACGTACAATTGCTTACTTGAGCTCCAAGATCATACGACAACTTCAAATTCCACATTGAAACCAACGTCATTGGACCCATCATATGCGCACAAAAACTGGTCAACTTAAATCCTGATAGCCCTCCTTCCAAATTGATATTCATCTCATCTGACTCCGGGTCCACCGCCAACTTTCTGGCTTATGAAGATGGGTTCGCAGCATATGCGGCGAGCAAGGCTGCACTGAACCAGATGCTAAGGCATATGGCGCAGGAGTTGAAAAGACGCGGCGGCAGGTGGGCTGAGATATGTGTTCTGGCTCTCCATCCCGGCGAGGTGCACACGTGAGTATTCCCTGCTCGAGTACTAAAGCTTGACTGACAAACGACTAGGGACATGAACTCTGGCGAAGTTGGTACCTGGGATGTGGGAACTCTTTTGGAGCCAGATGAGAGTGTCTCGGGCATGCTTAAAGTGATTAGTGAGAAGGACCACAATGATAGTGGCACATTCTGGTGCTGGGATGGCAGAGTAAGTTTTTCAATATCTCATTGAGTACAATACTAATAACTCGCAGGCTTATCCTTGGTAACGAGGAACAGCCAAATTAGGAGCCTTGTCAGCAATGCTTGCATTACGAGACTTGTATAGATTCCTATGACTCAAGGTTTATGTTCATTTCGTGGAAGAAATCACAAACCCGGCAGCAATCCATAGGCGAACTCGTTTCGTATCATGAACCCAATCGAGATGTCTGTAAACGAATAGTGCCTGAAGAGTGGTGTACTGATCCCGCCATTACCTTGCATCGTGAGACACTTGAGCTTATTACTCAGCTTTTATATTTCTTTCATGCCAGATCATCCCAAAAGTAGCTATCTTCTAAAGCCCTCGTCATCTGATTATTCATGTGCAGCCAATTTCCAAGCTGTGCGCCATACTTGTCGATATCAGTATCCATGCTACCAGGCACCTCCATCTGCTGATCCATCCATTCAGCTGTCCCTTCTAACGATGCGCTTACGGAGGTTTGTGAGTTTCGCAAGTTGAAGATTGGCGTAAGCAGGGCAGGCTGTTGATGAGCTGGTGATGGCACGTGTGCAGAGGAAGATGCATTTTCCCACGAGCCAAAGCCGATACTCACCTTGCTCAATCTAGCTTCAAGATAGTTTCGAGCGGCATCGTACAAAGCTTTAAATAGATGAAACTCTTTCTTCGCTCCAGATGAGAAAGCAGAGTCTGTGACAGGCTGTAATGTCTTGATGACACTTTCGAGCAGATCCAGGCCGTTCTTGTCGCCAGTCTCGATAATGTGACAGAATACGACGATAAACGGAATGAAGGGTGAGTGTATGAGAGCCCTGCAAAGAGAAAGGGTCAGTGAAAGAAGTGTCAGGTCAGATTTGGGGATACATGCAAGTTGACATAAGTCTCTAGGAAGTCATCCTTTAGCTCAGCCACTACAGACTGCCATTCCTTGTGTGCTTCTAAGGCCTTGTGAGCACTATCAATGCACTCTCTTCCAAGTGCAGTACCCTGATTCGTCTCGGCAGGTATGGCTCTGTAAATGAGGCAAAAGAGGGATAAGTGAAGCACCTTGGTGGTGCAGAGGAAAGCCTTAACAAACTCGGTACTAGTAGCCTGGCGCATCGCATCTTGGTATAGTTTCTGTAGACCTGTCAGCAAGATATATCATGGAATATCGCCTCGTCATCTTAGACGCCGATATCGGGTTTTGCGCAGACATACATCGCTAGGCAGCATTCTATTCATGTGGTTTTCAAGCTCTGATGCGAGACTTCTCGCCCTCGTGGTTCTAACATTTTGAGGCTGTGCCAAAGCAGCAGAACTGTAGAGTTGGTCGTAAATCTTGCCTTGTAAATAGGCTAATTCTTTCATCTTGTCTAGTTGACCAAAGTAGCCTATGTCCGGTCTCGACTCTAGACCGGGAACCGAAATAGTGATATCGCCGTCATGGATAGTTGATGAACGGCCAAGACGGAGAGATAGACCCTTCTCTTGTACGTAAACTAACCAGAATATTCTGATCTTACCCATCCTGATGTCCGGAGGATCGCGGGCCATTGCAATCTTGCTATGCATGCCTAGCGTCTGGCTCAAGTGTGATGCGGTTGCGATAAAGTCCCATGCCGCAGATGGCTTGCATGTTTCAAGGCAGTATATGCTCTGGGATGATTTAATATGATATCAGGACAAATCGTGAATCGTACCTACAGCTAACATCATTGAAGCGACCGTCCCGATATTGGAAGGTTGATGGAAAGGCAGATTAGCGAGTACGGTCTCGAGATTGTCCCGGCACATGACTGCTTGCGCCTCGAGATCAGCCTTTTGGCATGAATCTGTGGCGATCTGTTTGCATTGTCTAAAAAGCCAATAGAGCCCCGCATTGACAGCGATGAGGTCAGCATGAGTAACTTCTCCTGGAGAGTACACCTTAAGAAAAACGTCAGTGAAAGAGGTAGCTTCGTTGTCCCAAAAGAACCGAACTCTGGGGTTTTCTGTCACAAAGTTGTAAGCATTGGAGAAGAGAAATAAGAAAAGGCGTGGCTAATACCTTTGGCCATTCGGAGGCAGACAAAAGCTTTGTCAACGGGTGGCATTGGAAGATTGCGCATTGTAAGTCCCGATTCAAGTACTCTAGCATGAGGATACAGGTAATCGAGTTCCTGTTGGTTTGAATCCCTCCCCAAAGCCTTCCTCAGAGACTGCAGAACAGAAGACATGTCAGCAGCGATATCGATGCCGTTCGGCTTGTTGATGATGGCATCTTCGAGAAATCCGTTGGCAAAAGCGGCTTGAGCTGAGAGCGAAGATTCTCCCTCATGCTCCAACCTTGGAGTGAGAAGCTGGCTCCCAACGCCACTGCTGGGTGATGGAGACGATGCTTGGGTTACAGGTGCGAGACGTGAAGTCGATGCTGATTGGGATGGGATTTTCGATGCGGTAGCTGCGGGTACAACATGTAGGGTTGGGTTTTGACCAGCTCCCAAGGTATTGCTAAGCTCTGCGAGTTTTTGCGCGATATCGTCGATCTTTTTCTCACTAAGAGATTTGAGTAAAGGAAATAAAAGGAGATGGACGAGTGGTATACATGCACTTACTATATCTCCGAGATAAAAACACGTTGTCGCCTTTCCTTGGGCTTGTGCCTAGGCGGATACGTGCAGAGATTCTCGGTGCGGACACAGTAGGCACACGGGTGTCTCCGGTCGCAGCGCACCTAAAGATGTTCTAAATTAAATAAAAGTCTACAACTGACTGTATTCAAAGAGGGATATGTACCTTTCTGCGGCGGCATCGATCACACTGGTTTGATTTGGTCAGTAGGTGAAGCAGCCCTTGATTTTGCAGGAGACTTGCTGAGATTGTGGACAAAGGGACAAGCTGTTCGTCCTGAGGGACATTATCTACTTCCCGATCCAATACGGGGGAGGTATCGTCTTTTTCGGTAGCCATTTCGTTAAAATGAGCTTGCCAGAAATGCTCAAGATGATGACGGAGGAGGGAAGTTCAGAGGTCCGCAGGCCGCAGACCTTGAGCATTACGGGTACAGCACTCAAAGCTTGAGACCAACGCTAAGCTGAGAGTTATGGGTCTCGCTCGCCTATCTCCGCTACACCAATCACCTTTCCAATTCAGCTGAGGCTATACCAGGACAGGGCTAGAGTGAGGCGGAAGGACGGTGCGTGGAATCTTGGCAGTCCGCACTCCGAGATGCTTGTTGAGATAACTGCTATCGCGGTGGCGGCCTCTTGGCATGCCGCACCGCAGTTCATGCACAGGCCACAGAAAGTATATACGACTGAGGATGAAATCTTGGCCGATGGCTAAAAGTAAGAGTATTCACCGTTTTCCATATTGACAACACCCATTTCTAGATGTTTTTTATCTTCCTTAGAACCATTACGCTCCTTTCTGCCACTCACCACTGATTCGGGCGTTTCCCTTCTATCTTTTTCCTTTCTGTTTAAAGTTTCCTTACTCATGCATCTGTGCCTACATCGAACTGTATTCTTTGATCTTGCTGTGATAAGTTTGAGAGGTTAAGAGAGGCTTCAGCCCCAACACCTTTAATCTTGCATTCCTGTCAGCATGGAGAAAGCCGACAACGTCGCGGATGCGACAGCTGCAGATCAGCCAGACGAGAACTGTAACCAGTCCGATCAAAAGCCAATGTCTGGGTTAGCTGCATTTCTGGTAAGACAATGACCTTCACGGCACAGCATTGTTCAGGGCATTCTGATCGTGATAATCACAGCGCATCTTTACCTACTGTCAACCCCTCGATTGCGTCCTCGAAATCATCGCCGTCCTCGCCGCCGTCGGCTCTGGCGTGGCCATGGCAATGATGAACCTTGTTATAGGAGATCTGATGGATGTCATGGGCAATCCAGCGCGCATCGCCACAGATCCTGACGGCTTCATGGCCGATGTTGGCAGCAAATCGTAAGTATCTGCGTGAAACATGTACGCCTCTGCACCCATCTAATGTAACGATAGACTCTACTTTGTTTACATCGGTATCGCTCGACTAGCATGTACATATATGTACTCCACGCTCTTTACATTCGTTTCCTTCCGAGTCACAAACAACATTCGACAATCGTACCTGCGAGCAGCCCTTAGTCAAGAAATCAGCTATTTCGACCACGGAACCTCGGGGTCTATCGCCATGCAAGGCACATCCAACGGAAAGCTGATCCAATCAGGCATCGCAGACAAGCTTGGGCTCTTCTTTGTCTCGTTTACTACCTTTATTGCGTCCTTCATCATTGCGTTTATCAGTTATTGGAAGCTCACCCTCATCCTTATCTGCATCATGCCGGCGATTATGCTGGTCATTGGCACCATGGCCACCATCGACGCTGGTATCGACAGCAAGAACTTGAGACTACTCTCCCAAGCCGCTCAGTACGCTGAAACAGCCTTCGCGAGTATCCGTACGATTAAAGCGTTCAACCTGGAGCCGAGAATTATGCACAAGTATGCATCCGTCCTCGATACTTCCCGACAGCTATGCCGCAAGAAATCTGGTGTATATGGGGTTATGTTCGCCTGGCAATATTTCGTCATCTATGCTGGTATGGGTCTTGCCTTCTGGCAGGGAATCAGGATGATTGCCCGAGGGGAGGTGGATGGTATTGGCACCATCTTCACGTAAGCCTTTTCCCCAGATCTGCCCATGCCTTTAGCTTTGTTGTTTGCTGACCACCAAAAGTGTCCTCTTCTCCGTCGTCATCGGATCGACTTCGATCAATGGCATCGCTCCAAACATCTCCTCCTTTGTTCGTGCCGGCACCGGTGCTGCAGAGCTTTTCGCTTTGATCGACAGGACTTCAGATATCAACCCGCTCGACGAGTCAGGCCAGACACCTACCGAGGTCTCTGGTGTCATCGATATCAAATCGGTGTCCTTCAGCTACCCAACACGGCCGGATACCTGGGTCCTCGAAGACTTGTCTCTCAACATCCCGGCCGGAAAAATTACAGCTTTAGTGGTACGGCATATTCTTTCACCATTTATCTTTGACTGAATACAGGACCAGAAGGGAGTTAACGTTTCGGCAGGGCGCCAGTGGCTCGGGAAAAAGTACCATCATTGGCCTTCTCGAACGATGGTATGACCCCGCCTCTGGTGACATCACGCTCGATGGAATCAGCCTGCGAGATCTGAGTGTCACCTGGCTTCGTACCGCCATGCGACTTGTCCAACAGGTGCGTTTAATATATAGCCCCAACAACTGACGCTAACGTCCTACAGGAACCTGTCCTGTTCAACGGAACCGTCTTTGAGAACATTGCCAATGGCCTCATTGGTACTTCCTGGGAGACCGAGACGAGAGAAGCCCAAGAAGAACGGGTGAAACACGCGGCCAAGCTTGCATTTGCCGACGAGTTCATCCAGAACCTCCCAGAGCAATACGAAACGCGCATCGGCGAAAGGGGAGGACTCCTCTCCGGGGGGCAGAAGCAAAGAATTGCTATAGCTAGAAGTATAGTTTCCGACCCTTCTATCCTGTTACTAGACGAAGCTACCTCGGCCCTCGATCCGCACTCTGAAGGTATCGTCCAAAAGGCACTTAACAGTGCCTCTCGAAACAGGACCACGCTCGTCATTGCCCACAAGCTCGCCACTATCCGAGACGCTGATAACATTGTGGTCATGTCCAAAGGCAGAATTGTTGAGCAGGGCAAGCATGACGATCTTATAGCCCTCGGCGGCACCTACGCCAAGCTCGTGCAGGCCCAGGATTTGTCTACTAACAAACAGAGTTCAACTATCGAGACATCGGACGAGGAGTCTACAGCAACTACTGAGGCCATAGAGCCAGTTCAATCACTCGCCAAATACACTTCAGCGGTCAACGAGGACATCGCCTCTCAGATTAGGAGGGAAGATTTCAGTCTCTATAAATCCACTGGGCTTTTACATACCATTTGGAAGATGATCAAGTCAGCTCCTGAGCTCAGGACTTGCTTCGTGATTATGTCCATTGCCTGTGCTATTGGAGGTAAGTTTCAACAGCCATAACCGCTTTCGGACATGACAGCTAACTAAAAGAATAGCTGCCGTCTACCCCGGACAAACACTACTACTTGCTCAAGTCATGGACATCTTCACATCCTCTAACCTGACCAAGGGTGGCGATTTTGTGTCTTTGATGTACTTTGTCGTTGGCCTGGGTAGCTTGATTGTGTTTTTCGTCATGGGCTGGATTTCTAACATTATTGCTCAGGTAAGTCCAACGCAGCTTGCCCAGCACATCGCCTTTCTAACCTGGAGCAGACTCTCAGCCATAATGTTAGAGAAGGACTTTTCCGCAGTATGCTGAGACAAGATCTTCGGTTTTTTGACAGACCAGAGAACACTATTGGCGGCCTTGTCAGCCGCATAGACTCCCAGTCTCAGGCCGTCTTGGAACTGATGGGGTTCAACGTGGCATTGGCCTTCCAGTGCATAATCAATATCATTGCCAGCAGCATCCTCGCTCTAGCCTATTCTTGGAAGCTCGGCCTTGTGGGTGTTTTCGCCGGTATGCCTCCTCTTTTACTCGCCGGATATGCCCGCATTCGCCTTGAGACGCGGTTAAACGCTGGCATTGATGAGAGATTTTCAACCAGTGCTGCGATAGCATCTGAGAGTGTCAATGCCATCCGTACAGTCTCGTCGCTTGCGATCGAGAAGAGCGTTCTAAGCAAGTATACGGCGGAGCTTCATAGGGCAGTTTGGGGATCAACAAAGCCTCTCTTTCACATGATGATTTGGTTCTCTTTCACTCAGTCTGTCGAGTTCTTCATCCTTGCGCTGGGATTCTGGTAAGTTTCTGAGTACCTCTCGTATTGCAGAGTATGACTGACAGTTTCAGGTTTGGGTCAAAGCTGGTTTCTCAAGGAGAAATCACCTTTCCCCAGTTCATTATATCATTCTTAGGTGTCTTTTTCTCCGGTCAAGCCGCTGGTACAATCTTCAGCTTCTCGAGCAGTCAGCATATCCTGTCCTCTATGCCCCAGCATCTCTAACACGATGGGACAGGTTTCACCAAGGCTAATTCCGCCGCCAATTACTACTTTTGGCTCACTCGTCCACAGCCGATCATCCGAGACACTGACGATAATCGTGAGAAAGGCCCTGCAAACGGTGGGCGTTCAATCGACTTTCAAAACATTCAGTTCTCTTACCCCCTTGCTCCCGAAAAACGAGTCATCAAAGGCCTGTCTCTTACTGTGAGTAGTAACTGTAGATGAATAGAGCCATGTTAACATTTCCCAGATTGAACGTGGTCAATTTGTGGCCTTCGTTGGGGCATCTGGCTGTGGAAAGAGTACTATGGTATCTCTTCTTGAGCGCTTCTACGACCCAACTAGTGGCATTATCATCATCGACGGTTCAGCTGCTCTTACTGACATCAGCCCTCGTCTTTACCGTAATAGGATAGCTCTCGTTCAACAGGAACCTACGCTATTTCCTGAGACTATTCGCGAGAACATCGCTGCTGGACTCGATATTGGTCCTGAGGAACAGGCTTGTGTCAAGGATGATGCTTTAGAAGCAGCTTGCCGTGCCGCCAACGCATGGGACTTCGTGAGCTCTCTTCCCGAAGGTCTCAACACCTTATGTGGCCAGGGTGGTAGCCAGCTCTCAGGAGGACAGAGACAGAGAATTGCCATCGCGCGCGCTCTCATCCGAGAACCTAGTATCATCTTACTAGACGAAGCAACTTCAGCACTTGACACCGAGTCGGAGAGAGTTGTGCAGAAGGCTTTGATGGACGCTGCTGCCAGTGGAGATCGCATCACTATCGCGGTGGCCCATCGTTTATCAACAATTCGTGACGCTGACAAGATCTGTGTCTTCTACCAGGGTAGAATCGTGGAAGCTGGCACGCATGATGAACTTGTCAGCCAGAACGGTATATATAAGCAGATGCGTGATGCACAGAGCCTAGATAGGGCAGCTTAGAGACTTGCAGACCATTGCTTCTTGAAGCGAGGCTAGATCTTCATTTCAATGGGCTCTTTCGACAATCGCAATGGCGCTCGTGAAGAGGCATTATTTTCTTTTCGGTTAAATCCATGTTTAGTTCTGATATGTATTATTCCTATTTTTGTCCCGTTGTTTATATATAGAATTATCATAGATGCTACGAGGCAACACGCGGTCCAATTCATCGTTCAACAAGTTGCTTTCTCTAGACTGCCGAACGCTCTTGTGGGTGACATGAACCGCTCACGGTTCTCAGGCTCCAGTGACATGAACTTGCAGCCTTTGAGAACCGGTCCATAGTAGATACTTCGATTGATAAGAGATCTGCTACTGGGATCGCTCGACTGAACAGATGCTTCAAATAAAATAGCTTTTAGGAACCCGAGGGCTCTTGATATGTACGCGTATAGCCCCTTGATTGAGAAACAGCATGTTTGGGGCTAATTAATCTACAAGGCTCGCGGCATCTTTTACCCGATTACCTCAATCGCTTATTGGTGGACTTTCCGAAGTTGGTCGTGCCCAATATTTGGGTCGTTTCACGAACCCTGTCATCGGGAGACGCAACCCACAATGAAATGACCTTCATTACTATCCGATCATTGCTCATCAATATCGAACGCTAGTTTGTAGACTTACGGACGGTCTCCCTGTAGCTTGCGCACTCCCAAAATATTATGCAGTGGTTTAAATATAAACAAAACCCCGGAACCGCATTGTAGATCTTTTTGTGTTTCTGTCAGTCGTTTCTGTTTGGTCCCGTAACTGTCGTTCATTTACACGTATTTTTATCCACGCTCTTTTTCTTCTTCTTTCACTTTCACTATGCGTCACTCATTTGTTTCGGCATTGATTGCCGTTGGTTCCGCCGTCCAAGCTGCCGCGCAGCTGAACGGAAAGGTCGGACCTCTCACAACTCCTTCAGCCAAGGCTGCGATCAAGACTTGCAACATTGTCGACTACGGTGCCAAGGCAAGTGCCAAGACTGATAACGGTCCAGCCATTCAGAAGGCTTGGAATGACTGCAGAACTGGTGGCGGAGAAGTTTACGTGCCAGAGGGCGACTACGGTCTGGGTACCTGGTTGACGTTTACTTCTTCAAAGCCCATGTCTTTCCGTCTTGATGGAACTATTTACCGAATCGGTACCGATGGAGGCAATATGTTCATGTTCAAGCACCTGGAGGACTTTGAGTTCTATAGCAGCACCTCCAAAGGAGCTATCCAGGGTTATGGATATGAGTTTCATAAGAGTATGTTCTGAATGTGATTGCGGTTCTTCTTGGAGACACTGACAAAAAGTAGAGAATGAATATGGCCCACGTATCCTTCGATTCACCGACGTCAAGAGCTTCTCTATCCACGATGTTGCTCTAGTCGACTGTGAGTATCCCCGCCCTCCAATTGGGAATAATACTGACAGAATCAAGCGCCCGCATTCCATTTCTCTATAGACACCTGCTCCGATGGTGAAGTGTATAACATGGCTATTCACGGAGGTAATCGAGGTGGTCTCGATGGTATCGACGTATGGGGAACTAACATCCAGTAATACATCCTCACGATGATCTGGTGCTCCGTTATGCTAACTTCCTTTTAGTATCCACGATGTTGAAGTCAGTAACAAGGACGAATGCGTCACTGTCAAGAACCCCTCTGACCACCTCTTGATCGAGAACATCTTTTGCAACTGGTCTGGAGGTTGTGCCATGGGCTCCCTGGCCACCGGCACTGGTAACCATGACTACTATCTCACTTACCCGATCAAGGCTAATCTAGACTAGATATTCACGACATTGAGTACAACAACATCTACACCCAGCGTTCCAACCAGATGTACATGTTCAAGTCATACGGCGGCAGCGGCACCGTTAACAACGTTGCTCTCAAGAACTTCGCCGGCCACTCCAACGCCTACACGCTCGATCTCGATGCCCAGTGGAGCTCCATGAAGCCCATCGCCGGCGACGGTATTCTCTACACCAACATGACCTTCTCCGGCTGGTCCGGAACCTGCGCCGATGGCCATCAGAGAGGACCCATCAAGTTCAACTGCCCCGCTGACGTCCCCTGCACTGACATGCAGGTCGATGACTTTACTGTTGGAAGCAACAAGGGCGATACCGTCGAACACGTGTGCAAGAACGCTTATGGCTCTGGAGCCTGTCTGAAGGAGGGCGATGGGGGTGCTTATACGACGACTCAGACTGTTGATGCGGCCAGTGCTGCTACTCAGACCATGGATGGAGAGATTGAGAATGGTCTTGGCCTTACTGTTTCCATTGCGATCCCTACCATTCGAGCCTCGTTTTTCCCGGGTGTCGCTGCCATCAGCCCCCGCATGGCCGATTCCGCCAAGGCTCAAGCCACCGCTCGTGTAGAGACCTCCATCCCCGCAGAGGCCGAGACTGCTGCTGACACTTCTGCTGTAGCTGATGTAACTGCTCCAATCAAAGCGGTTGCTTCTTCTGCTACCTCTTCTGTTGCCGACGAGGTTACACCTGTTGCCACTCCTGCGGTCTCCGTAGACGCGCCGAACAGCCTCCTCCCCGAGGCACACTCTACTCTTGAGACTGCTGTAAAGGCTTCCACCACTGCAAAGGCCGCGGCTGAAACTACTGGTGCGCTGCCGAGGACTTCCTCTTGCAAGGCAAAGAGGCGCCGAAGCCTTCAATCCAGGCATTCGTAATCTTTGTTTGGAGTCGGAGCGGCATGTTGGGAGCTGTCAGATTTGACATGACTTGTAAGTTATCGTTGGAGATGTTCTTGAGGAAGAAGTTCCGACGATGGATATTAAGTAAATTTTAATCTCAAGTTAAGATCAAAGCAATATGTACATTATTTTATTTCTCATATGGATACTACATGCAAATAAATACTCAACTAAGCAAGAAAATACCCCCGTCGATGATTAGATTGGTGGCTGAAATTCCATATGCACGCATTATTCTTGAACGCCGCAGTGGCATGGAGTTTGGGGTACCTACAAGGCTCAGCAATATTCTTTCGCCTGTCAACGACGCTTTCACGGCACTGTGGCAAAATTGTGGAAATCGTGTCAGATGGCGACATTCTTCTGGTCGTTGGACCAGACGAGACAATACTTCGTGTCAAATCTATGTTGTTGATGGCAGTCTCAAAACCCTTCTCCGCCATGCTCAGGCTAAACTGGACAGAAGGCCATGGCATGCGACATTGTCATGGCCCGTTTCAGTTATCACTGCCGGGTGACAATGCTACTGCATTGAAATCATGTGTTCTGTCATTCACTTCAGGAACGAAAGGATCCCTCGGACCCTCGCTGCCGGTGACGTCCTCGCAGTTGCCGTCGCTGCTGATAAGTACGATTGCCTTGACGCCCTGCCCTTTGCCAGCAAATCTTGGCCGAGAGACTCAAAAGGGATACCTGAAGACCTGGTGCCGCTGACTACCACGGCTTACCTCTTCCGATCACTGCTTGTGATATGGCTCGCTTCCACAGCGTTCCGCAATATGGGATTGGTCATAGTGTTGGGCTGGAGCGCTTAAGCAAGAGTATCGGGCTTTGCCTTGAATGCGTTCGTGGAGGGAGCAACACTTTCGAATGTAAGCGGCATCTCATAGTTCTCAGGACTAATTTGTATAGGTATAAGAATTAATGGGTTAAATTATATACAACTAAGTAGTGGCAATCCTAATCTCGTGGCCTATAAGCCCCTCACAGGCTGCGCTAGAGGTAATTCTCAAGTTGTCGAGAATTCATAGCCCAATGATATTCATCGGCCTGGGCAGGCCGGTACCAGTGGACAAACTGAGCAATAGACATAATTCCCCAGCATAAACGTGTAAACCTGACCCTGGCAGTGTCTCTTACAACAGCAGATCCATTCCGACTATCGCAGTAATCGCAATCCACGATGGGAGGCTATATCCGCGAGCTTCTGAGACAACCATTGGTGTAGCATACGGCGCGTCCGCTGGCTCTGAAGGAACTTGATCCTGGTGAAGAGGTGATGATTGAGAAGGAATTGCTGAAGTGTCGAGTTGAGGAGTGGAGATAGTGCTTGTCTCTGTTGTCAAGCTCTTTGGAGATGATGGCTGGGAGGGATTCATTGGGGTATTGCTGTTGGACTCTGGTGAGCCTTGAGCTGGAACAGACGGCCGCGTATTCCCTTGTGCTGGTTGAGTATCACCGTTTGATCCTGTAGCTGAAGTAGTGGTCGCAGGCTGGTGCACCTTATAGCTGGGATGAGAATCGTCTCGTGATCCTGTGGCTCGAGTAGGAGTCTCAGGTGGGACGTTCTTGGAGCCATGTTGGGAGCCACCTTGTGGGCCTTCTGTAGGCTGCACCACAGGATTACTGTTGCCTCCAGCCCAGCCTGAAGGATATTGAACTATCGGGTGTGTATCGCTCGCACGGCCAGTCTCATAAGCAGCTTTTGGAACTGTCAGGGTAACAATATCCTCTCCTTGAGTACAGGCAACAGTCGCCATATCCACCGACGGGTATACCTGGTGCTCGCACCCGCAAGGGCTGTAGAGGAGTGTGATCGGAACACATGTTGTGATTAGAGCTGTAGGATTGCTTGGGTTGATAGTCGTGTATGTAACAGTGGTTACTGTCTCGGCAAATTGGGTCTTGGTGTAGACATGATCAACAATTAACGTCGAGTAAGCAGTGTGAATGGCGGTTGGGGTAGGGAATGATGTTGGGAGACGAGTTTGAGATGTGGTCTTTGTGATGGAGAAACCAGAGGCTGAAAATGTCTTTGAGCCAAGGTTTATAGTTGTAAAGGAGGAAAAAGAGGATGGTGAGGTTGTTTGAGTATAGCGCGAAAGTGAGCTTGATTGAGATGTTGATTCACAAGCGTCAGCTCCCGTAGTCTGTAAAGAAGAAGAGGAAGGGGCGGAGGAAGACGCATAGGACGCGATGGAGGAGGAGGAGGAGGAGGAGGAGGAGGAGGAGGAAACCGTTTTTCGATAAAGTGTTAAAAGATGATCAGGCGCTATCGCACGATGCAGAAGGCTTTGGCCACCGCGGATAATGCCTCCGCAGAACAGAGTGGGATCTCCAGGACATCGGAGATCGCAGCGTGCATCCGATATGAATTCTGTATCAGAGAGCAGATCTGCCTTATAACAAGACCTAATAGACATTATTAGCTTGGGAACTCATGTATCAGAAACACACAGGCGAGGTTAGGCGCGCGGTCAGCATCAATTCTGGGACAAGCAAGATATCTGAACAACACTTCTCAAGCGCATTTCAGGTAGTAGAATAATAGGACAAACTTACTCTTTATAGACACCGATATAATCGCTTCCAAAAGCCAAATCGACACATTTTCGGGTAGTCATGTCTGGATCAGTTGCTACCTCGGTAAACGATGGAAAGCCCTGCAGAGATCTTAAACAGCCCGTGAAGGTATATTCACCAAGGGCAGGAATATTCCTTGCAGGAGGAGTTGATGAGGTGGAAGGCAAAGCAGAAGCATCTGATGTGGACTGTATCTCAGGTGAAACCTGACTGGTATTGCTCAAGCTGGAAGCTGTTGCTGTGGTTTCTATCGCGGTAGCCGAAGCGGTAGTGGTTGATGTCCCTAAGAGTGGTGTTTTAGTATTCAATATCTCAGTCGTTGACATCTCGATGCTAGTAGTATCGGTGGGCAGCGAGCTTTTAGTTGCCGCAACTGTAGTAGACTCTAGAGAAGATGACTCTCCAGCTGATGTAGATTCCAATCTGGTATTCGGTGCAGACTCCGAAACAGCTTCTGACGACAAGGATAATGAAGGATCGGGTAATGTAGGGGGTGTAAATGTTGTTGATAATGAGATAGCTGCTAGTGAGGTTATAGCTGACGCAGTTGAAAGTGATGTAGACTCTTGCGTAGACTCCAATGCAGGGTTCGATGGAGTCCCTGATAGAGCATCTAATGATGACGATAATGATGTAGATGGTGACAATCTTGTTGGTGATGAGGTATCTGCTTGTGAGGTTACAGCTGATGTAGTCGTAAATGATGGCAACTCCAGTGTACCCGCTGACGTAGTCTCTGACGTGAGTTCTGATGATGACGATGATGATGTAGTTTCTGGGGACCCGATTGATATCGACGCTGAAGAGGTTGTGTCTAGTGTTGATGCTGTAGACTCTGAGGTGGATTCTATAGGTACAAAAGTCTCAGATGACGTAGAGGTTGATGCTGATGAAAGTACCTTGGAAGCAAAGCTGGTGCCAGGGGAAGGTTTAGTCCCAGTAAATGACTCAATCAGATCGCATTCACTATAAGGAGAAGGATGAAAATTCACGGCAATGCACCTGCTGTCATTATCGCATCGATCCAGGCATCCCTGCATGCTATCTTCTTCATCGCGTCGATAGATAGACTCGCCGGTCGAGGAAGTATCGCAACTGAGAGTAAACTTGTTCTCCTTAGGACCGGTATACGTACTGCCGGCCATTTGACTGCAGGAGCGCGGTCCTGATGGTGCTGTAGTTGACGTCGTCGACAATGATGTGGTTGTAGAAAATGCGGTTGGAGCTTCAGTTGTTGATGATGTAGCTGGTCGAGATGCCACCACAGCCATATCCATGTTAAAGTCACTCATGAAATTGTTAACACCATCATACAAGGTACATTCGTTTCCAACGTTGTTGAACGTGACGGCTCGGCATGCCAGGGTATCGGCGCATAACGTCATGCATTCCGTCAAGCTGTGCAGCTGATTGCTGTAATCGATTTGATTACCGCCAGTCGCCTGCTTACCACATAGAAGCGAGAGCTTTACACCGTTTATATAGGATGGGTTTTCGAGTTGATTGCAAGGTGTTGGTGCCGAGATGGTGGATGTTGTTGTAGTGGAGAATGTCGCAGATGACATCGCCGTGGATGATGTAGATGACAGCAAGGTCGCCATGTCATACAGATTGTTAGCCGCTGGGCCATCTGTTCCGTCCAACAGGTAGCACAAATACTGGCTACGGTCAAATAGTGCTACTTTGCAATTTGAGGTAGTAGAACACAGGTCTATGCATGGCGCTAAACCGGTCACCTCATGACTGGGGCCGATGTTATTGCCTCCGGTGGCATATGAATTGCAAACAACCTCAAACTGCGAGTTGGAAGAGCTTTGGTAGGGATTGTTTATTTGATTGCAGGATATCGGTACTGAGGATGCGGACGGAGTAAAATCCGATGAGGTTGCTGTATCAGTCAATGTAGATATTTCTGATACAGACGAGGTAGCATCTCCTGAGGTTGACATAGCAGGTGATGTAGAAGTTGCTGCAAATGTTGATTCGGTAGAAGTTGTTGACGACAATAATGTAGTACTGGTAGCAGAAGCAGTCACATATGTAAGGTAAGAAATGGTCCCGCGAACTGTTCCTGAAGCAGCCTGTGTAACGACAGATGTTGCTTCGTACGTCGTAGTAGATACAATACTCGTCGTGTCATAGTCAACCTTGAACGTCTGATCGCAGTTGGTGCAGGGTCGGGCTTTGATCATGACTGCAGTATCGCCATAACCATCATGACGATCGCATACAGCGATCTTCAACTCCACGTATGTCTTTGGGAGCGGTATCGAGAATCGAAGAGGCGGTGATGACATTGCGAATACTGTATCGCCATTTGGCGATGGTATACCCCATGGCTCGCTGAGGTACTTTGACGAAGAATCGAGTGGAGTGCCTGTTTCGTCCTTTGCGACATTAACACCATTGACAAAGACCATGACCTTATCGCCAGAACTTATTCAGTTAGCCTTTGGCTGTTCATTATCCGAGAAGTAAAATCCTTACATAACGTCACAGCTTGCAATAACCATGTCGATGAGTAGTGTAGTCGCCTTGGTTGGAAGAACGTTCAAGAGAAACGAAGCTCCGTTGTAGGAATCTGGACCACAATAGGTAGTGGTATACGCATCATACAGGTCTGTAGTATAGGAGCTTGGGCATGTACCACCGGGAGCCAGAGATCCTGAGGTTAAGCTTCCAGTTGACATAATGATGCCACTTCCCATCCCAAAAGGGCCATCGGTGAAAGATCTAATAGCCGAGGGATCTCCAGAGTAACCAGATGATGAGGAGAAAACATCTCGAGAATCACCAAAGAGGACCCTTGCCAGCGCCAGTCCGCCCATCGCCGTTGGGGAAATGTTGATACCTAAGCAAAGGGGCATAAGCGATGCCCAGAGGGCCAAAGAGGTTGCTGGCGGCCTCATGCTGAAGGGGCAGCGATAAATCGTGTAAAGCGTGGAGAACAAAATTGCAGTAGATACATCGAACACTGCGAAGATCACAGGCTTGAGGGATTAGGTAAGAACGTTCCCCCTTCCTTGGTAAAATTTGGTATACGTCAAGTAACAAAGCCTCACCACTGCTCTGTTTATGTTTTGAAAGATCTAAATTAGGCGACAAAACTACTAATTTTGCAGTGGTGAGCTAGCCAGCTGAATCGGCCGCTGATGGGCTATGTGGGCCATCGTGTGATGTGCTGTCAAGCCGATATATTAATATTAAAGAAACTTCCTCTTTTAGTTTACTGTTTATTTACTTTTGTCGCTAGTTTTACCAGCTAATGCCTTTTGCAAAGCGCCTTTGTCGCGAGCAAAAGCAATAGTGTCGATTTCAGAGGGGCCAAAACCAATACAAGAGACGTCCTAACCTTATTTAGACTTAAAGATAAGCTTCTGCTGGCCACCAGAGCACGCAAGTACAGGATCTTAATATTGTTTACGAGTGCAAGATGCGACTATTAATTGGTAGGAACAGGTGTTTATGTCTATTATCATATGCGGCCGTCGTTATATTAATCTGCATCAGATGTGTTTAAATATTTAAATATCTCTGTGATGGCGAGGGTTGACATCTTGACGCTCTCGATCAGTCCTAGGGACGCACGACACTAAGATGTTCTCGAATCCGCCACCGGTAGCAATAGTTGGGCGCTATTGGTTTTCCCAGACACTAACATAAAGGAGAAATCCCCTGAACCTCGCTGCTCCAATGCTGCGCTCACCATACATCATCTGGTCCGGATAGTAAGTCGACGAGGACTTTTGCCTTCCTATCCTCGTGGACCTTTTTAGCTTCCAGTTAATTGTCTCCTGGCATACTTAATAATTAAGGCAACTACTTTATTGACTACTATTACTAGGACTGATCTTATACTGTAAGCCAGCTGGCAATTAGACAAGTCGACTCAACCATGTTTTGGTTGTCATAAGACGTCGATTGGGATTTCATATTATAGCACATCCAGCAGTCAAGGATATCATCAGAAAGCCCATTCTTGACTTTGAATGCTCTTATATTAAATGATCATTGAAATGGACTGATGATGAGCATTGAGGAGGACTTCCGAAAAGCCACTATGTAAAATAAAACCTGACAGTTGGGATTTCAATCTTTTCCTGGTTCCACGAAACCGCTGTCTCAAGCAAGCTCCATCATGGTTATGCGGCCTGATGGCAGACCAATTGCAACCCTGGAATGCACAGCATCGATAGCTACTGGTAAATCGACAGGAATCCAAAGTATGCGTTCATTCCCTCTCATAACCCATCGCATATCAACACTTAACCCCCATCCAACGCGGTCCTCCTCTCCTTCTTGGAGCTTGTGAGCATCCAGAATGCCAAGCCAAGTGACGACATGGGAACCAGTGTTACTATGCAGGGAGGCATTTTCTAGACTCAAGCAACTGTGAACAGGAACGCCCATCTCAACTGATATCCTGGGGAAATATTCTGAAGCTCTGCAAAGCAAATTTCGCTGTAGGTCTCTGGACACATCCATACGTACTCCTTGAATTTCATCTTCGCCTTCAACAGGGGCTTCAAAGTCTACTTCCCAGGTTGTGTCCCGCAAGCTTGTTCCAAAATTTGTAAGAAACTTCGAATCATTTGAGAAGAGGAGAACATCGAAACGATCCACCAATGATGTAGGCCGTTTTATAAGCTCGGTTCCCGTAAGATCCCAAATTTCTATCCTGGAGTTTAGTATTGCACTACGTCCGCCAGTTGCGGCATATCTTCCGTCAGGGGAAAGAGCAAGATGCATGAGTCGGTATGCGCGAGGAACGTTCGTAAATAGGTAAGTTCGTGCGTTTGTATCCAGGTCCCAGATGACAGCCTTGTTTTGCCCAACCGGCATTCCAATTAGTCGATCATTGCGGGCGAAGGTAATCCAGTCAAAAATAGGAAGGGAATGGGATCGACGTGGTCGCTCGCAAAAGGCGACGCAAGATCCTGATGCCACATTCCAAATTTTGGATCTGCCCATTTTCAAATGCGCTACTATCATCTCCCCCTGTGGAGAAAAGGAGAGCCTCTCAATAAGACGTGTGTCGCCATCGAAAAATTGGGTAGATTGGCATGGGGGTTCTTGTCCACTTTTTCCGCAAGGTTCCTGAGAAGCTGAACTTGAATAAGCAGGAGAGATATCCCACAGCATCATATAGCCTGCCTTGGTGCTTGAAACGAGCCACTGTCCGTTTTCATGTAAAGATAAACCGTTCAGCCCCTTGATATGACCATTCAGAGTCTTAACCCATATCCCTGCATCATTCCATATTTTGATACAGTGATCCCAATCGGCGGAAACAAGGATACGACCATCAGGTGAAATTAAAACGGCATGCACCGCATTCTCGTGGTAAAGAGTTCTCTCACAGATCCAATCACCCATGACGGACGTATGCCAAACCTTGACAGTGCAATCCCAGGACCCTGTTGCAAGCCGCTTTCCATCCGATGAGCAGGCCACTGACACTATTTGGTCACTGTGACCTTCCAGGGCTTGTTCGCAACGACCGGTGGCTATGTTCCAGACCTTGGCGGTCTCGTTATCAGACACTGTTATCATCCTACCATGTGGTAAGAATGTGGCTTCTACATAGAATTCGTTGGGGTCCACGATGCTCTGGAGATGTTCGCCAGTATTCCAGTTCCAAATATTCCAGCATAGCTCTTCATCGTTTTCAAGAGTTGCCAGTTGCTTATCAACAGGCAAGAATACAACCAAGTCAGCCCTGACGTCAAGCTTTGCTATGCAGTCCACTGTCCTTGTCCCAAGGTCAAAGATCTCGACTTTATCTGTACTACCAACAGCTAGGTGGCTGGCAAGTGGGGAAAAGGCGACTGATGTTGCTTGGCTGAAATCTCTGTTGATGGAAAACATGCAATCTCCCGACATTGTATCGTAGACTACTGCCTTCATCTTACAGACTGAAGCCAGAAATTTGCCATCTAGAGAATGGGAAACAATTGAGGATTCGATTTCGATGATATGTGTCGTTCGAACGAGGGCCTCCCAGTTATCCTGCATCTCTGGACCAGTCACAACCCATTTGGGAGTTTGCCGATGGAACTGGTTTCGTATTTTGCTACATTTTGGGCTGAATAGAAGTGCAGAAGCATACACTTGGAGGGGCGCGGTGTCGATGGCCTCTTTGTGATACAGAATAAATCGACGAGCATCTTGAACAAATCTAGCTAACTCAGTTGTCTTAATGTTACTCTTCATGCATATCAGCCATCCATACCTGAACTTTATGATCGCGAGGTCTTACCAGAGCAGATTCCAACTTCAAGATTGATTTTATAGCCACTGAAAACACCCTAAGCAGGCTGGTAGCCTCTAACCAAGAGGTAAACTTTTTCATGAGGAAGTGAAGAGCCTGGGCCAGAACTTTATCATCTTGTGTGCTCACAGAATCCGAATCTATGAAATGATCCACCCAATGAGTACACAAGTACTTGATCGGAGGCAGTGGATCGGGATCAGGTTTAGAAATCTCATCGGCCAGTGTTCCCGGAGACTTTAGTTGGTAAACATCCTGCTGCAGTTTATCTTCCAAGATCTCCATAGATCTGAAAAATATGACGGTGTGATGATTCTGTGGTCCAGATGGCATTATTTTGTCAATACCTCGACCGAACAGAAACTCTTTAGCTGACTGATGAACAAAAAAGATCACCCCATCACGGTAAGCTAGAAAACACGCACATGACTCGATCGCGTCTTTTACATCATGCTCATCATAACCAGTCATCGACTCGACGAGATTTATCATCTCCTTCGATGTCAAAGGCCGATATGCGATACAGGCTGTAGCAAGTATGCTTTTGAGCCGATCTGCTTCCTGTGATGCGACGATTTTATCCATCATAGTGTTAAAGAGATCATTGAGTCCCTCCGGAAATCGCTTAAGCTCTTCAAGCACTAGCCTTTTGCTGATTCTCGAATCGCTTAAGCTTTCACAGACTAGGGCGACCCAGAGAAATGTGTTATCTGCCCGAGACACCATGGACTCAAACACCTCTCTCTTCAGGTTGGTATCGTTATCCCAGTTCTTTCCAAGGTGGTCTACCCTGGTCCGAATATATGCCTGGACAGCGCCGGCTACCAATTCCGTGTTATTCTCGAGTTCGAGGGGAACTAGTCCTTGTGTATCTCTAAGTCCTCGTGCTATTTCAGGCCAGTTGCGACTTGAGATAATCCACCTGGCGCTGCATGAGCGCGAAAGATCACCGATGAGCGTGATAAGTCTATCCCTCCCAGACTTGCATTCATCGAGGGCGTCCACAACCAGCACTGCATTTTGCATGCTTGGGTCTTGCAATAGTTTAGTCAGAATCTCACTGAGCAACACATTGCTGTTCTTTCCGCTGAAAAGTTTGTCTTTCCTCTTGTCATAGTAGGGACGAACTTCCGATATTAACGACGGCTGCTGATCGAGAAGGACGTAGATAAGGCCGCGCATGACAGCCGTATCATTGGACAAGTCTTCGTCTGTCACTTGACAGAAAAAGTAGGATACAGGTCTCAGAGACTTTTTCAATTCATCAATGATGCCGCACAGCAGCATTGTCTTTCCCTTGCCAGGCTCGCCGTTGATCCATAAGACTCGGCTTGATGAATCATCCAGTTTGTTATAGGCATCATGTTGCAACACCCAACTGTAAGAGTCCCATAGTGGAGCCCCTTTCCTTTTTTGAATCTCGATTTTGTCCAGTTGAGGATCCGTTAGTTGAAATGCAGCGAAGCACTCCATGTTTTTGGTATCCCGCTCCTCTTGCTCTCTCCTTTCTCGTGCTCGAGCTTCTTGCTGAATGGTAGCACAGATGTTCTCAAGTAATGCTTCTTGAGATTTAGCAGTATTGGCGATTCCACTAAGCCATAGCTTTATCTCTTCTGTGTTATACTGCTCAAAGTCCTGTCGAAGATTGCTCTCGGCGTCCTTGACGTCCTTCAGCTTTTCGGCCCAGTCATCCAGCTTGAGTGTATCCCTGAGCAGGACAGATGCCCAGTTCCGGTAATAAAGACAGGCGCTGTGAATCTGGAATAGCAATAGCTTCTTATAAAACTCAACAACTTGACTGTCGAGTTTGGATTTCAGGACAGACGCATTGGCATTCACCCTCTCTGCACCAAGAATGATATTGGCCAAATTCCAGTACCACTCCATTCGTGACAAAACGTAAGTGATGCCCTGTCGATTCAGGCCTGGTTCTTTCATTGGATTTGCAAAGATCTAAAGTTTGTCAGCATTTATCCCATAAGAGACGAATCACTAGTTATTTTTCATACCTCCAGCCCGACGGATATGCCAGCCCAAGCAACGCCAGCCTCAGGCGAGGCCTTAACAGCTTGATCAATCACCCCTTTGAGATTCCCTATAATGCCGATATTGTTTGAAACAATTTCTTTGTAGTGGGCCATCTTCTTAGACCTCTCCAAGCCCATGTACACTACCATCCACATCTGACGTGACTTATCGGTTTTGCAATGTTCCAAGTCCTCCATCTCATTCTCAGGTATATTCCCCCATTCGTTCTTAATATTTTCAATGATTTCCTCGTATGCCTTTACTCTGTTGGGTTCCTTTTCTTTGATGCTATCGTAGGCTTTAGTCCACAATCGCTCGGGCACGCTCAGTGGTGGAGAATCCGACTCGTGTATTGATGAAGGAGAGGTTGCCTGATTGATTGTTGGTAGTGGCGCTGAGGGAGGCGTCGATTGGGAAACAGAAATGGATCCGGGCTGAGATAGAGAGAGGATTGGTAGATCAGGAGGTGACAAGGTCGTTGTTGGTTGACTCTCTGGTGGCTGAGCCGAAGAGTTTATCGGTAGGGCCGACTCGGCCGAGTCTTGGGCTGTTGGAGTCACTGGTTCGGCATCTACATGCGAAGGGCGCAGCTTCTTCTTGACTCTCGAGAATAGCTCCATTGTGCCTCTGTTAGAAAAGGGCATCTTGTTTCGCTTTGTATAGGGACGGCCACGACGATTGAATTGGGAAAATAGAGAGTGCGGGGAAGTTGGATGATGTTCAAAGAATGTGTTGGATGGAGCTGAAGCCTGCATATCAATCTGCAAGGCTGACCTTGTTAGGCTATCAGGCAGATAACTGGCAGCCTAATTTGCAGCTAAGGTACATAGTATTAGTAACTTAATTTATTTTGAAGGTTGCTTTATATAACTGGCTAACATATTCTTTAATAAGTTTATAAAATTTATGTATATTTTAAAATTATATAAAATAATATTATTTATATTATGATAGGTTTTAAATACCAAGGCCGTCACGGTTACCCTGTACCTCAACCTCGGCCTCGGCCCGTTGCGCTCAGCCCATTGAGATAAGCGGGGAATGATCCGGGCCCTGCAGATCACTGTCCTTTCAAGCAAGGCTTATGTTGAGGCAAGGGTATCTTGCACCAATCGGAATGGCCGACCTTTCGGGCCGCTAATACATCTGGCTTAGCCTCTCCGAGTAAAAAGACCACCAAACAGAGATTATCGCGAGATTGTCGAACATGTTCAACATTTTAACGATATCAAGTTCAAGATGGAAGGGTGCTCCAATGATCTCTGTGATGTTATACAATTTTATCTCCACGTATGAGCCAGACCATCGAAAGCAAGCCAAGCCAGATGAAGAAATCCATTCGAGCCATCGTAGCATCGGCCTTGCTGGTGCTGACGTTGCAACAGAGCTGGGCCAAGCATGAAGAGCCGTGGGGGCTTGGTCTTCCCGAGCTCGAATGTCAAGGATTGAACGGCTATAATTGCCGGCTGACTCCTCTCTACCGCCGATAAATTTGGATCGACTACGGAACTTTGACGGATCTGGTCAGCGAGATCCGTAAGTAGTCGAATGAAAAATATTGTCACCGCTGCATTGCTATTGACCGGTCTTCAAACAGCTAGCGCTTACTTCAAAGGATCTTGAGCGAAACCAAAGGGTCCTATGATTGAATTATATCCACTTTGAGGACGACCGTGAAAGTAATAGTGAGCTGAATAGAAATCATAGGTCATTTGCTGTCGTATATTTCCACCTTTTTGGTCTTGCTATTGGTATGGATATTATTGAATCAGGCGACTCGCCTACTCACATCTCCGAGAATAGACCGTGGGTGATCTATGAACGGAGAAACTCTTGACTTGCAGGTGGTCTAACATTATTGTAGAAAGAGAGGGTATAGATAAGACCTGCGAAAACGATTGTTATTAGAGGAGGACTTGGGTAGCCTAAATGATAATCTGAAAGCCTAGAGCAATGGCATTTGCCACTTAAACATAACTGAAACATATAAATATCATATAGAATTAATGAATCTTTGTTAGTCGCTGTGCTTATTCTTGCCACAATGACAACTATAAAATAAATGAGACTATTTCTGCAACTGGACAATTATACGAAAACTGTTCTTTTCGATTATTTCGCAGGAGGAACATTCGGTGACTCTGAAAATGGGCCCAGACTAGGTAAACCCATACTATTGCGGAAAGATCGCTAAAGGGGCCAATAGGATATGGCGGCATGCCTATGCGCTGGATAGGTCTTTTTGTAAACGGTAATCCTTCAGAGGCAAAAGTTCATTAGCCGATGTCTGAGATGACGGGGATATTGAAAGTGTTGAACTGATTGGACTCTAGCCAAAAGCCTAGATATGGAGTATATAAGTCGCTGACACTTCCCGATATCTGTTCACAATCACTCTCTCAAACACTCAAACTTAACACAACCCTTTCAACCAACATCTATAATCTACAACCATCAAAATGCTCGTCAACACCAGCATCCTCACCCTCCTCATGGCAGCCTTTGCCGCAGCCTCTCCCATCACCGAATCTTTACCTACCCTCACCAAGCGCAACTCAGTCAACGACTGCGGCGACTCTACCTTTGAGAACCACTCCTCCGGAGGCTCTCCCCAAGTCTCTGACTGCCAGCAAATCGCCCGCAACATCGCAGGCGGCGGCACCTGGACTGTCGGTGCTGGCGGTGAGCACCACCAGCTGGTCCAGTACGGAACCTGTGCTTTCGGTGCACAGGGAGCTGGATCTAACATGAACGCTGCTCATATCGGCAATCAGGACATCATTGATCTGATCAACAGCTCTATCGAAAAGTTTCAGTGGGAAGGAAAGGTTGGCGCTGCTGGTGTTATGGGGTGCCAGAGTCTTACTGGACTGGTTGGAGGAGTTGACATGCGATGGGGTATCTACCATACTTAAGTACTTTGGATAGCGCCTTGGTGGTGACAAGTCATGTTGGGTTGGAGCATTACAGCATTGGGGGCCTGGAGAGTCCTGTGATGGATACAGGAGCAGCTGTTGTCTTTACAGCGCATGGCATGTTCTATTCTTAGTCTAGCTCTTGTTCAGTTATTCAAGCAACAAGTTTTGTTAACTGTATATATAACACCTTTCTTCTACTGAGATGCGAGATCTTTTTGTTTTCCTAACACTATACTCGTTTACAAGCACTACCTTCCTTCGCTGTAGGTAATACAGAGCTGCAGACCTATACAAGTTCTCTCTATCAAGGTCCCAAACGTGTACATGTGTCATTGTCTTGGCGTAGCCCGATAAATATAACTTGCTATCTATATCCTGGCACAGTCAAATATCCATAGTAATGCCAATGAGCGTGACGTCTTGGAGCAATAACTTGGAGAGGAGCGCACCATAGTTCCAAGAGTTGTTCAAGCCTGACCGTGAAATCGACTAGGCGAAGTTGAGTAGGAGGGGTATTGATACTGGTCAAGTGAGTCTGTATGATTTTGAGGAGGATGTTGAGCCATTGGATGTTCTTGTAGATAACGATAGCGATGACGGTCAGACGTGGTGAAAGGTTGCTGGACAATGGAAGGCGACAAGTGGCTCTTGTTCTGTAGAGGAATGCTTGCTGAGTCATTGCGTATATGAAACGTCTCCTCCGGCTCTCTGGGAGTTAGTATCGCTCGTCCCGGGTGAACAACATTGAAAAGAGCTACGGTGATGAAGATCATCGAAGCGTCAAATACATAAATATATGTTTCAGTTGACTGCAATGCGCCGTTCGATCCGGTGATGTACTCAACCAAACGGAAAAGAGATCGGATCATGATCAGACCGCTGTCAACGTAGAGAACGAGGACAAATTGTTTCCAGGGAGAGATCGAAGAAAGGCTTTTGCTGGTCGGGTTTGCAGTACTTCGACGATGGAAGATATGAAGAATAGTGATGAAGAATGCGAAGAAGTAGATTTGAACAGCAAGGCCAACGATGATGATGTTCTGTCCCATCTTCTGGTCACCCTTGGACTTGGCGTTGGCCAGCATACCTCCTCCTGTAGTTATCAGAGGTTAGTATCACAGCTAATGCCACTAATGCCAAAGGATATGGTTCAAGCTTACCCCCAGACTGTGCCAGAAAGGAAATGACATCACCAATAACAAAGGTCTTTGTTAAATATTCAATTGGAACCAGTGAGTAAGAATCGGCTTCGAGGGATTTAATAAGTCTTCCAAGAGACATATAGATAGAAGCTGCCAACATCGTCGGACCGAGGAGCAGAAGGAGACTTTGGAGGACATAAGGCATAATAGCCCAGTCAGGAGTCTGCTTTGCAGATATTGCACGCCCGGCATAGCCAATTGCCTCGACTGTTATGGCTTAATAAGTGCGTACTCAGGGGCAAGCGGTATCAGCTACTTACAAATACATCCAATAAGGAATGGAACAAGATAGAAAGTTCTGTACCGAATGAGTTGAAAGAGGTGGCAGAGTGTTAAAGCACTAAAGAGAGCCAGAAAGATAATTGCGGCGGTAAAGGATGGGTCGTAGTGGTAAAGCTTGAATTCCGACATGGTAGGGGCGTTGGCTACAAACGACTGAGCTTTGGTGTAAGGAAAAGAGAGACGAAAAGCGAGGGGAAAACTTTTTTCTTTATTAGACAATAATATAAACGAGCGTCTGTAATATGGATCTCAAAGTGATTATACCAAAGAGTCCTCCAGAGGTATCAGAAGTATTTATCTGAAAGCAACGATTGTACTTGACATGCGAAGACAACAATGACCGGCCTATCCGCTGATGTTAGGCTTGCTGATCGACCCACCCGTATTATTTACGAGCGGGGCATCTGTCAGTGCGGTATGTAGGACTGGATTAAAAATAGGATCTCTAGTCCATACAGGTTAGCCCGCAATTTTTATACACGTATTATAAAGCTTATCTGCAGTGGTTCATCTGTGACATTTTCATGGTATCGGGACAATTGTAACACCGCATGGACTCAAATAGCGCATTGTTGGCTCGCATTTCTCAGACTAGTGACTGATGCGGGCTTTCGATTGTTATTATTAATGAAGTTATGTTATAGTCGTCCTCATCGTCTGATACGCAAAGTGTATCATGCCATAAACAATACGTACTGTTATAATAGAGAAGAGCAGACCAATCTCTAAGAGTCTTATTATTATCGAAGTCAACTCTACTATTCATAATATGCTGACTGCAAACGTTGCGGTGATCTTGAAATTATTCAGTCAACGCTCTAACAGTCAAGAAGCCAGACTGCTAAGTCGGAAAGAAAACCAAAGCTTGTTAATAATTGAATTACAACTTTGGTACATGCCATGTTTTAATACGTTCTCCAAACTTGTACAAAATCAAGGGTATAACGATCAGAACCAATGCAACAAATCCCAGAAGACTGTTGGCCCATCCAAGACCCATTGCTTCGTACATCTGTAGCCCACTAAGAGGCAGCAATGCTGCAACAAAGGATCTCAGGATCGTCAATGCTGCTGAGACAGATGCAGCATATCGTGGATATGTGTCAAGTAGATAATTCTGAATGCAGGACTAGATAACGTTAGCTACTTGTTTGCTCAGGTCAAGGCGGCTGGTTACATTGACAGTCATAAGTCCCATACACATGATCGAAACGCTTATCATGGGAACAATCCAATGTACGATGTGATACGTCGTCCAGCCGTAAATGAAGAGGCCGCAGGGCAGTGCTAACCCACAAGGAATCGTAATGATAGGAACGAGCCGAAACTTGGGTTGGTGCACTACTCCTCTGAGTTTGTTTCTCTTGACCATAAGGTCCGTCACTTGTCCGATACCAATGACCCCGAGGATCATGCCAATACCAGCAGGGATAAAGGCTAGCCCGCTGGTTCCTTCGTCAAAGCCATACTGCTGTGGGTAGACGAACGAAAAGGTAGCGATGAGAAGATAGAGGATTCCGTATGATATCGCGATGTAGAGTGCGCTTAGTGTAACAAGCGGAGCGCGAAATAGAAGCTTGGTAGGACGAAGTGCCGCAGCTCGGAACTTCAACGTATCAACTGGTCGTGGAGTAGACCTATTCGGTACTGCTGAGTTTGTAGTATCCTGAGGTAGTGAGGCATTGCGTCTTTGGAGAATCACGGGCGCGAAGGTTTCGTCGAGCAGGAAAGTTGAGATAGGGATAAGCACGCCTGACTAATCGTAATATCAGTGCTGGGCGCATGAGAAAGAACATGGGCGTTAGGATACGTACAATGATCGAAATCAGCCAATACACCCAGCGCCACCCTTTGGCACGTATCAGATATCCACCAGCAACAGGGCCGATACATGGGCCAAGCAGAGGACCCAGCGCCCAGATTGAGATAGCGCGACCTCGCGTCTCAAGAGCCATCATATCAGCAATGCTTCCACTCCCAATCGTGATAGGCACCACTCCCGCAAAGCCCATGGAAAATCGAAAACCAAGAAGCATCCCCATACTGTTGCTCAGAGCCGTTCCCACGCTGAAGATGGTGAAGAGTATGTTTCCCCATATATAAAGCTTTCTTCGGCCGTACGTCTCGCTCAGTGGTGCAATTAGAATCGGGCCAAAGACGAAACCGAGAACGTAGATTGATAGGATGAAGGTAGCGGCGTTGGGAGACGTTTCGTGGAACTCAGCCATGATGCTTGGTATTCCGGGTGCAAACATTGAAGAACCAAGTGGACTGTCGTGTCGTGAGTAGAGGTGCAGCAGGTAGATTAAGTAAGGACTCACGTTACGACTGTAAGCAGTGATAGAACCGTGATATTGAGCCACTTCCTCTTGTTCGACCAGTTTTTTGGACTTGCTGGATCATCTGCCCCTGACCAAGCGGTGGAATCCAGATCATTATGCGCAGGAGGGCGTCTCTCTCCCTTCTCCTGCTCTCCTATCGCAGCATCGCGCTCAATAGAGTTATCTTGTCCAACTCCCGGAGTAAATCCAATATCCTCTTCTCGATCTCTGATGGCGGACATTTTTGTTTAAACGATCTTTGAAAATAAGCATTGAATAAACGAATGAGCATGATAAGCTATGGAGATCGGCCTCATAGGTCAAGGTACAAAAGCGAAGGGGCAGGATATATTTATTAGGCCGTGAAGATACAGATTACTTAATACCCCTCCAGGACCAATATGTATTTCTCGCTTTGCACGAATTTCGCAACATCAGGGAACTCCATAACTAATGAAGCTAGACCGTTGATTTGCCCTTTCTGCTTTCTGTGTGACGAAAGTGGGCCACTGAAATTTACGCGTATTTCAGCAATTGCCCCAAGCTCCTTTATTGCGCTATCTACAGTTGTTCCAATCAAGGACGGTTTCATTTTTAGTTCCGGAGATAAGTCACAATTGATGACCTGTTATTACCTAGTCATGTTGCTATTATTACACTATCGGGATATTTATTTTTCCCAGCTCTAACTCCTTTTCTCTCACCATCTCAAGCTCTTATCCGCATCCTCCGACGCATCTAAAATACGCGTAATTAAGAACCAGCTATTTCCCTTCTGTTTCTCTGTCTCGCCATTCCTCCAAACCGCTGCCGCATAAAGCCTATCGGTAGTATCAGCCAATCCAGGCACTTACAAGGACCCTTTGGCCCTTCTTTGGTACTCTGCAGTTTGCTCCAGGAATGCAACGCTGTAGGCATAAAAAATCAAGGAAAGGCTGCCTCGAGTGCAAGCGCCGGCATATCCGGGTAAGTTCTCTTTCTGTGCTACATACATACGTCAGTATTATTAACAAGTTTGGGCAGTGTGACGAAGGCAAACCCATTTGTATAAACTGCATTACTGCAGAGCGAAATTGCGAGTATCGCGAGCGCAAGTCTCCGGTATGAACTATGTCCCATGACATTTTATACTCATACCATCAAGTTCATTTACAACTCTTTTGGTCGCTTTCTCACAGTGTATTCACAGGATCTGAACGATGTTACCTTCTCATCCTCGGAGTCGAATCCGACCTTGACGCAAGATGCAGAGAACTCATCAGCCACAAGCAGTTTAAGAATGAAAAAGGCACAGACGACCGACATCAACATGACCCATCTAGAGCTACTTGTTCATTTTTCATTCGCCATATATGCCCCAGAGCTTGAAGAGGATCATTCATCAACAAAGTTAGTACTAGAAGCTGCTCTGAGAGAGAAGTATTTAATGCTCGAGGTCCTGGCAATCTCGGCTCGATACTTATCAACCGCCCATACCGACGAGGCAGATTGCTATTCACGCCAGGCAGTGGAACTGCAGACCAAGGCTATCGAACTATTCAACAATGCGGACACTGTTACTGCTGATGAGAATTCCATAGCAAGGCTACTCTTCTCCTCCATACTAGGCCGCCACATGTTGGTCGATGTGCTCGCCAGGCGAGATCCTGATCTCGGGTCATTTGTCGACCGATTTACGCAAGGTGCACGAGTTCACCGGGGCGTCAGAGCTGTCACGACAGCACAAGAATGGGAGATACTACTGACGTCAAAGGTCGGTCCTCTTATTACGAAAGGCCTTGATCCTCTGGGTTTTCATGACCCACCTCCGCTTCGCCCGCATTTTATGTCACTGCTTTCGCGGACGGCACAGTTGGACGATCATGATAAGGAGGCATGCACCAAGGCTCTTTGCATGATAGAAGGGGCTCTGGATGATCTACAGTATCCTGACAGGAGCTCATTTGGCCTGCGCATGATATTCGTTTGGCCGATTCTATTACCAGAACGCTTTATCGTCTTGCTGGAACGGGGCATTCCGGAAGCTATTGCAATCTTAGGCCGCTATTCTATTCTACTACACGCTGGGGAGTCACTATGGCAGGTGAGGGATGCAGGACCGTATTTACTAAAGCTGATCTCTTCGTTTCTTGGATCCGATTGGGACGAATGGCTATAAGACCAGGACCTATCATCAATAGGCTATTAACCCATATTCAGCGTACTCGCATTTAATGTTTTCCTCAATCTTTAAGATACGTATTACATATATCTCGCTGTGAAATATCTGTTACATAATCGCTATACAATTTGGAGGGCTTGCAATACCCCCAGGAATGTCAAGAGGAACACTTGTCATGAAGAATGACCAACGGCCTTGTTCCTTGCACTTCTCTGCCAAGGCCTCCAGATCAAAGCTCTCGCCAATGGGCATACCCCAACCACTGAGAAAGACCTCGTGGAGAGCGACACCAGCTGGTCGTCGACTAGGCCAAGCTTCGTAAGCCACAGTGTCACTTGCAACAGCAGCGAATTGGTTCTCCCAGTGCCATTGTATCATCTCCTCTGAAGCCTGGACACCACAGGATGTTCGCACCTTACGGCGAGGTAGTGCTGCTTGGCTCTCTTGGCTTAAACTCCGATATGCCTTGAGCCAGCCTGTGCGGATGAGAAGAATATCACCGGTGTGAAAAGTGACTGCTTGATTTGTCGCGACTTCTTGTAATTGTGGGAGGGTAATTTCGAAAGAGTCGAATGGAGACTGTGTATCGATACCTTTGTCGGCGGCGTATGAAGCCCAGTCGAGCAAGACTCCTCGTCCAACAATACCTCGCCTTGCAACATCTGTAATCGCGACATGTTAGCATGTTAAACGTTGCCGCAAACCGACTTGACTTTCACTTACTTTGAATACCGATTTTGGTATTTGCCGCAACTCCCGAGATGTCGTCTTGAGTTACTCCATTGTAGTACAATAGGCTGTCTTGGTATGGATAATGCCGCAAGCCATCCCAGTGACTAGAGCCCTGGGTGTTCATGTCGAGCTGATTACCAGATGTATTAATACTGGATGGATGAATTAGCCGTAGAGGAAAGCGTACTAACCTCATCATCATTGGCATGACCCTTGGCAATGATTCTATGGCTGCATGGTTTCCTCACTGGATTCATGGGTTGCGAAAAGGCGTCAATGGATAAGCTATATTGTTAGAACCATCGTGTCCAATCCTAACAAAACAGAGTGGTCAAAACTTACCTTAGAGTAATCTGCTCACCGGTGATGATCTCTTTCGCGGCATCTTTGACAATGGCGGGCGTGAGTAGATTCAGCGTTCCCAACTCATCATTGGCGCCCCAGAGACCCCAAGCTGAGTATTTTGGATCACAGCTTCGACAGGGCAACTGGTCGAATGCAGGTCGCTTTGGTTCTGACTGAATACTACCCATCTTGTTGTGAGAACTTGTTGTTTAGGTCAATACCTGGGAGCATCGCATCCCCAGTAACTCAAGATATGTTCACCAATAAACACATGAACGGTTGACTTAACCTGTGTTACGGGATCTGCATACCGGTTCGGCATGTTTATCTAAACCCCGACAGCCCCACCTCGTGCGTCGGCATGTTACCGAAAGCCTCTCGCGAGATTCCGGCACTACCCCAACTTGGTATGACTCGTTGGCCCCAATCACAGCAACCCCGGGAATGGAATCTGCACAGATGCACTGTCGTACGTACCCCAGATCTTACCCCAGCTTCTCCGGGGACGTCTCCAACTCCATGAATCTTATTTAAAGAATGCTGTAACCATCGATTGCATCTCCAGGCCCAAGTTCCATTCAGAATCTGACCGGAACAGCTCAATAGAGTTTGGAAACTCCAAACGACAACGTCAAGAACTTTCCCCAACTTGTTCATTGAGCCATGTCTCAGAACGACACTCAAGTCAAACCGACTGAAGAGTCTCAGCACCTTGAAACCATGACCGTCTTAGACGAGAAGAAGATGGAAGCTGGCACTGAGGAAACCCGCTGGACACCCGAGGAGGAGAAGAAGGCTCTTCGCAAGCTCGATTGGTGCTTGATTCCTCTGTGAGTAACTACTGACAAGCCGATTGATCTTCACCTCAAGAGTTGAATTAACAAGATATGATAGAGTCGGCTCGCTTTACCTTGTTTCTTACATTGATCGTGGTAACATTGGCAACGCATACACAGCCGGCATGGGCCAGGCTTGGGGTATCACCTCGAATGATTACTCGTGGATCGTGACCGCTTACTACATTGCCTATATCTGTTTCCATTGGGTAAGTTTCCATGACGACCAGCACGCGTCTTTGTATTACAACTTGCTAATCATCTCTCTGCAGCTTATTCTGGTTTGGAAGTTCATGCCACTCCCGGTAATTACACCCTCCCGATATCGAAGACGCACGAACGAATACTGATACCTATTACAACAGCTTTGGACCTTTTGCATGGCCTTTGGATGGGGCACTGCGAGTATTCTGCAGGCAGCAACCCACAACTTTGCCGGCATCATGGCTCTGCGAGTTCTGATAGGCGCCTTTGAAGCTGGCTTTGTTCCTGCTGTTGCGCTGTATCTGACTTTCTTCTATCACCGACGCGAGATGGGACTGCGATATGGTTTGTTCATATCCTTCTCACCGCTTGCGAATTGCTTCGCCTCGGCCTTGGCGTACGGCATCGTTCAGGCAAAGACCAAGATCCACAACTGGCAGCTCCTGTTCATTGTTGGTAAGGAATCCCCCAAAAACACCTCAAGATCTTAGACTAAGGCTAAAATCTCGTATAGAGGGTATTCCAACACTATTTCTAGCCTTGGTTGCCCTTTACTATCTGCCGGCATCTCCTGCACAATGCCGATTCCTCACAGCTCGACAAAACGAAATCATCAGCCAGCGCGCGATCAAGGGTCGTGGAGAGGATACCGAGAGAAAGCTCAACTTTGCCCAAGTATTTTCTGCGTTTTACGACTACAAGAACTACATGCAAGCCTTTATCATCTTTTGTCTCAACACAGCGTTCGGTTCTCTTCCGGCTTATCTCCCTACCATCTTGAAGGACATGGGATACACTTCAGTCCACGCGCAGGGTCTATCTGCCTGCCCCTACATTGCCGCATTTGTTGTCTGCGTGGGCATGAGCATGCTCTCTGATCGCGTGGGCCAGCGCGGTATCTTTGTCTTTGTCTTTTGCTGCGTCGGCGCGGTGGGATACATTCTCCTCGCCGTCATCCATACCACGGCCATCCGCTACTTTGCTACGTTCCTCGTCTGTGCCGGCGTATTCCCTGCTGTCGCTCTGACCTTCACCTGGGTGACAGACAACCAAGGTTCCAGCTCCAAGCGAGGCGCAGGGCTTGCCATCTTCGGCATGTTTGGCCAGTGTGGTCCCATTCTTGGTGCTCGCCTGTTCCCCAAGTCGCAGGGGCCGTACTACTTCAAGGGCATGTGGGTTTGTGCGGGAGTACTTCTGGCTGCTTCTCTTATGGCACTGGCTTTGAGCGCGTGCTTGCGCCTGCAGAACCGTCACCGTGACCGCGTGCATGGCAAGAGTGATACCGACCATGTTCCTGCAGATATTGCCGAGAAGGGTGATTCTCACCCCTTGTACCGATACGTCCCTTGAGGGCTATTCGATCGGATGTAGGTGAAAGGTATTGGCTGAGTCTTTGTTGGTGGTGGCGACGTACAATTCTGTACAGGCTGTATGGTTCAAGGGAGATGGCTGGTGTGGTTGGAGTTATGCCATAGGGGCAGAGCTGTGTATTTCGAGTGACAGCTGATGCTTGCATCGCGCGCCTTACTCGTGTATCTAGACTAGGATAGGGGTATCAAATTGATCTGGCCCGCAGGGTTTCAATTCAGTTTTAGACCAAAAACATCTTATTGAAACACTTGATCAGTCTGTTCTGGTGCTCCATACACCTGTGAATTACCAAATATTTCCGTCATGTCCCAGGGAAATGAATCGGGATGAAATCCGGCTCCGGTATCAAGCATCCCGAAGCTAAAAGGACTTTGATATCTCGACAAAAAGCCAGACGCCCCTTCATTGTTAGCCTGCGGTCCACCATTTCCAACGTCAGAAGCCACTGGATGTGGAGATGCTCGGGGCTCTTCCGCCCTGTTCAACCCGAGTGGCTGCGCATCACCAGCCCGGTTGGCGGCAGAACCTCCACAAGGCTCCTGTTGACTCGTATCACGAGGGGCGCTCACTTCCCACACTGTCAGCTGCCGCCTGATGGTATCCAAACTCCGACCACTTCCAGGCGTGTGTTTAGCTTCTTCTTGAAGCGTGCGGACAGCCATGCCGAGTCGCCGCGCGGCATCAATCCGAACCCCAGCTTCAGACCGCCTCATATCAAGAACATCGACAGTAGCCGCAGTATATACGCAGTAGCTTACTTGGTATGTCATCAAGCGGTGAGGAAAGCTTTTGGTGTACAGATCGTGGATCGCGTGTATCCTTTTAGAGTGGTTGACGCATGTTTGGAGGGACGAGTTGCGGATCGAGGTATGGGGAGAATGTAAGAGCGGTCGGAGGAGGAGAATATGGAGAGCATGGTATAAGAAACTTGAGTAATTCTTGTTAGTTAGGTTCATTGAAGGACTTTTAGCACTAACTTCAAAGACGCGATATGGGGGGGTGGACACTGAGTCATTCCCTCGTCAATCTTGAGTGATGTAGGTAGTTCGTTGTACCACGCTATTAGCCTATTTGAAACATGGTCGATCTCGGGGTAGATGTTTTCCGAGTGACCACGATCAAAGAGAAGCAGCATCATATCGGTTGTTATCTGGCCAGTATGAGTACATTCCCTGCTATTGGGTGTTGTGCTATACAGACCACGTGAAGTTGACAGAAGGCACAAAACGTTGCCGTATTATACATTGGTGTTGGATTATAGGAGGAGTTCGTAATATCGATATCGCTGGGCCGCCAGTCTCGATCGTCATCGTAGTGGTCAACTGTTTATATCAGTGTTGATCCCCAAGGCCATAACTGCAGGCGACTGTCGCTCCGCTAAAGGAGACTTACAGATCTCGTCCGGTCCATATGGAGAACCTGTCAATGATGGTGGCCGTCCAAGGGCAAGGCTAAGCGTCTTATCCCATATGAAAGCCGAGTTGTATAAACGTTTTCGTGTCTCGATTTCGGATGGAGTTAATCTCTCAAGTTCGGCGATTCGATTCGCATTTAGGTGTATCCCAATGTCCACCATCATTCTGATTGCCTGTGTGTGCCAAAAGGCAATGCTTAGCCATGTTGAACAATAGCTATACCCGCGTTTATTGGATGGACTTACCATGCCGGTGAATAGCCATCCCTGAGAGCTTTTGCCAATGGCGCATTGGCGTCCTCCGAGAATAAGAAGCCCTTGAATAGTAGGAATTCGTGGCTTCGGATTGTCCAGTTCATCCATGAGTAGCATCTTGGCGCGGGTGAAGAACCTTTCACCCATATTGGAGTCAACCGAGTCGCCCTCTTGTCGGCTGAGATGCCGAGAAGCCAAAGCAAATATTGCCATAAGTAGAAAGTCGGAATAATACGTGCCGTTTAATGCCATGTCCATCAGGAAAACTACAGTCACGTTCGCGTTACTACACATATCTATAACTCGGCCGTAGCATGTAATCGAAGACGAGCTACTTACCTGGTCGATAGATGCAATTATGCAATGGATGAAGCCAAGTCCAGTACATATCAAGGATCTGCCATCCCATTTCATTCGTGATGCCAAACGCCGTCATGGACTTGGACCTAGCTAAAGGAATCCATACTGTGTCAAGCAAGTCATATTGGGATCGCAGACGCTCAACCTGAGATGATTTGATTTCTACGTCCTGGGCTGAACCGGGAGGAGCCTGCGTGGTGGATGGCGATGGGCCGTTTCCTGTCAAAGATCCAGCGTGGAAGCGACTGGTAGGGCCGTTGTAAGTGATTGAGCCATCTTCTCCGATGCCAACCTGCGACCAAATCGTGGCGTCGATGGTGTTTGAGCGAGCATCGCTCGGTGATGCATGCGTAGAGCCGGGTTGCCCAAGCAACGGCATGGATCCAGCCGGAGAGACATTGCCTTGGCCAACATTTGTGACATCAGCAGTTGTTGTATTACCATTCTCACTGCTCAACCGTTCGTTCTGTCTTCGGCTTTCCTGTAAAGCGGACTCGAGTTCTTGAATCCGCGTGTTTGCTCTGTCAATCCTGACCTGGGTATTGGCAGGCCATATGCAAGCATTATCAGACCGCTGACAGGCCCTACAAACGGGTTGTTCTCCAGTACATTTAATCTTCCGTGCTTTACAACTCTGAAACGCGTGTGATTATTAGCTCGTGTTAAACGCGTCCTCCATGACCACTGGGAGCTGAACAACAGACGGGACTCACTTGGCAAGCACTTTTTGTGTTGGTAAGAGAATTAGTCAGCCCTGTGAGCGTACTGCGGCATCTTGCCGACTCATTCTTATCTGATAGGGATCTACTCACAATCCATAACGACGAGAATCACGCCGATTGGGGTTTCGGGAATGCTGATGCTGGTCCAAGCGGCGACGTCGTGACGATGTTTCAGAAGGTGTTGGGCTTGCTATACACGACATGTCGGGATCAACGACGATTCCCTCCGTTTCATCACGATTAAGCTGGCTCAGAGCCATTGTTTGAAAGGTTAAAGCAGCGCAATTCGCCTCTCGTCTTCCAATGCCGAGAGATATTCCGATCATTGTCCCGTGACCGTTCTCAAGTTCCAGACCCAGGACACTAACTCGCCTGGAAATGCGCGTGCGGGGTTCGGTAAGATGCCGAGCAATACCTCACTATGATGCAGGGTAGGTGGCAAGGAGCTGAAATGATGACGATACACAATTTTCATTATACCGTGTACGTATACGAAAGATCAATTGCTAAGAGTGATACTGTGATAACAGTCTAATTTACAGCCATCGAGCTTCGTCGCTTCCCAGCGGGTTTGGCATCACATCCCAAGAAGGCTCAGCACCATCCACACTTACACTGTGCCGAACGGCCCTCAATTCGCCAAATCCCGTTTGACGGGTTTCCAAATACTCCTTCATATCAGAAGGCTTCTCGTAATCGCCAACCCCGAACCCGGACTTGCCGGGATATTGACCCATGCTGCGGAGATATTTCATGGTACCAGCCAGTGACACGTCAACGCGATACGACCCTCCTTGAACGGATCGTCGATACAAAGCTGCCATAATACCAGAAGCCAGTAAATAACCACCGGCGTGGTCCAATGCTTGACACGGTGTCGGGCGAGCCACTTCGCCGGCGCCGTAATGCTCAGCCTCTGAAATGTTCATACCCGAGCATGTCTGGATAAGAGAATCATAACCGCGTCTCTCAGACCAAGGTCCCTTGGGACCGAACGCAGACATACAACCATAGACGATGCCTGGGTTAAGACCTACAATCTCCTCCGGACCGAATCCCTTGGCGGCAAGACTGCCAGGACGGAAGCCTTGGATAAATACATCACACGACTTGATAAGCTCTCTCAACTTTTGACGATCCTCAACGTTGTTGACGTCTATGTGAACAGTGCGCTTCCCTCGGCCAAGATCGCGGTCCATAGTAGGCAGATCAGGGAGTCCAGGACATGTTATCCAGATGACATCAGCGCCATGGGCAGCCAAGGTCTTGCCGGCCAAGGGTGCAGCGATGACTCGGCTCATCTCAACGACTCGCAGACCTCGAAGACACTTGTCGTTGCCTGGTGTAAGATGAGGAGATAGTCCAGCTGGGCCTGAAGCAATTCTCGTTAGAGAAATGGGGAAATCGTCAATTGCCTTAGATTGAGGCAACATGTCCCATTGGCGATATGAGCGCAGAGCATAAATCGCCAAGCGATGCTCTAAACCGACAGACTCGAGATCGATGCTCGCCCAGTCTTGTGTCTTCTTGGTCACATCGATGCGGCTTGCAGTCACTGGAAGACCCAATAGCTCCAGAGCTCCATATCCATGGTTAGGAAACGAGTCATGGATACGGACGTGTCCATCTGAGGTCTTGTGTAGACCTCCAATGGGTCCCCAGGGAGAAGGAGCAGGCTCTCCGTTGAGCATGTAAAGCCGTTCAGACTTGAATTCAATGACAGAGTGCTTTTGAGGCACGGTTACCTTTGGCACAGGACCTTGGTTTCGCAGAGAATGGATGAGAGCCGCCAGGAGCCCAGACAGAGCAATGGTGCCTTGTGCCAGAGTTCCAATCTTGTAGGAGGAAGGGAGAGCTGGCTTGCCATCATCACCAGGAAGTTTCAGGGACTTCAGGGCGTTTGAGGGGAGCGAAAGACCATTCCAGATCTCGTTTACGACATCGCGAGAGAGGAAGCTGGATCGATCGAAGCTAGAATTGGCAGTTGATGCAGAATGTCCGTTCAGGTCTGGTTGGGGGACATGCGTCAGACCATTGGTACCGTTGACCTCCCTGACACTGTCTACACCATTGACACCATTCACGTGAGCCGCGTCACTGTGAGTACCATTGGTGGCAGCCTCTGTTGTGCTGGCCTCAGGGACCTCGATTCCCAAAAGCAGCGCGTGTTGTTGTGTTCCCAGAGTATCTCTCTCGCCGACACTGCCTTGAGCCCAAGGTCTCTTGATGGTGCACTTCCAGGCAAGAGCAGGTTCAAAAAACATGTTGGTCAAGATCTCGCTGTTTTCCACGTGGTACAGAGACTGGATCACATCGTTGGTGAGGACATTGGCATCCCTGACTCTCCTGTAGACAGCCTCATCGTCGAACATGATATCGAACGTCATCTCGAATGGGCCTGAGTTCTTGGAACGGATGATACGAGCGAGCTCTTGCATCTTTGCTTTTCTGGACGGAACTTGCTTCTTCTCTTCAAAAGGACCGTTAGTATCTCTCATGCAAAGTTCAGAGTGTACATACCGATTGGTGCAAGAGAACCGTTCTCCAGAGCCTCTAGGCGCTCTCGAGAAACTGAAGCCACGGGTGCTGGACTGGCAGTGGAGTTGATATCCCTGAATGTAACGGGAAAGAGTGAAGACGACTCGCCAGCTTCAAGGTCGACAAGGTGGTACACGCTGAACTTGAAAACAGCACCGGCATCTTGCTCATGAGGTGACAATGGGCTAGCAAAATTACCGGTTGTGGCAATCTGGCCAGGGTATGAGAAGTGGAGGATAGAAGCTCGTGCATTGTTGGCAATGGTATAAGCCATGTCCTGCGTAGGAGCAACGACTTCGCCTAGAACAGCGATCTCGTGAGGGCTGCTAACAGCCTGTGTCTCCAATGGGCCCATGACACCGTTCTTGCCATAGACGTGATAGATGAGGCGGCAGCTGTCTGACTGATCTAACTCGGGAAATAAGTTTTGGGTGTACTTTCGCACACGCTCAAGGAAATCATCGATCTGGCTGATAAGAATTGGATCTCTGATACCGCCAATAAAGATAGTTCGATATCCCAGGAAGGTAACGCCCTCGAGCTTCACCTGGTATGGTGTCTCCAAGAATTGAGCACCAGATACACGTGTTGTCTTGTCAGTTATCTGCTCATACTTTGCATTGTCAAGGCTGAGAACACCACCTGGGCCAGGTAGACGGTCTGGTCGTGTCTTTTCGTACAAGGTATGTGCTGCAACAGAAAGAGGCGTGCATCTCTCCTCGGGTGCTAATGGAGTCAAGTCGAAAGAATCGTAGCGCATGGTGGCAATCATAGAGCGACCCTTAGGAATGGCGCAGATGCCACCGCACTCCATGATCTTGCCCATGTGCCAAGCAACGCCATTAGATATGCCTTTTGACAGACAAAACGCAGCAAAAGGTGCAGGGTCGTAGCATCTTCCACCAAGAACGATGTCTGGGTTGCCTTTCAAGGCTTCAAGGAATCTGATAGACTGATTTCAGCATATGCTTTGTCTAGACAGGAAGGTGGTTGACTTACGGCTCAGCACCCACCTGTGCAACGATATCAACAGCACCATCAACAACGTCTGGAACTAGCTCCTCCACAGGTCCACATGGACTGACTTTGTGATTTTGGATTCTGGATTTAATCAAGTTTCGGTCCATACCAGCGTTGATAGTGGCGACCTTGAAGCTGAATCCGAGACGTTCTGATACTGAGGAAACAATGTCGAACATTTCCTGGACATGTTTGTTGCTGCCATCTCCACCTACTGATCCAATCAAGACCTTGATCTTATGATGGAAGCAGGCTGTCAGGATAGGCTCGAGGTCACGAATATAAGAGCCCCGTCCACAGGTCATCTTATTCATTCCGAGCTTGTAAGGGCCCCCATCTGTTGACCCACTGTCGACGATGATCGCTGCAGGCTTGAACTTTTGTATGCCATACCAGAAATGCTCGACATTGTAGCCATAGCCAAGCATGGCGTTAGGCGTAAGGATGCTGAACTCTGGGACCTCCATCTTGACGTTAAAATAATGGGGTTGGGTTGGAATAAGGTGGTATACAAGAAACTAATGTATTGCGATATGCAGGCAGCCTGGGTAATATGTGATATATTTGAAGGCTATAGAGAAAGCTTGGATGTTTGCTCCACGGTATCACTGCGGAGATGTTTGGCGAGCGGAGCAAATGCCGACGGCAGAATAACTGGTCGGTATGTTCGGAGTCAGCCCGAGACTACTTCCCGGTCTCGAATACCGAGGTACCCCGATACAAACAAGCCACGATTTCAATATCGGGCTAATCGCACATGTATAGCATTGACTGTCATTAGCAACTCTACAGAAACAACACCATACCTGGTAGAAACAGGTACATCTTGAATAAAAATGGAAATAAGTTTGTATATTATGTTTAAGAGTGCGAGCTCTGCTATGTAGCAGAGTGACTAGACTCTATAATTAAAGTATCTATAAAAGAGGCCATCGTCGTGATGTTGTTATCCGCGTGGCCAAAACTATGCAACCAACGAGACTCAACAGAAACCTCTGTTGTCCCCCTCCCGGAGGGCTGTAATTCAATGCTCTGTATAACTGGCATTTCATTCTTCTTGTTATGTCGCTGATGTGCTTTAGGCGGCTCTGTCACTGTGTCGTGACTCCACGATAGTTCCAAGTCACTTCTAGACTCGGACTTCTTCTGTTCGACTTGGACGGTCACCTCTTGGAATACAACAATGCCGCCGTTCAAGAACGACTGTTGGTGGGATGTGTAATGACGTTCTGGGGGGTAGACGTCCACAGTGTCTGTTGATGGAAGACGCTCGTTGTGGGCTTCGCTGCTTTCAGCGGGACATAAGTTTATCGTCGAGGATGAGCGTGTAGAGTCTTTTGATGAAGCTCTTAGTCTCATTATTGGAACGCGGGGTTTCTTTCCTTTGGAGTGGGCTGATCCTTCGGAACCCTTTAGTCGGCGGAGCGTTGATAGAGGTCCGGAAGTGAGCTCATTATTGGCCCGGCTTGCGGGCATCGTTGATGGATCAAAGTCCTGGTGAAGAACCCGCACAAACTCCTGTCGAGACTGTTCTAAGACTTGTCGCATACCGAAGAAGTTGAGAGGGACCCATTGGCAGTTGGGGCCTGATGAGATGACGGGATGAGATATCTTGAGCCTCAATGCCATGATGACTGTCTCCTCTGCATCACCTCCGTCGATTCCGTAGGGAAGCCGTAGTATGGTGGGGCTTAGCACGGCATCATGAAACAAGGGTTCCTGTGCCCATTCCCGTAGTGAGTGAATGGCGTTAGAAAGATAGTGGGCAAATAATTCTTCATCAGGGGACCTCGAAGAAGCGCCTGTGGTCCTCAGTCTTTGAATGACTTCTGGAACCTGGAACCCACTTAGCCCTTGTACGATTCGCACTTGTTTCTCGTCGATAGTGCTTATTGGCAGAGGTGCCAGGGGAAGTAAATCGCGAGCATCCTTTTGTACCAGGACCTGATGATTATCAAGTCCTCGATCCTGAATTGCGAATAGGCCAAGATGAACTCCGGGCTTAATACGACCTTGCTGTGAGATAAAGGCCTTCATGTCGCGTAGCTTTGACTCAAACTCGCTGGACTGGATCTGCATCTGCAAGTGATTCCTTGCATCGTTGCATACCTGAACAGGGTCGACGAACCGATATCCAGCCGCCTCGAGTCTCTTTACCTCGTCATCTGATGTAAGACGACGAATCAAAAACATCAGTGCTCCTCGTCCGTCGATTTCATTCTCAAGCTCAATCTCAACTCCCTTTTCGAGGTGGCTTTCTCCCGTCGTCGATCCCTTGCGCAGTATTTCGCTCGTGTCGGAAGTTTGATTGTCGCGATGCTTCTCAAGTGCTTGTAGGTAAGCAGGGTTTGCGACTGATCGTTTAGTGATAATTTCGTCCCATAGAATACCCATCGTTGTGATGGACTCGTCAAGGCTATCGCTGAGCTTGGAGGCGGCGACGCAGAATAGCTCGCGGAAGATGACTGAATATCCATCGATGAGCTCTCCATCGTCATCGATAAGCTGAATTCCCTTAGTCGGATCTTTATGGCGGCTTTTGTGCGGCAGCTGTCGGAGATGTTGTTTCATGCCGTTTATTAGTCCGGATATTCCAGTCCAGTTCCGTGAAGCTTGAAACATCCAGTGAAACTGTGGATGGGCAGTGTTGAACTTTTCGTCGGTGTTCTAAGAAAGAAGGTTGAGTGTTAGTTACTGGAGTCGTCACACCGACTATGAGATGTGGTCCTGGGAAGTAAATGATTATCTTACCTCTCCAATAAAGAAATCGGTGACAACAGTATTGGGGAAAACTCCGTTTGAGTCGACCAGAAGACATCCATCTTTGTTGAAGACGATAGCAGCTAGCTCAATCTGCTGAGCACGAAGCGCTGCATCTTTTAAGATGCGGGCTCGAAGAATAGCGGATCCAGCAATGATAATGCAGGCACTGAAAGACTATTGGAGTTTTAGTTAGTCGGCCTACATATAGTTGATATGTGTTGTTGCGTATTGCGCTGATGAAGAAGATTCCCGCAGCCACTTACTAAACAAATGACTGCAATAGCGGTCGCAGTGCGCGATCCTCGTTCCAATTTCCTCAGATGAAGCAGTCTGTACTGAGTACCCACAGAGGCACACCAGTGCATACTAGATACCGCTCCAGCAAGGATGATCGCAGAAATGGTTCGCTTCCACCAACTACTCGCCGAGAGCGACTGGAAGATGAAGAACATGGCCAACGACACAGTACTGGCAGCGACAGCAATGATAGCAGCCCCGACGATATATGCTGGTTCGTAAATGCACTGGTAGTTTTTGATGGAAGCGTTGGCCAAGTAGTGCATACCGCAGATGGCACAGCCGCAAAGGATACCAGCAGTTATCACTCTCCACCAGGCGATTCGATTCGAGATGCCTATCGCGTAGAATGCGGCAAGGAGGACAATAACAGGCATGCAGAAGGAGAGTACTGTCATGCCACTGGAGTATACAATCTGCATCTCTGCCTCGCCTTCAGCAAGTGTGAGGGCGATATTGCCAATGAAATGCTGCACCATGAGCAATATTAATTAACATGTGTACAGAAGACGACGTAAAACTGAAACTTACCATACACCAAATAGCTATACCGCCCATGGTGATTGCGGATGAACATAGTATCAGACTAATGCATCTGTATTAGCAAACCGTCTTGGCAGTGTTTATCGCTTGGCGAAAGAGGTATCCATCGTAGCATACTGATTCGAAATTCCATTAAACCATGATCGCCGAGTGATCAATTCGAGGGTCGAAGCAGCCCCCACCAAGCTGATGAGGTAGCTGAGCGCGAGGTAACCCGCATTGTACGCCTTTGGGACAATATGGCCCTGATATTGCTCGAGAAGGCTCTCGACAGTCATTTTTGCGCAACTGTATCGCAACAAGATTGAAAGGGATCAAAAGTCAAGGTTCCATGGCAGACTTTTTGGCGGACGGGGCAAGGGAATACCGATCGACAGATCTTAATACTCGAAGCGTCGAGGCACAAGGGGGTTGCATCGGGCGTTTCATAAACGGACGCGTTAGTCCTCCTGGGGATTTAAACTTTGAGAGAGTCATGGGCTTGCAGGTAGGACGAAAGCATAAATCTGATAGGGGGGACGCGGAAGGCCCATACATTCCGGAGAGGCGACCAATGCTTGGGAGGAGGGGGGCTTGAAACCCGGCACTTGGGCGTTTGCTTCCTATTGCCTGCTGGTATTAGTCAGGTATGGGGTAGTGCTGACGGGAACAAGGATCTACTTGGGGTACTTGTCCCGTCTGCAGAATTAAAAGTTGCTTGTTCATGCCACTTTGTGATATAATTTTAACCCATGCTCAACGCACAGGCGCTGGAAAAAGCAACAGCGGGATGTTAGCCTCACTAATGGCTAGTGCTGACCTAGGTCCGGGAGCAAACGAGCACTAAGTATTTAAGCTGGCTTGCATATACGATGGATATGTACAGAATGCAATGGGGAAGCGCCTTGATAAAACACGTCTGGTTTGAACAATTGCAAAAAAAACAGTGTCTGTAACGCTAGGTCAGATAAGAAGACGAAACCCAGATCTTCTATGCATGCCGTCAGTTCCGTCCAGGCCTTTGGGACAGCTTAGCGTGGCAGAAGAGATGATGTACCTATATCACCTCCAGGGGTCTCGGCCTATAGACCGGGTCGAGAACGGCTTAAGGAAAACTCGGATTTAGGAGCCCGGGTTTGTGATAACAACAGAAACTCTATCTCTCATGGCGTAGAGTAGATTCGCTTGTAAAGTTGATACTTTGTGGCTACTGTCAGGAGACGGATTTGCATAGGGCTTAGGTTGAACATTGGTTGTAGATCTGGCGCGGCCGCCATGTCAAAGGCATTCCTGCCGCATCCAGAACACACAGACCCTTGGCCAAACAGCCACTGAAGCCACTACAAGCCTCAGGCGAACTATGGATTTAGTGCGCTCGGGGAACAGGCGGGGATCAGCCCGGGGGCATTCCAACGCGCCCAGATCTTTGAGTTGAGGCGGCGCACTAAAACGGCCACCAGTTAGCCGATTGTGTCACGCTGCAGAGTGCTCAATGCGATCCTGGTTCATGGGGTCAGAGCTAGCTGATCAAGAGAGTTCAATTGGGGCTATTTGGGTCTTGAATGTTGCGATTGGTTCGTCGGGTAACTGTTATCATTTGTCAGCTCAATGGCGATACACAAAGCCTTATATTGTAGCTGATATACATTTTATTGTACTAGTTTTTGGGAGATCTTATCCATTTATTTCCCTGTACCCCGATGATGGTGCCAATTGAGGATCTCCTATCTACTTGCTAAGCCAATGGCTTCTAGTTTATGACATATTTGTCGCCCTGCTAAATGCCATGTCGCACTCATGGACAAATGCCGCCAGTTTTCCCCAAGACTCACTCAAGTTGCCGCGGCCACTGTAACTTTGATGACGCTATATCCTGTCTTTATATGAAGACATTTTTAAATTCCGGAGCCTCCTTCGGAGCTCGAGTGGCATATATAAGTAGTTGGCGCCTGTGGCCACTGCCTTGCGGCATCTGTGCAGAGTCCGCACATACCAGAATGTAAGTGCTGAAGCCGCAGAGTCGGAGCTGGAGACACGGCGCACGGACAGCGGACTGCCGCGGATCGGGACGGAAGCATGGACCTTCCGTTCGTACATGGCGATAACCCAGATCCCGCCTCGGTCGGCTTCACGGATTGGCTTTAAACGATCTAGGACCGCCGGTACGCATGGTAAACGAGTTCAGAGCCACAAACACTATATCAATAAACCGAGGTTATTCTATACTGTCCCGTGTAATTATTTAAAAAGAGAATGCCATTCCGAAGAACGGCAGAAGGAAACGTCTGTGCCCAAGCTGTCAAGCCGTCTTTCATATTCTGACCTTTCCTTCTTTAAATGTTCATTTCTGCTCCAGTGCGGTCCCGCCAGAAAGTAAAAAAGAATGATCCTCAAGGCGTTGAAGGCCTGCTTGCAGCAACCCGCACCACCGAATTCGCCAGTCGAGTGGTTGGTGTGGGCACTTTTCTCCCTCAACTCTCAGCCAAGCGGTTCAGTACCGTTGGAGGCATCGCCGAGGGAGTTTTCGTCCAGCAGCTAGACTCATGTAAATCATTCAACGACACTCGCTGGACAGAACATCAGATCGCCCTCGCCAATGAGCAGCTTCAGCATCTTGGTAATGAGCTTGAAAAGGCAGAGCTTGGGTCTAGCCATGCTTTTCTCAACGGGCAGCCACCTTCGCCAGCTGTGCTATCTTTTCTGAGGCGAGGCGCTGCAGCCATGGCGCGAACACCCCCGGAACCCCCATTGATGAAGATACCTTCCCCCAAGACGGGCAGAGAGGCAGTTTCATCGCGGTGAGCGCTCTGCTCATGGCCATTGCATACTTCTTCGTCGCAGCTTGGCCAGGCCTGACTCCAGCGCGCCTAAAGGCATATCGCGTTTGCGAGGCGCTCTTTGACATCCTCCTGGATGCAATCGCGCCAACCCTATCCTTGAACGTTGAAAGGCACATCGTCCCGATAAACGGAGAAGATGTCAAGGTGCACGCGTTATTAACGACACGTAGTGAGACAACTGTGCCTGGAGTTCTTGTTACAAATGGCCTTGAAGGCACCAATGTTGAAACCATGGTTACTGTGCTGCGCACGAAAGCGGTACTGTCTAGTGCTTGGTTTTTTATGGAGATACCCGGGACATACGCGTCTAAGCAACCAATGACCAAGTCTTCGTCAGAGTTGATTTACGGAGAGGTATTGACCTTTATGGCGTCACATAAACAGGTTGACGGATCGCGTCTCGGCATGTTGGGCATTAGCTTTGGGGGAAACTGCGCCACGCGGATGGCCAGGGTAGATAAGCGTCTTAAGGCAGTGGTCGTCAATGGGGCATCGTTAGGTCGGTCACTGTGCTTGTCGGGATCATTTGGAATGCCCGAAGTTGTCATCCGAGCACTATCCTCCGTTACGGGGGCGAAGACACTGCTAGACCTCAAAAGCAGACTTGATGCCCTTGTTGGCACCCGGGAGGGTATCGAACAGATTCAGTGTCATGTTTTCGCGATCAATGGTGAGAAGGATACGCTGATTTCAACGCAGGACACAATCAATCTTGCTACTTGGGCTCCCAATTCTGAGCTTCTTTTATACCCGGATGACGACCACTGCGCGATGGGGAATATACAGGAGTGGCTAGAATACGGTTCTTAGCTAGAGATAAATCTATGAACCAAGAATTATGCTGTTTGCTTGGACTCCAGGGTAGTCTGGCCACTTAGTGGTACTGGGGTCTATAAATAGCACGAGGCGTTGTAGAGTGGCTGGACATTGGCAGGCAAATGCAGATTGAAGATCAGGCAGACTCTGTATAATTGGCGATGAGTAGCCAATAGAAGTGTTTAGAAATTGTTAATGTACTGTGACTGTGGGTGCCTTTTGCGCTTAGTCACCTATCGTTTCAGCCTAATTAGGAAAAGGTAGCGGTAGTGCTTACGCTGCTGCCTCGAAGGATTTCAGACCGGTGACAGAATCACTGCCAAGAAGATGCCAATCCCTCCCTGTCTCTTCTGGTCTGATAAATAATAGAGAGAGAGTACACGTGGTGAAAGATGACACGCATGCCACAGCCATTCTTCCCTCATGCTAATACATTTCATCAAGGAAGTGCACTTCAAGGCCATTTTCAGTATAAGTATTCTTGTATGCCCAATCTTCTAAATACTAATCCTGCAATCTGTATCTCATCGCAACACATAACTATTACACCACTGGATTCAAATACAGCCCAACATGACAGCCATCAACTCAGCGGCAGTCTTCCACCCGAGCAGGGATTTCCTGCTCTTCTCAGCCGCCGTTGGTCTCCCCCTCAACTTCGTCCGCTTCTGCATCATGGTGCGACCCGTTGCACTCTTCACATTTATCCTCCTCATCTTCTCCGCCATCTTCGGCTTCACCATGAGACGCCTCCATCGTCAAGGCGCGCACCTCAAGGCAACGTTTGCCACGCCCATTACCGACCCGTTGAACTGTCTCATTGCCGATGTATTGATGGGTATCCTGTCGCTCTTGACGCTCAGCTTCACGTGGACGCACAACAGGTGGCAGGATACTGGAGAGACGTTCCTGGTAGCTTATTCGTCGACACCGTTGATGTTTAACATGTTTCTTCATTTTTATCTGGCGCTGCTTGTGCTGTTGAGGACAAGCAAGATGAAGGACATTGTGAGGGAACTCGTGGGGGATTTGGTGTCGAGCTCGCCTCAGCCTTGCCCGCACTGTCATGGTCGACCGGAATTTCACGATGATCATGATGAAGAGCAGCCGCTGGTGACGCCTCCTGCTGGAGATCATGAGGACACGCATCAGGGCGGGGCTGGTCCTTCGACCGTCTGGAGTCGATAGATGCCGCTAAATCGATTTGCTTGGCATGGCAAATTCCTTTCAGGATTACTGCCAAGAATATCTATAGTCAGCACCGCGTATGGACAACCTTTTGCTCTTCACTACTGGCCAGGACGATCAGGAGATTGGAAAAGTGGTATCATGATTTCTATATAGCCTCATCGATAATGCCAAAAAACCATTAGTATACCCAATTGACCTCGTTCTCATTCGTCAACGGAACTGAGGATATTGAAGCTCACATTTTCGTCTCTCTGCCTGATCCAAGACCTGCTGTTAGTCTGATGCATGTGTATTAGCTGAGAGAGTGAAGAAGATTCAAGTGACAACAAAGTTGAGAACGCTCATAATATTCCAGGTCATTGACTAATTTGCAGGCAGTTGCTCAGCAGTTGTCACCCATCCATATATCGACCAATTCTTCTCCTCATTCCTCCATTCCTTAACCCACGTATACCCAGCCTTTTCCAAAACGCGCTTACTGCCTACATTCTCCTTTATCGTCTCCGCAGCGCATCGCTCCGTAATAGTGCCATTCACACTGGCAACTATCTCATCCTCACTCAATGTCGCTCTATCCACAGCGATCGAACTCTCAACTCGAGGAAGTTCCCACCAAATCTTCATAAACGCAACGAGAAACTCAGTGGCGTAGCCCTTCCCCCAAGCCTCCTTGCGGAATGCGTATCCAATCGCCGGCCAGCCTAGTTCACACTCTCGTCTGTAAGTGCCTCCAGCTCCGATGACTTCGCCAGTCTCAATGAGACTGATGACATAATAGAGATTGGTTTCGTCATGCGGCGGTAGCCTTTGTGCAGCCCATTTCTGCGTTTCCTCAAGATCCTTGTCTGGGGCGCCTTGTGCTGTCCACATCATGACCTCTTTCTGTGCGCGCATGGGAAAAAGGTCTTTTGCAGCATTCTCATAGAATGGCCTGAGAACAAGACGTTTGGTTCTTACAGTCGGGCGTTCCTCCAATGGTGGGTATGGTAGTTTCGTAAGAGTGGTGTTGATCTGTATAAACCCCGGTTTCGCTGGTTGATTTACTGTCATCTTGACAAGACTTCGCGACTGAAGTACACCACGCAACGCTGAGAGCTGAAATGACAGAGGCCGGGGTGAGGAGAGACTAAACATAGTCAGAAAGCAAAACCTCAAGGGAGACGCGGTAACTTGTACGCTTTTTAAGCTTAAAAGCATTGAAAAGTCATAGCTCAAGTAACAGCTGTCTTTATTGGTTGTTTTCTTTGCTGAACTTGACTCATCACCAATATCGCGCAGCAAGACTCACAGCATTTGAGTTAGCCGACATCGGCGCCTTTGGCTCGGTGGTCAAGGGTCTGACTAGACCAAAGGTAGCAGGTTTGAAAAGTACTAGCGCCTCGTGATCCACTTCAGAATTACAAGAAGGGATATATTCGCGCGAGAGTAGTAGGAACTAGCCGATGAAGGAGACATTGAACGTTTGGCTGAAGATGTACAGCCAGGGCTGGATGATACTCAATCAAGTAAGCCAGAAAGTCTGTTTCTTCTTCCCCGTGACTTGACCATCCATCACACCGTCGCAGTATGCCTCACCGATATAAGAAAACACTCCAAGCCCGCTCGATCCTTGCACAGGACGCAATACAAAAGGAATTCGTCCGCCGCAAAAAATAGCAACGGTATCACCAGCTTTGCACTCTATGGGCCCCATACCCAGATATCCCATTTTTGTGAGAAACGGCCTCTTTCCTTGCATCTTACTCATGCTTTCCTGATAGTGATGTTTAGTCCCTGCCGCTCGATGTTCCTCCTGCCACTGAAGGTGCTTCGGCGAAAAGTCCTCTCCCGTAGCAGCCATTCGAACCATCTCCTTGATCAACTCCAGCTCTTGTAGGAATTGCTTGTGATATGCTGCTACATCAGATGTCGCCCTGGCTTGGTCTGCTTCCAATGTCCAGTAGATATCTGCGATAGGCACGCGCCACCGCGCCTCTTCCTTTCGTTGCTGGGTTTCGTCGCCGTGGATAGGCTCAGGCTTCTTCATGGACATCTGCCATAGCTCTTGTATCTGGGAGAGATAACTGAGATACACTTCGTGATCGAAGCTCATGTCCTGCCAGCCACCACCTTGCGCGACTGCCTCGATCACGTCAACTGTATAGCCTCGAAGTCCAAGAACATACGGATTGTTGTCAGGGTCTTGAACAACCTCGACGACACTATCCTGTCTCGAGGCGGTAAATAGGTGCCGATCCATACGCTCGTTGACAGTATAGAACGAACGACGCAAATTAGATCTCCAGTCAGGAACCCACGTCGGCAAGAGTGAAAGCTCAGGAAGTTTCGGAAACTGTGAAAAGCAGAGAACATCAATGCGACCACTCTCCTCAATCAGCGCACGAGCCGTCTCTGTCAGAACTCCCTCCGTGCTCTTTTCATAATCAGGCTCAATCCCAAGCTTGTCAACATCAACAGCAAGACCGAGAAGCGCAAATACGCGGTCCCGATGCTCAGTAGCATTTGTCTCAAGCTCGACGAATAGTCTACGTAATAGCACAAACAACCCGTCGTCACCGTGTCTTTGATGTCGTGAGCGGCAGGAAAATAGCCGCGCTGTTGGCTCGGAGAATACTTCCTCTAGTCGATCCAGAGGCATCTCGGGAGGTCGGAGTAACTCGAAGTCGAGATGAGGCATACTGGCCATTGCTGTCTGGAGCATTAGAACAGCCAGTTTGACAAGGTCTACTGCCACTGTCTTGGAGCCGCACACGAAGATGGTTTCGGGGCATAAGCAGAACTCCTGTATGATCCAGACTCGTGAAAAGTATGGTCTCTCGAACCATTTCTTCAGCGCCATTTGTTTTAGCAAGGGAGCAAAGACAGCGACGGTACGTGCAAGCAAATCTTGGAAGCCCACGGCAGTCTCATCGGCTGGGTTTTTGTTCCTTCCCCAAGCTGATACGAGGGAGTAACTCTGCGGGTTCATGTAGCTCTCCAGTCCAAAGTCCCGAGCCTTCTGACCAATATCTTGCCACGCGCCCATCAATTCGTCAGAACCATCTTGAGCCGGACCGAGCCATACAAGTACTTGTTTCGCTGCTGAGTAGATGATCCTCATCATCGCGACCTGCTGGCCTTTTTCTTTATTATCTGCCTGGTTGATACAGATCTGATCGATCCATAGCGTTATTACCTCATCTGGCTTGCGGAAATATCGCAGTGCTGTTTCCAGTGATTCAGTGATGGGTATAAAAGCCTCTCCATCTTGATCTACATTAGGCACGAGAATGGACTGAGTTTTGTTGCCTACTCCCCAAACATACGAGAGAGCGGTATAGGGCGAAGGGTTCTTGATGGAGGTTGAGTACAGACGACCGATCAGAGGGCTATCTACCAAGCCCTGTGAGGGGTAGAGATCTAGCAGCCGGATCTCGGTTGATGCCGTCCGTAGTCCCACCGAGCCATAATCAAAGGTCTTGAATTGGTTCATGGCGAGCTTGGATTGGGTTTAATAGATCATCAAGGTCAGCACAGATGTCGAGGCGGGGTACTGACCTCACAGTACAGCACACATCAATAGCGTTAACGCCACGCTGACGAGCCTGAGACAGAGGAGCTTTCCGCGAGCCAATTAAGATGGCAGTTGAGTTTTGAGTCTTGTATAAATCACCGCCTAGCAACTCGTTCTCCTGCCAGCGTCATTTTGTTGAGATATTGTGGTTTTTCGTGGATAGGTTTGATAGGGTAGCAGCGCAGCACTATATCTTGAAACGGTATGCGATCGGCGGTAAGATTCTAGCTGAAGCTGAGACATACATCAGCTAGCTTATGTAGTCGTAAGTTTCCTGTTGATCCGATCATTGAAGTGGAATCAATCGTCGTTTCTGAGTGAAAGAAGACTAGTTAATTATCTTAGCTGCAGAATCGCCATCTTGACATACGTCAGCGAAAGCCACGGCAGAAACATGTTCTGCCTATAAATTCGCACTCCTGTCTCTTCGTTCTCCGAACCACTTCTCACTTCTCAACACCATCCACTCCTATTTTCAAGACCTTCATTACACAGTATCGTCACTCATATCACAATGGCCGACCCAGCCAGCCAATTGCGCATCCAAGACAGTAAGGAGAAGCTCCAGAGTGCGTATAACTACGCAGTCAGCGCCAAGGAAACTGCCGAGTCCGATTTCAAGCAAGAGCAAGACTCTGGTATCGCTGATGGCCAGGACTTCAGGACTTGGGCTATTCAAAATGTAAGCACCCACAAGCCTCAAGAGGGACATGTTTCTCACCAGAAAACAGGCGCCTGCCTACAGCGCAGGCCTACAACAGTACCAAGCCGCAAAAGCTGCATACGGCGCGGCACTTCAACATGGAGACAACGAGGCTTTCATTGATTGGGAAAAGAAGTATAGAGACGTAGTGATGGTCAACCCTGCGAAGCCCGATTACGAAGCTCTTGTCGCGCCTTGATTCATAGGATAGATACATCAATGCCACGGTGCTATTACTTATAGCAAGTAACCCGCTTGTCTATCAAGTCATGATATAGATTTCCAAATAGTCGCGTGAAATTACCGCTAGATGCTTGCATACTACGTGAACATGAATACGAACTGGAAAGATCCTGACAGTTAGATGCCTGTTTCGTACCCGCCATGTTGGAAGTTCTGAGTCTTCTGGCTAGTTAAAAGTCGGTAGAAGCTTGTAACATCCATCTAGCTTATTAGTTTCGCTATCTCAATGTAAGCCATCATGGCTGACATCAGACTTCCGCAGTATACCAGAGATCCCATGGGGCAAGCACTTGTAATTTCTGTTTTTTCACCATCCTTCAGCCACCAAAAATCTCAGATACCGACCTCCTCAGACCCTCATCCATCTCAAGATTCATCTTTTCTGCAAGTTCCAGCAAACGACTTTGATCTCCAGGGTGCCACTTAGCAAGACTCCGTTGCTGAAGCAGCTGCAGGAAGATCTCGCGTGGTGTCTTTGAGTAGTCAACGCTCAGACTCCAAGGCGCTTTCGCGTAATCCTCCGAGATATCCAGAAGCGCGTAGATGAGGTCATGCTCTCTCGTGCACTGAAAGTTGCCGCGAAGACATACCCATATCCACCGGCGCAAATTGTTAATCCAATCAGTGGAGCCGAATAACCGAGCTATTCGGTGATGGTTCGCTGGGTTGTGCATGAAATCACTGCTGTGCGGGCTGCTCAAGCCGTTCAGAGTTGCTAATGATTCCTCGAATTCGGCATCGGGGATGGACTTGGCGCCACACCACACGACATAGCTCTTTGCAAGGTATAGCTCTTGAATGATCCAGACTCGGCGCCAGTATTTTCAGTGACAGAGCGCAAGCAAGGATTTCAACTGTCGTGAATCTCTGTCGAAGGATGGAAGTTTGGCTTGGAGAGATGTGGTGTTTGACATTAAAGCCATAGCAAGGTCACTATCGTCTTTGGCTGGGCCGAGCCATGAGATGACACCGACTGCTTTTGTAAATGTCTCACCCATCATGGAGACCTGCTGGCTCTTCTCTTGAACATCTGACTGATTGATGCATATTGCATCAACCCAGAGTTGCAAATCTTCAGTTGCTTTTCTTATGTTCTTCAGAGCATCAAAGAGGTTCTTGCGAATTTGAACCTCGCCATCATTGACCTTGATGAAGGGATCGTTCTTGCTTTCGTCGCCCCATTCGTATGACAGAGCGTAGTATTCCGATTCAGCCCGCGTCACAGGACCGAGGTCGCATGTAATCTCATCGTTACCAGTTCCTTGCTTGAGGGTAAGTATGCGGATCTCGGCTGTTGGCGCGAGGGAGCTATAATCGATAGCAAGAGCTTTCTCAGCCATTATTGCAGAGATTAAGAGCTTTACAATACTGCAGGACATGCGCTAACAAAGAGGCAGGGATTAGTGAGAGTGAGGCTGAATTGATGCCTGGGAATGCATTGGTGCCTAATACTGCACTCAGCACGAGGTGGTCTTGCTTTGCTGACTGGAAGTACCTCAGCTCAAGTCAGGCGATCCTGTACGCCTGGCATGCTTGGGAAATGCTCATAATGAATTCTGTCAATCAGGCTACTTCTTCAGTAATTGCCCAAGTCTGATTTGGCGATGTTACTCATTTCACAGTAATCCTGTGCTGCTTCAACTAGTCGTTGTCATAAGCGCAGCAGTGAATTCTTCTGCAATAAGTTGCACCAAATTCTGCCCCAAATGTCCATGCGCAGGATTATCTCTCGCCTCTATCCCCAGAGCCTGATTGATTTAACTATAACGAACGATATTCTTTAACTACTCGCTCAACTGCATCTCGAACACCAAATCGACGATATCCATCAAGCAGAGATTCCTCCTCAGCATCAGGCTCATAAACCTTAATCTTACGCCCAGCCCAAAGAGCTGACTCCGGCATCAGAGGATGTTCCTGGTCCGTGACCGAGACTGGTACATTGTTGCCCACAGCAGAGAAGATGAGGCTAAAGAATTCCGCGAATGTCATGTTCTCGCCCCCGATGAGGATTGTTCTGCCGGACACGGCCTCGCTCTTCTCAAGCGCGGCAATAGCTGCCGTCGCCAGAGCTTGGATAGAAACAAAGTTGGAGTTTGCATCGATCACTGAGGGTCCCATACCGAGCTTGCCCTCGGCGAACTGGACGTAGGCGGCAAAAATAGGGGAGTGCATGCCTGGTACCGTTCCGACGACCCATGGTGCATCCAGACTGCAAGCGCAGAATCCGGGCCTTGATAGCGAAGCAATGCCCTCAGCAGCCATCTTTCGTGATCGGATGTAGGGCGTCTTTTCAATCAGCTCCGGTGCAATGTGCCAATAGAAGCTGCCAATATGCACCAATCTCCTGACTCCGGCGTCTCGGGCTAGTCGAGCAAACTCGACTGCACTGTTGGCCGACTGTAGGTAGTACTCATCCGCTGAGGTGTTCTCAGGCACGTGTCGCATGTCGGCGCCTGCTGAGAAGACGATACTGTCAAAGGCTGAGAGTATTTCTGAAGTGTATTCGCCCGCGACATAATCGGCTTTGATGAATGGTAGATCCTCTAGAATGGGGACGCCTTTGACTGACTTGCGACCACCAATGGTCACAGCGTAGCCGCGGGAATGAGCCTCGAGCGCGATGTACCCGCCGATCGTTCCTGTTCCGCCAACGATGAGGATGTTCTTTGGTGGAGCCATGTCTTGATGTGTCGATAACGTAGATAAATTGTATATACTTGCAATGGTCTCTTATACATTTTGTTTCCATGATCCCGAAATGTGGGTCAATCTTTATTTTCGCCGCGCGATGCGTGGAGTCCGCGGGGTTTCCTGCTTAGAAATCTCATTCTGCTAAATTCGTCCGTCAACTCGGACGAAGCTATGGCCTTTCAACAGGGTACATGGGTTTTCCGAGAAGCTTAGAAGTTATGGCTAAAAAAGATTTCATCTAGATTGCCCAAGTCAAGATCTATGAGACCATCCGGATCCGTGATTTGTGAGCCCAGCCACGCCCAAGTATCTGGCAATGTGTCGTGCCGCGTTGGGTGGGCTGAGTTTGACGCGTCTGAGACGGCATTTGTCAAAGGGGCCTGATCTGTCAGAAAGGCTTCGGCGATTCGGCAGAGGGCTTTGCAGAGCTTGAATAACTTGTTGGAGAATTCAAGATCCGGCCCGATGGTTTCAAGCGTGTATAACACGTCCTGAAGAAGCCTGAGATCATCGTGATCCAGGTTAGCAATGCAATGCAGAAAGACAGCCACATACGGTGTGAAGGACGTGGCATGGAGAACCCTGCGTATGTTTAGCGACCAGGGCCCTGCAGGTGAAAGCGACGTAACGAACCAGATCGCATAGATCGCTGAGGCCTCGTTACCCGAAGCAATCAGCCGACTGTAGTGCGTAAGATGGGCCCGAAGCATTCCGTGTGCTGCTTCATAGCATGCCTCTGAGATGTCCCTTGCAGAATCCGAAGAATTGGCGTTCCATTGTATAAGGGTGAGCAAAGAGTGATACATGATGTCGACTGGAGAGAAGGTCATGTCAAAACGATCTTTACCGTAGGCAGCGGAGCTTTCTATCTGAACCCATTCACTGTACCATTGACGGAGATCCGAATCAAGCTTGTCGGTTTCCACTAGTCTTTCCTCGATGCCGTGTGCTTTTGCCTGGGGTGAGTAGAGTTTCTCGTAAATCTGAGCTTGTATTCGACTCATTTCAATCAATGACGTTAAAGTCAAATCCCATGGGGCTTGCCCGGGGTCACTGGATATCGGGCAAGGCTGTGCATCAACGTCCCAATCCTGGATAGTAGAGGCTCGGCCCAAGCGTTGCGAAAGGTTCTTGTCTGCCATGTAGATGTGCCAGAAGGTTCTTCGTGCTCTCTCCGCCTTGGGGTTTTGAAGTTGCAAAAGCCTCTTTTCCCGATGGTAGCCTAGAGTAAGACAATGTCCAGCAGCAGCAGTCGTCAGGCTCCATTGAAGAGGCAATGTGCCCTTGCTTGAAATTAGTACAATCTAACCTCGAGTCAGATACTACAACTGTTCGGATGCCGGTTCTTTCACTTACCGCAAGGAAGAGGATGTCAACATGCTCTTCTGTGGCGATGGACAGGACCTGGTAGGTTTCAACACCTGCCCAGAAGTTCATTTCACAAAAGCTTTGTAAGCGACTTAGGACTCCAGTATCTAGATTTGGTCTGTCCTCAGTTCCAATCTCTCTCAGGATGAGGCAGATCGTTCCGTTGAATGAAGTCTTCTCTGATAGTGTCAATGGTTCTGTGTTGAAATAAGTAGACCTGCACAGATCTTGAAACCTTTCAAGGTTTTGAACGCCCCAGAAATGAAAGAGGACCAGGTTCGTATCTAAACAGCCAAATCAGCTTGATGGTGCCGTATAAAGGATTCGATTTCCATTGCTTACGTCTCTCGTCAGCCATTAACCGTAGGAGCTGCATAACAAGTTTCGGCGGGGGAAGCTTAGCATCCAGCACAGGTGTCTGTCCAAGATCATTTAACTTAACATTATCCTGGCCTATTCCACTAGGGTCCTGATCCTGGAGCGCATCCTTTAGATTAGCCAGCTCTTTGACAAATGCAGGCGATTGCTGTGCCGCTGGTGATTTAAGCTCTTCAACCTGACTTGCATGCAAAGCCTGGGCGTGGAATGATGTTTCCCCTTCTACCAGAGGTGGTCGTTTTGCCAACACCCTATCCAACGGGGTACTGCTGTTGGCAAGTTCTGATAAAGAATGCCGATTCTGTTCGTTCGCATTCGCCTGATACCCTAAAATACTCTGAACCGTACATTCTAAGGCTTTTACCCGCTCAGCTAGCGCGGCGTGTTCTTCTAGACTGTAAAGTTATCAGCCACGGGACAGGACAGTTGCTGAGCTATAGGCGCTGACCTAGGAACCTTTGGGCCGGTACTGGGTCTTTGCGAAGCTGTGTCGAGAGGACAGGCCAAACTAGAGGTGACACAGTTCGAGCATGGAGCAGTACGGCTGCAGCGAATCTGAAAATCAGGGATTAGCTCTGGGTCCAGGATGAGTCTCCTGAGTCTTTCGTTGGGAGTGTATGAACCTTTCGCAACCGACAATTAGCGCACTAAACAGTCAGGTTAGTTAGGTAAGGATAGTTCCGGCATTGGGTGGTCTCAATCACTAACAGCTCTCTGCCTAATGCTGTTTTTCGGGCCGTTGTACCCTTCCATGATAGATCGACATGTATTTGTGGAGGCATGAAAGATTTGAGGTTGTGATAAACTCTAATTTAAGCGTAGAATAAGGCGGTGTGATTAGTCATCTTGCTCTTAACAGAATGGGCTCTCATCGTGCTGGTGGCAATACCTCGTTCTATGATATGCCCCGAATGTGTCTATAATTACAAGGAATCTATTGCGGCTATTCCCCGGGCTGATCATTAAATGAGTCAAAGTCCAGAGTATCCGCCCACAGCCATAACTGACTTGCATCCACTAGCCCCGAATCTACGAGGGCGGACATATCGCCGTCCCAATTGAATGTGCCCACAGTCCCTTGATCTCCATCTGTCTCGTGATTACTAGAGACAGTGTTCTGTGGCAGTATGTTTCCTGCTGTATTCGGTGTGGAAATATGCTGCCTAAAGACTATCGCCACATCGTTAGTTCGCTCTGCACATCATCTATCTGTGTATGCAGTATTAGCAGAGCAATACTCTACTTACCTTCTTTAATCGGCTCCAAGACTCGCTCGCCTCTAGAATCGCTTGGACCGGCTGCGGTCGTGCTTGGTCTGGGCGCTATCCTTCTGCTTGTTGCAGAGGAACCCCGGGTGGATGATACTGTATCTTTGTTGGTAGGAGCGGTACGGAGACCTGGATAACTCGTTCTTCCGGTTATCATATCCGTCTCCTGTCGCAACATAACCTCAACCAAGCTATCAATAATACCTAGGCTCTGCTCCGAGACAAGCTGGCCACTATAAAGGCTAGCTGTAGTCTCACGACACATGCGTGTAATATGCATAACCCCGGTCTTCGCGCGTGACCCCATTTCAGTAAAAGGCTGTGACAGACAGATAGCGCAGAGAACAACTCCGGCTGTGAACATGGTCATGCCAACATGCACGTCTGCATGAGTTCTTCTGCAAGCGTCCAGAATGCGAGGGTGGCGAGACAGCTCAGATGTGTCCATGGCTGAGGTGAAGATTTGCTGAAGAGAAGTACTGCTCTTAGGCGATATAGAAGAGATGTCGCTGCCGTCATTGAAGACTTCAGTGCGATGTAAGATGATTTGAAGATTGTCATAAGTGAGCTGTAGACTAAGGGCGTGGATCTCAGTTGGCTTCACTACACCTAGGTCCATGGACCGCTCTTGGCCGCTGAGAGTGAGAATCCCGGGCAGCTCTTGGCGCCACTGTAGCATGCGATAGTGTATTGTTTCAATCGAATCCAGACTGTTGCGCTGCCTCTTCCGTCCCAAGAATGCGCCCATGATTCTGTACAAACGGAACTTTTGTTGATGGTATAAGATAAGTGGTCTAGCTGGGACATGTATGCGACCATTGATGTCAATATCTGAAATCATCTCGACCTGACAGTCGGAATCATCAATGATGCAGGGGCGCCCAAATGCAACAGCGGCGTATCTGTTTATGCGGAAGTGGTAAGCTTGCATGCCGAATGTCATGCACAAGCCGTGTTCTAGGGCTTCACTTACTTGTCGAAAACCTCCAATGTCCACCAGGTGCGTCGCTTCACCTCCTGCGTTAGCTGAGAAGTCTCTTTCCAGAAACTCTCGCGATGCAGCCCAATAACCTGGGCGATCTTGACTCCCATTCCACAAATGCCTAGGCCTGTCGTGGGCCGCGTATAGAAAATGAAACTACCAAGCAGTATGCAGATTTGAACAGTCTCTACTGTCTGGCATCCAACAATCTGCAAGAACTTTGACTCAATAGCAGCAATAAGGTCTAGAGAAAGCTGTCGGTACTGGGGGATCATCTGGTCATCAGGTTCCTTGAGTGCAGCGTAGTGCGCACCCAGCGCTACTACGAGGAGCCATGTCCAATAGAATGTTGTATCCTGGTACTTGATCTGTGTCTGTTGTAGCATCTCTGCATATCGACGACGAAAGGTCTCTTCGTGAAAGACCATCATGAACCAATTGACTGATGAGAAGAAGCTGTCGACCAACTGTTCCAGGATATGGTCCGCAGGTAGTTCCACGCCGACTATATTACGCCAATACTTGGGCCCAGAGAGGGTGATGTCGGCATTGGGGAGCTTCGTTCCGCCGGGCAGGGAGGATGTATCATGGCGTAATTCCCGGCTGGAGTTGCTTCCGCGTATAATCTGCAATCATCATACAATTCTCAGTACTTGTTCCATGTCAGATACTCTGAACTTACAAGATTACTCAGGTCAACGATGTTAGACTCTGGGAGTATGGGGGACCCCGGAGCCTGAGCCTGTCTATTCCCCGTATCAGTCTGGCCAGATGAGGATGCTGTAATGTCTCCCGATGTCAAGGTGCGAGGGATACACTGGGCACCCGCGCGGACGCAATGAACACAAGGCCTCTCTTTATCACACTGGGAATTTGTCAGCAGATGTACCAACAAGTTCGACAGAGGCGGTATACTCCGAGTTTACGCTTACGGCAGCGTTCGCAAGCCGAAGAGACTTTTTGCCGTTTTCTCAGAGATGCAGACATGATTAAAGCTAGTGTTGAAGGACTGTTTTGGGCGTGGTGGCTCCGACGGAAGCGCTCATCGGGTGCTCGCTAGGGTTGAGGTCCGTCGGAAGCTCCATACCCCTCATTTCCCCTCCAGGCTCGAGCGGCGGCGGAGCACACTATGCCGTTTATGCAGGCCCTCGCTGTAACTTAAAATTTAAAGAGCTCAGTGGATTCTTTACTGGAGATACAGGTCACAATCCAAAAGAGAGAAAAATGAGGCATATAACAATTTTCGAGTCAGTACCGATTTACAATTTTGACCTCGAAACCTAACTGGCCCTTTCCTACGCTATATCAATTTTTATCTGTTCTCGGGAGTCCCTACTTGTTCACCTCCTCCAGCAGCGTCTTGGCAGCCAGCTTGCCCAGGTTATTCGAGGCCAGTGGAGAATCGCCAGTCAATAACAGACGGTCCCTGTGACATTCACCAGAGATAGTCTTGTTGATCGGCGTAACTCCAAGCTTCTTAAGTCGCTCGCCGACCAGCCACTCCATCTTGCCAGGGATATAGCCGATGTCAATATTAGCGCCCTCGTCCAGTGAATCGGGGAAGACATCGACGCTGTAGCCCTCGTAGATAAACTTGGAGCCCTCGGGCTTGCCAACATCAGCAGCCAGGATACTAGCAGGCCCGTGGCAGAGGGTGATGAAGAATCGATCATTGGCGTGAGCCCAGCGGAGAACATCGCCGACTGTCTTGCTAAAGGGTATGCCGTTGAGAGCGCCGTGACCGCCGGGAATAAAGACTGCTAGGTAAGGTGTATCTTGATTGAAACCCTTCCCGTCTTTCCCATTCCAGACCTCAGACAAGTTAAGCGGGCTGCGAAGCTTCTGCTTGTACTTGTCATAAATCGACTTGACAGCTTCATCCTCCTTAGGAAAAGCCCACATCTCGAGCTTGACTGGATCGCCCGAGAGCGTAGCGACATCAATATCGAAGCCAGCAGCGTCGAGGTGGTACATAGGCAGAAGCATCTCAACTGGGTGGTTGCCCGTGGAGAAAAACTTGCCATCAGCCATCTTGAGATAGCGCTCCTGGGTGCCGATCATGAGAATCTTCCACTTGCCGCCGGTGTACTTGTTCGGATAGTCGGCGCCGTCAAAGTCTGTTTTGGCGGTAACGTACTGCGTGAGGGAGAAGGGTGAGGGGAAGTAGGCGTCATCTTCCGCTGTGTCACGGACGGGAGTTTTGTCGTCTTGCTTGGACATTGTGATGAGTTGTAGAGCCAGGTGTTTGAAGAATTGGTGTAGAAAGTTGATTAGATGACTGAGATGAGTTGAAGGCGTAAGCTTAATAGTTGTTTCGAAACAGTTTGGAATGGTTGGAAAGTGTCTTCTTATAGCTGTTGAGCTCTACGTACGTGGCGGGCTCCAAGGTGAGGAGTACTGCATATTGCTGAACGATAAGGTTTGACTTGATCGTTAGCTACCTTGTTTAGTCCCTGGATGGGAGCTACGGATGGATCGCTATTGGATAGGCTTGCTTACCAACTCCGTCGGAGATACTATTAGCGTTCCGACGGAACCAGGGGTGTCAGACGGAGGAGTAAACTAGCCAATCAATCATCTAGGCTCTATGCCGTGTCTTGGTCCCCCGGCAACAATGCGAAACCGAGCTCTCGACGGAACTTCCCTCATTACGTCAATGGTTTTCGGTAGTTATAATACAGCTGCAAGCCCCTCAATTATAAAGAGGCAGGCCATCTAAGTTGCCAGACCAGGAAGTACAAGACGACATAGCTGTCAAGTCAGAGACGCCTTGAAAATGACTACCGATTACAAGTTCGAAGGATGGATGGGCGAGGATGAACGATCAGCGGAAGGAAATATGGTTTGGCAAGAGTACAAGCCGAAGAAGTGGGAGGAGACTGACGTTGATATCCGCATTACCCACTGTGGTATTTGCGGCTCTGACATTCACGTCCTCCGTTCAGGCTGGGTAAGTCCAAATGAAGATTATTGTTACACGAGACATCACTGATGAATGACTTTCTACTATAGCGTCAAGCACCATACCCCGTTGTCGTAGGCCACGAGATCGTGGGCGTGGCCGTACGCGTTGGCAGCCAAGCTGAAGGCGGTATCAAAGTCGGCGACATCGTCGGTGTTGGTGCTCAATCCGATGCCTGTCTCAATCGTAAGCTAGGCGATGACAACCAACAGCGGCCCAACTGCAATGAGTGTGCCTCTGGAGAAGAGAATTACTGCACCCGCATGGCCCCGACATACGGCTCGAAGTTTCTATCCACAGGCGATAAGACGCAAGGCGGCTATGCTCGTTATCACCGGTGCCCGTCACACTTTGTCTTCCGCATTCCCGAGGGTGTCGCTCCAGAACATGCAGCGCCGCTTCTCTGTGGTGGCGTAACTGTCTATTCACCTCTTAAGCAATTCGGCGCTGGGCCTGGTAAAAAGGTCGGTATCGTTGGTGTTGGTGGTCTTGGTCATTTTGCTGTACTCTTTGCTCGTGCACTCGGGGCCGATGAGGTTGTAGGTATCTCGCGCAGGGAAAGCAAGAGACAGGAAGCTATGGACCTTGGGTGTACAGATTATATCGCCACGGCTGATGAAGAGGGATGGGAGACTAAGAACTCTCGCAGACTTGACCTTATCATCTCGACTGTCTCGTCTCCCAAGGTATTTTACCTCTTCCATATAAGCCGATTGGCCACTGACACGCTTTACTGCAGATGCCGCTGGCCGATTATATCGGTCTTTTACGACTGGACGGTACGCTCGTTCAAGTTGGGCTTCCAGAGGGGCAGCTCCCGTTCCGACCTGGCAGTCTCACTGGCGCACGTCGCAGAATCGCTGGTTCAAGCATTGGGTCACCTGCTGAGATCCGAGAGATGCTGCAGCTTGTTGCCGATAAGAAGGTCAAGCCTTGGGTCGAGATGCGTCCCATGGCAGAGGCAAACCAGGCTATCGTTGACTTCGAGGCCGGAAAGCCGCGATTCCGGGGGACTCATACCCGCACAACCGGCTGTGCGTTTAGTATCACGTGTTTTTCGCACAACCGGTTATGCAGATAAGGCCACGTAAGCTTCTTTAGTCAAATCCGCACAACTAGGGGACCATCAGTCAATTCATCTTCCTATTATATTTATATTACTAATAAAGTAATTACTAACTTTCTGCTTTATAATTTAACTTTATCTATATAATTAGTATTTAAATAAGTAACATTAAGCTCTTAGTCCCTTCTGCTGCTGATAAATTAGTAAGATAGTGGCCTGATAATATTCTTCCCCCAGAGGCATCATATCTATTATAAGAAGCCCTCCTTACAGATATTAATAAGTAGGCAAAGGCTTAAGGATATGCCTTTATAATAAGGCATATAATATATATAGCAAATAGAAGACTATATATATACTTTAGCTATAACTGCAGCAGAGGTAAATATATACTAATTCCTAATTCTAAGAGGAAGAGGAAGTATACTACTTAATGCATAGGATGTAAGTTCTTTATAATAGGAAAAGAGAGCCTCTGTAAGAGTAAATAGAGTCTTTAATATTATCCTAATCCCTCCTACTCTTATTATAATTATAAGCCTACTATTAGAAGTAATATTATATATATAACTTACTAAAAGCTCTCTAATAAAGATATCCTTATAGTGTTACGACCCTAGCGGTTACGTCACGTGTACCCCACAAAAACTCATGCAAGGCATCAACCCCTCAACGGTTACGGGCCAATCAGAGCTAGATCACCTCAAAATAGGATCACGACGCTCCAGGAGCTACCGTGATCCAGGATCACCGTGATCCAACTACCTCAGCGATCCCCTCAGATCGCCCTTA